TTTATCAAGGGTGTTTGTGATAGCTTGTATGTACCTTAACTTATCTTTCGGAATCCTGAAATTAACGATCGAATATACCCTCTAATGGTTATCCCTATTAGGGACTGGTGATTTAAACTCAAAACCACTTAAGTATAACACCCAAGAGTCTTTGTTCAATTACTCAAGCCACCTAAGGGTGGTTTGGATTTTGAATTCTTGCGTCTTAAAAGATTTTGGAGTTTGAACACAGATTAGGGTTATAATCTTTCAATTCTTTTTAGGGTAGAAAATATCTACCTTGGTTGCATAAAGATTACAGTACAGTCAATGCATATCGTATCACATAGCATATGGTCTTAGAGTATTGAAAAGCAAAATGGATTTGAAGGTACGGTACAAAATACAAGTTTAAAATATTGACCACTGCTATCGAACTTTTTGGACAATTTTAATTGGCTACTTGTTACGAGAATCTTTATTGTGAAAAAAGTTCAAGAGATCAACTTCAAATTGGATATCACAATCACAATTTATAGCCTAGCTAGTGTGAAACCAGAAGTCGGCAAAGGAAACAAAACTGAGCAAGACATTAATGAAATTTTATTTGTTGTGTTCTACTGAGAAGGAAGAGTTTTAGGTGGGATGTCAGATTTTTATATACATTAGATATTTATAATGAAGATATAAAATCCAAATCTTTCTAAATCTTGAAGACTTTAAATTGTGATCAATATCAAGTCAAGAACAGAATGTTGGTGCTATCGAATATTATATTAAACTATATGTTCACACTTGATTAAGCTGCAATTCCTGAGACTTATCCAAAATGCACGAACCCTGAACTGGAGAACTTGGTTGTTTAATCCTACACGTTATGTTAAAGTTAAAGGACAAGAAGAAAAATCTTAAAGAGATAAGTTTTTATGTACAATGGAAACGTACATCAAGTAACCAGGAATATGTTTGGAAAAGGGAAAGCAAAAGTTATTAAATATTCAACACACCTGCTATTTTTGACTGTCTTTTGTTTAACTTTTGATCTATTTTGATGACATATCATTCCACATAAAGATGTAAACGTGAACCGACTATTTTTTACTTTTTGGATTCTCGTTTTCACTACGTCAGCGTAGTTTAGGATTTTAGAATTTAGGGTTTAGGGTTGATTGATATAATGACTTTTGTTAGTCTATAAACTGTCCAACTATTCATTAATTTGTTTTGTGTCGATTACTTGACGCACAGTATTATCACGTGTATCTCTTAGCTTTATTCTTTATTATTATTATTATTAGAAATGGTATATTTTCTTTTATAAAATTATATATAATACTTATAAACCTTGTTAATTCATTATTTACATATGTAATCTAATAGATTTAAGATGAAAGTTGAAGGTGCATGATTATTATCACTGTCACTCCATCAACTCTTAAACTATTATATCATAATAGACCAACCACTAAAAATTTAAGTTAAAAGGGTCTCAACCCTGGATTGAAAAGATATATCGGTATAACAAAGACAATATTATTGTTTTTTACAATTAGTATTAGATTAATTAGTCATAATTTACAAGGTAATTAACATACACGTGTACCATGTTTAGAATTAGTCTCCCTTTTTCAATTAAAATATAAATTCAAACCTATCTAAGTTGCACTAATTAATTAATTATAAAGATCAATTAAAGCTCCAAAAGCGCCTAAGGATAAGCATATGTTGGTTATAACTTATAAAGTCATTATAAAAATTATCTTATTATAAAAAGACTGGCTAAAATAATCGACCGACTGCGAATATAGACCAAGAAGTATAGGTCTTTGCAGAAATTCCATGTTAATTAATTATATTAATAATATAACGTTTACGTTTAGGTATAGACATCAGCAATATACACGTAATTCGTTATTGTCATCTTCATGAATTTTTAATTTATATTATTCTTGACTTGCCTAATTTGTTAACTCTAGACTTCCAGTACCACCACCACCATCATATACGTTGGCTTAAGGCTGTTTGGTTAGTGCGAAAGCGGAAGAAAATTGGTAGGCAATTACTTTTCAAGTCTGAATTTGATTATTTGATCAAGAAACGCGTGTATTAATTCAATTTTCTTGCTCCTAGCTATTTAGATCAAGACAGAATAATTGAAAGGCCCTACCATTTACCCAAAAAACCAAGAACGAATGTAAACCAGTAAACTTGAATAGTTTGTGATTTTGATTTTTGTGAATGCATGATTCACGTTCTTCTAGAAAACAATAAAATATCTTCAAAGATCAGTAAAGCATGCAAATTCTGATTTTAATATGCACATGCTGAACGCTTTCCAGAAATCCTGTAAGAATCATGCACACCACTACTCTTTTTTTCTGTCGTTTTTATTTTGGTGGATGGAATGGAATCATAAAGCGAATACAAAGACGACTTGGTTTTTTTATTTTGGAGTCAATATATATATATCAATTCAATAATATTACAAAGTCAAGCAAGTAATCTCAAAGTGACAACGCCCCACCTAACCTAACCCACCACAAAAGACGCCATTGTAGTGAGATCAGCTATATTACGTTAGCTTGATGATGAATGCACATGAAAGGGTTTCTGGCTTTGTATTGTGTTGGCCATAAGAGCCTCCCAAAAGTTGATATAAACTGATTACTATATTGTGTTTTTGTATTTGATTAATCATTAGTCTTCTTTTGTCGTGTGGAAATTCACATTTGTTTACAATTTTGTGTTGGAAAATTGAGGAAAAGGGTGTTGTCTTTTTTAAATCATATTAATATATTATTTGTACAACTTTAATTTCAACCTAATGCCACTATGAGCTCATGTTTCTTTTCTCCAACCTAAAATCCCTGTTCCCATGTGAGCGTACAATCAAGGAAATTCATATGATTAATCAATTTCTTCTACCTATTAAGATTAAAGAGAAGAATTCAATGGTTTAAATTTTCTATGTTGCCCTCAGAAAGATTAGCCCAAATGCCCAATAGACTTTTGTTGGGGCTGAATTTCCCAGAATTTCTAACCTTATAAGAGAATTGTATTATTGTACAAATGAACTTTGTTACTTAAACCTATAAAAACTGTTTGCATAACCTTATACATTAAAAAAAAAAAAAAAATTAATTAATTAAATCAATTTTTAACATACTTATTTTATACCAAAATACTATTTGGGTTAATTTTATTTGATCGATAAAGAATATGGGTCCAAGAGATTTTAGAAAACTATTAAATGCTCCTATGGAATTCGATGGTTTTCAAAAATCTTTGGAATGCTTAAGACATAACTATTTTCTAAGTAGCTATGAGAGTAACTCATTTGGTACTCTCGTAAGTCTAAGTTGGATAACTTTCAAATAGCCTTAGGCATTTATTTCATTTTTTGAACCCCTTCGTTGTTTGTCTCCTTTCAAATCCATTTTTGGAGTCTCGATTCTGATCTAACTATAGAGATAATTGAAAACGATATTTCCTTGTTCCTTTATCTTTGCCTTGAATCGTTGGGTTTAGACATTACCTTAGATATAAAAAATATATATGCTTACAAAGTTTGCTCCAACGTATTGATTGGTATTAATCCTAGACCCTTGCCCTGAGAAAGAAATAAATACTTTTTATTTGAGCTCCATCACGTATTATTTGCATTTCAACCCAACAAAAAAGGAGGGTTGTATAGAACCGAACAAAGGATGAATGGGCTCTTTTTAATGTTCCACACTTCCACTTCTACCTTCCTTTATACTTGATATTCTCACATCTTAGAAATTGGGCTTGGTCTCGGGCCAAAAACATTGGGCTTGAAGGGCCCACTAAAAACTGAAAAAATTAATCGCCGTTGCCGGGGATCGAACCCGGGTCACCCGCGTGACAGGCGGGAATACTTACCACTATACTACAACGACTTTTGATCACATTATCAATATTACTACTATTTATTGTCTAAGACTAAACCACACTCCACACAATTTGAGTCTTAAGCACTAAAATAAGAAGAGTAATACTACACGTACAACATTTCTCATTTAATATTTTATGACAAAATATGATTCATTGATTTTAAATTAAAATTAAACTTTCATCCAATCATATTTTGTAATAAAATGTTGTATGAGAATGTTGTATATATATAGTATTATTCAAACAAAAATCCTGACGAGGATTATTATTATTATTATTACTAGAGGTAGTGTAATATAAAACACACACCTGAATTATTAAAACGTATTAATTACCCATGAGGTTTTTAATATTTTTTGAAACTTATAGGTGCACTTTATATTTTACTATCTCTTGGGGGTTACATATAACAACCCTGATAATTAATTTTTTTTTTTTTTAAATCAGGGACGAAAATGTTATTACTTATTTAAATATAAGTCAAAGCCTAAACACTTAATAAATTGTGAAGCAAATGATAAGCCCCAAATTTGTATCTCATTTTATAATAACACAAATTAAATGGGTGCTTTTGAAGGGTAAGTACACTCTATTGGTGCACAATGAAAATTGAAGAATTCCATCATGATTTTAATGATGGAATTCCACTTAGAGGGTGAGTGTATAGAGTCAAATATTTTTTTTTTTAAATTAAATTTTTTATTGAAAAAAATATCAGAAAAAATTTGGATGGATTTAAAGTTAGGGGTGAAAATCTAGTCAAGCCACTCATGAGCGACTTAAGCTCGACTCGATTTTGCTCGAACTCAACTTGACATTAGTCGAATTGAGTTTGAGCTTGATCACAACAGAACTCGAATTCGATTGAAGCTCGTATTCTCGAACTCGAATAATTAAACTCAATTATATGAACTTAATTCGAACTTGAATTCCAATTTCAAGTATCGAGTTTCAGTTTGAACTCGATTTCTCAGGCTCGAACTCGAATTCGGTACGAGTTGAGTTCGATTGATCAGATACTCAACTCGATTTCATCCATAGTTTAAACAATAATACTGGTCTTACAAAACCTTCTCTTACACCTTTCTATCACAACCGCACCTGATCTGTACGTACATGATCTCTACACTCCTCACTGAATTCAGAGATCTGAAATGCTCGGTATTTATCTCAATTCTTTTCAAATTCTACCATAATTTGATTACGTCTTTTTTGGCCTCCAACTAAACATATTTGCTAACGGTGCAAATGCAGAATTAGATAAGCTTGGTTTTAGTTTATGGCTATCTTCCAAACCCAGTAAGAGATGGGGCGAGCTCACTCTTTGTTTGGGAAAAGTTGTTCCCTACAAACTCTACGAGGTACATTTTAATCTATCTCTCTCTTTTTGGCTGCCAAGAAATGTGATGCATATCGAAGGTGAAGAATTCTTTGTCTATAATTTTGTAGGAGGAAATTAGTAGTTTGGTATTAAAGGAACTGTTACTGTAAATTTGACAAGAGTTTTACGGAATTGGAGTATTTGCTTCTGGGTTTGGTTTCAGCGGTTCCTTCTTTCTTGATATCAATGCTTCTTATAGGAAAGGTGAATACTTCTCTGTTATCTTTAGTGTTCCTTGCAATGGCGCGTCAGTAATGTGGTTTTAAGTCAGTCCAAATGATGATTCAGAATATTATATAAGTTAAACTGTTAATTTTTGGAGAATTTTCCCGTATCCAATGGTGATTTCTTATTGAACTAGGCTTCAATTTCAAATATGTTCATTGACTGATATTTCTATTGACTGATACCTTTTTCATGCTATATTGTAATTCTTCATCTCTGTCTTATATAAAGAACTTTGATTTCAATGAATTTCCAGACACTTTACTACTTTATAGATGATTACACTCTGACATTTCAGTTACAAACCACACAATAAGATTAGCAAAATGGGTTTGCTGAATTGAGTGCTTTGTCTTATTTTCTTGATGAGATTACATTCATGGTCAGAATTGATGGGAAACCTGGTGATGTGTGGGACTTACCCCGAGTGGCTGTTGATGGTCTGGGTGCTGCAATGCTGGTCACAATATTACTTGATTTGTGGCAAATCTTTTTGGGACCCATTGTCCCACTTCCAGAAACCAAGCAATGTCTCCAACCAGGACTTCCATGGTTTCCAGAAGACACCAATCAAACCTGAAGTTTCATATGAAGACCTCACTTAAGATTAACATTTCCTCCTCTATACTACTACAGGTTATGATTCATTAGTGTTTTTCTATTTTCATATTTCTGGATATTAGCAGTAGCTTATTGATGTTTATCTTAGTGATCCCATTTTAATTGGTGCCACAATTCAATATACAACTTGGATTCAATCCAAAACATTGTCATGCTTCTCTAAACAAGTTCAGTAACTATCTTTCTTGGTTAGTATAAATGATTTGCTTCTTCATTGAGTTAAACTTCTAGGGAGTAAATTACAAAAGATTACCTATGAAGACAATTTCTGCTGTGTTTATGGTTATTCAACATAAATCCAATACTTAGCAGATGGGTATATGCCCATCCATAGTGGACAAAAGGTCCCCAATTCCTCATCCTTGGCCCCATGGACTTTTAACATGTTGGTCCATCCTTTCCTGAACAAACAGCAAGCAATTCTTAATCTTGGAAGTTTAATTCTATGTAACCTCCATTAAGCTGTTCTTGTCTCACCTCCTTCCCCTTTTATTTAATCTTTGAAGTTTAATTCTATTCTTAGCAGTACATAAGAAAGTGTATTTACCTATCGGTGGGTAGCTTAATGGTAAGAGGCACAATTGGTTTCGGCTTTGCTAGAGATTTAGGGTTTGAGTCCTCATCAGTGCACCCACGTATTGCCTAGCAGGTTGTGGCGGTAGGTTCCTGCAGCACACGCCCGCCCCACCCCCGCGGCGGGACTAGGCGGGTTTCGCTTGTAAGGAGACCCATAGTGGCCCCGGATACCTCGGTTAACAAAAAAAAAAATATATTTTTTTCCCTTTTTTTATTCTTATGATCTTATTATATACTCTTAAGACATATCATATAATGTTGACAAGAAGAAGATCACTTTCCAGGTTATTGCTGCAGTGTAAAGTAGGTTCTGGTCATTCTCCATGCTTGATAACTCTGCAAGAGACATCAAGATCACCATCTCTAATTGATGCTGAAATTGGAGTAGCATTGTTCGTTTATTATTGGTGCAGCTTCACCTGGACCTGGAGCTTCTATTAAAACTACACGTGTTACTTCTCTTAAGAATTTCATTAATTTCATTGGTCACTCTGTCCTCTTGCTTTACTCATCAAGACTCGATCTTCATCAATCTTGTTTAGTTGCTTCTACTTCTTTCTGACAAAGACAAAAGAAGTTGTCTCTTATGAGATTTGAGAGACACCTATAAATGATGGGCAGACTCCATGTCAGTTTTCATTAGTTGGCAATATGGGAATTACTTGCTTAATTAATATGCAATAATTACATCATCAATAGTTAATACAATACCTCCCTCAATTCATGTTAATCTTATCATTAAAAAACTATTCTGTTATTATCCCACTTCTGAAATTGAGACACAAATTAAAACAATGGTGGTAGGGTTCCTATATGTTGGATGCAATGGAGATACAATGAAAGTTGACTTGAGTGGCTCCAGGGCTCAGAGCTATCCAGCGATGAACCTCCCCTATTGGTCAAGTAAACCAAGTTTCTAGTCAACAAAGTCTGTGATAAAGAAATTTTGTATTGTAGTCACTACCCTCTCCCAAGAATAGTCGCTATTTGACTTACTCAATTCTGATTCGTCATTAGAAGAATACTGATTTTTCTTCGATAATTGTACTTTCTTTCCCATGAGATCGAGTATTTTATAAAAAAAAAAAGGCTAAGTAAGATCTATCTAGCCGTTGACAATCATATTTTGGCCGTTAACAACAGTCAAATTTTGATCATAGATCTAATCGTTTCCAGCTAAATGCACGGTGGATTTAATTTATAAACTTTTATTGTTGCAGAGTGTTTAGCTAAACTAAAAAATATTAAGGGTTAAAAATAATCTAAATGTTTTCAAAAAATGTACTAAACACAATCTCAAAATCATATCCTATTTGATTTAATCATATTTAGAATATCATACTTCAAATAATGTACCGAACAAGAGTTGATTTTTCTTCAATCACTACATTTTCTTCCCCATGAGATCGAGCATTGGATAAAAAAAAAAAACGCTAGTTGTGACTGTTTATATGTTACTCACAACTACATTATGCCTAACTTAAGAGATGTTGGCAAGAATTAGGTACACCAATTACATTGAATTGATTAATTTGAGGTATAAAAAAAAAAAAAAATATTAAAAATGAAATATAGATGTGGTAGTGGAATGATGATGCATATGAAGAGGCAAATGTGAAGGCATAGTTTGTTTTTTACGAGAGCTGAGAGAGACTCGTGCAAAAGTGGACCTAAGGAGTTTGGATAGAAAAGTATTAATGAAAATGAAAGCATAACTACTTGTAAAAGCTCCAACTAACAGTAATATGAAATTGGACAAGTAGAGGTTTCAGTCGGAATTGGGATTTGTATGTGTTATACTTTGTAAGGTGCCACATTTTAGTTTGATAATATCAACCTTTGGAAACCACTTAAAATAATGTTATTAATATAGTAAGTTTGTTTTAGTATTTTTGATATTTTTAGAGTTGGGTGGGAATAACACAGTAAGATTCAAAAATTAACAAAAACATCTCCTATGTTTGGTAATTTACTAAACACTCATGTAATAAAAATATTAAAAATTACAAAAATACTCCTACCCACCCATTAAATACCGGCTACCACCGTCGGAGGGTAGCTATAGTCGCAGTATCAGTCGTGTGCCAAGATGGCATTTTCCAGCCAGATCCACCATGGATCTGGCCAGAAAAGGCCAGATATGGTTGTGTTTGGTTGTCAACGACGACCATATCTTGGCCGTTGTTGAAGACCAGCTACGGTCAAAGATTTGGTTGTCAACAGCTAGATCTTTGACCATAGATCTGGTCTTTTCCGACTAGATCCACCGTGAATCTGGTTGAAAAATAATATATCAGTGTATTATCTGCTTGATCCAGGTGATAATGCGTCATTATACCAGATTCTAGCTATCTATTGACAATAGTGATCGAAATCTAACAAATATAGGTGAGTGGAGGTATTTTTGTTAATTTTAAACTTTATTTTTAAAAATGTTTAGTTAAATTAATAAATTTAAGGGTTTAAAATAATTAAATATAATATAATAATATTTTTAGGATAGGAAAACAAATAGTATTAATAGGATCCTAAATATTTCTGATTTGACTAAAGGGATGTCCCATATTTTCTTTCGGTAATTAATTGACAAAAGGGGATGTCGGTAGCATTTCTATGCAATCATGCACCATTACCCAAATCATTTGCTCTTGCAAGCTAATCGAAATTTTTCATCACATACTTCCCGTAAATATAAGTTTCAATAATCTATAGAAATCAAATTAATAATTAAGGATGATAAACGGATTTGAGTATAACTCGTTTCTAAAAACTATCTTTAAAAAAAAATAAACGGATTTAAGTAAAACTTAAGCTCATATCAATTTATCAATTTAATAGGTATGAAACAAATTTAATTTTCACTGACTTAGACATATGAAAAAATATCTTTTCTTTTCCAATCACTTTGACATGTATAAAAAGGAAAAAGTGTGCCATTTTATTTTATACAATATGTTTAAGTTTATATATATATACCGAAATAGATGATTCTATCGTTTAACTAGAATAGATATTTTTCTTTTAATTATTTCTATCTCCGCATTTTCTTAATTCCCAGGATATTTTTATCTCATGCTTTTTTAAAGTGAAAGTGAAATTTATGCTTTGTTTCGCTCATATTTTCTTCCCAAAAAGGAAAACTAGCTCCTAACTCTGATAGAGGTAACGCAACTACATATATACGTTATAACAGCTCAATATAGGACAAGTAAACTTCAAGCAAAGAATAAAGATTGATCCTTAAAATAATTTCAAGTGAAATGAGTTCTTCACACAGCAGATTTGGTAAGTGTTTATTCTGTAAAATGGATTGTTGACAGAGTATAAAAAGACAAATATATTCATGGGAAGTAACAATCAAATCACAAACTATATACAAAATCATACCAAAATCTATAACAAAGATAGAAAATTAAAATTGAAAATACTATTAAGGTTAAACTTTCTATGAAAATTAATTGCTCTCAGGTTCTTCGCCGTTACAGCGGTTACCGATATGGTCACCTTGCCATGTCCAAACAATGTCTTTCAATGCTGGCCTAACATCTTCCTCACAAAACTTTGCATACTCCAGAGTGTCGCCGGACGACTTTGAGAACTCCACGATGGCCACCTCCGGCGCCACTTCAAAGACCTCTGCCGTCACCGACAACCGCCCTTTCCTTCCTTCTGACCCTCTTTGTAACTTAACTTTGAAATCCTTCACTTTTGCTACTTTAAAATTAATCCCCTTTGCTACCCCTTCAATCTTGTCCATTATAGCACTGGCCGAGCACTTGGACGTGAACATGGACGCCGTCTTCCTCTTGCTCTCAAACAAACTCGACAAATCAAACCCTGAAGACATGGATGAAATGAACTCAAACGCATTGAAAAACTTTGGAGATGGAAGTTTAGTATTATTATCCTCCTCTTGTTTCTCTTTCTCTTTCTCTGGTTCTTGATCGATTGAAAGCGTTAGAGGTCGAGTGAGGCCTTTTCGAAACCAAGGCACTCGCATAATGGCTTGAATTGTGATTCTTCTTCCAGGATCAGTTACAAGAAGTTTGGAAATCAATCTCTTTGGTTCAGCTGAAAACCATGGAGGACATTCAAACTGAGCTTTGAAAATTTTCCTGTACATCTTCATCAAATTCTCATCCTGAAAGGGCAAAAATCCTGCAAGAAGGACGTATAAAATAACCCCACAGGACCAGATATCGGCTTTGGACCCGTCGTATCCTTTCTTTCTTAAAACTTCAGGAGCCACATAAGATGGAGTCCCGCACTGCGTGTGGAGGAGTCCGTCGTTCCTCAACTGTTCCGGCAAAGCCGAGAGACCAAAGTCTGAAATTTTGAGATCTTCATTTTCGTCTAACAACAAATTCTCCGGCTTTAAATCACGATGCGAGACGCCTCTGCTGTGACAAAAATCAATTGCGCTTATCAACTGTTGAAAATACTTTCTCGCGAGATCTTCTTTCAGCTTCCCTCTGGCAACCTTCGCGAAGAGCTCTCCACCTTTAACATACTCCATAACAAAAAAGATCTTCGTCTTTGTCGCCATCACTTCTTTGAGCTCAACGATATTGGGGTGGCGAACCAATCGCATAACCGATATTTCCCTCTGGATCTGCTCTATCATCCCTTCCCTTTTCACCTGATCTTTGTTGACAACTTTAATCGCAACACTCTCCCCTGAAACAATATGCTTTCCATAATACACTTTCGCGAACGTACCTTTCCCTAGAAGCCTCCCCATCTCGTACTTTCCAAACAGAACGTGCCTCTCCTCCTCCATGGCGTCAACAATCTCTTTCATATAACACAAGAACGAAAATAAATTTAACTCTACAAACTGACACTCAATTTTTCAAACTACTATTTCTATTCGATGAACAGTCTAATCTAATCCAAGAAAGAATAGCCGAGATACTGATTTGAATGGATTCCATGAGATGGGTTGTGGATAAAAGTTGAGAAATTTTGTTAAAGAGAGGTATTAATTGAGTAGATATAGGCAGAGAAGGAGCTGGGGGTGTCCTGTAACCATTGGAGCACCTGGTTTTAAATTTTTTTTGAGCTACAAAAGAGCACACAGACTACAATTTTTAATGAGTTGTATATAAAGACAAAGACTGGAAATTAAAAATTTGATAAGTATACGTTACTAATTCACTTAATTTAGTTTTTTTTTTTTTTTTTAGATTTAATTTTTAATTTTTAGTAATTTCTCTATTTTGGTAAGTGGATCAAATATTTTGTGACATATTTTGTTCGGTGTGGATTAAATTTAAAATGTTAGGTGCTACCAAATTAAACAAGTGACTGATTACACGTGGCGTAACTAGATGATTTCCCCACCTCAAATAAAATGATATAATGAAACCGTTTCAGGTAAGTATTTTAGTTAGGTAAAATATATTAATTAGATAGATAATTAACAGATTATTATGTTAAAAATTTAAAATTTAAAATTATAACTACTGAACCGTTTAATTTTAACTGCCAGACTACTAATATTGTCAAAAGAGTAAACGACATGTGCCCACCCAAGGTTTGACGAAATCCCAAGTTAATACCACTGGTTTCATTTATTCCAGATTCCCACCCTTAAAGTGACGGAAAAACGTTTGATATAACGGTAAAGGGGTAAATTGGTCATTTTACATGGACGGCGCACGTTAGCAGACCACCGCCTCTAACACTCCTCTGGCGCACGTTAGCAACCGTCGTTCCCGACGTTTTTCGCTCTTTTTCGACGATTCTTCCACCCAAAATCACCCTAGTCACCACCATTTGAACCCCCATCCTCCCCTCTACAAAACCATACCATTCACAACCCCTCATCACTCACCGATCTCCGGCCACGGCAACGAAAAACGACCGATGAACACGAACTCTCGGCCGGCGAATGACGACGAAACGGTTGCTGGGGACATAGGGGTTTTATAGATTTGGGGACGGTGGTTGCATTGGTGGTGTCCAATTGGATTTTCACCGCCGGAATCGACCGGAATCTGATGAAGAACACCGAAACCCTAAGCCTAACGGTGCCGGCAATTGGAGGGGCAAATGAGTCGGGAACCAGAGGGGTTTTGGACGACGGACTACGGGGAAGGTGATGGAGGTGACCAGGGGGTTCGACGTCGTCGGAAACAGCCTAGATCGGGCTGTTTCCGGTGAGGGTGTATAGTGACCGAGGGTGTTTTTGATATAATTTGAAAATAAAATGGTAAGTTTGGTAATTCTACTATTTTAGGGGTTAAAACATAATTTTAATTAATTTAGGGTTAAGGGCATTATGGTAATTGTATCCTTTAAACCCTAAAAATTCATAACACTGTTACTTTAAGGGTGGGAATCTGGAATAAATAAAACCAGTGGTACTAACTTAGGATTTCGTCAAACCTTGGGTGGGAATATGTCATTTACTCTTGTCAAAATTCAAAGTAGCTGCCGTCCAATGATAAATATGCTGCAACTTGCTAAATGCTAAGACTTTAAAGACAAAACATATTGTTTAATGCATCACGAAACAGAGTTGTGTCACCGAGTTCTTTTGTCCTTAGAAAAATACATAAAAATAAAATAATTAACCCATAAAATATCAAAAAATAATTATGGTCATTAGCATTTGATAAGGTAACACTATAGGGACCTCCTCTATGGCACTCTAGATTGATTAGGCGAATTGAAGATAATATATATAAGTTGTACGGTCTCGAGTTCAATTCTCTGTCTGAACATCTTTGATTTGGTGGAAAGTCATGCCTAGGGATGGAACATGAGTTGAGTAACTCGCGAGCTATTGGAGCTCGGCTCGTCAAAAGCTCGAATTCGACTTGAAGCCAGTCGAGCCGAGCTCGAGCTTGAGCGGCTCGTGAACAGTATCGAGCCGAGTTCAATCCGGGCTGGCTTGGCTCACGAGCTTCGGATTTTAAAATTATGTAGTACTTGTCTCCAGCTCAAGCTCGTTTAAGCGAGCTCGAGCTCAAGTGCATCTTAATACTCGCGAGCTCGAGCTCGAACACCGATATTGAGCTCGACCAACTCGTTACGGTTCATCACAAATCGAGCTCGAGTATCGAGATACTCAGCTCGGCTCCACTCCTATACATCCAGTCACTTATGCCTCAAGACGTCCATAATTTGACCCGAACATTCAAATTATATTATAATCATAATACTTGGATGTCAAATTATGCTTAGCTAATTGTCTCCGATTTTGATGAGATTTTAGATTCCTAGTTGAGTTTCGTGCCCTTCAAGCAAGGTCTATTACCAAATTATTAGAAAATAACAGGCCTCAGTTTATTTATTAGCATTTATAGCAATTTCTTTTAATGTATAAATTTCCCCATTTATTCAATTTTCATTTATGGTAATGTAGAAAAGTCTTCAGTATTCCATTCAACAGCACGAATAATTAAATAAATGACCGCTCCAAGCCTCCAACGTGGGCCTTTTAGGGGTTCAATTCAACAAATCGTAATAAATCCGAATCTCACGGACAAAAGCACAACACATGGAATTGTTTAATCAAAAAAATATTATTAACTAATCACCCACTATTTTTTCTCACTCTCCTCCTGATCAAGCTAGAAAAATCATTTCCGGGTCCCATAATTCATGGCGGTCAAGGCCTTTTTGACCTGATTTTTGGCACCCAACTTTACTTTTCTAAAGAATAGACGTTGCTTTTAATTCCAAGACCAGCTGTACTCGATTACGTTTTGTCAAGTAACCATTAATTTGTTCATATTTACGTGTTTGTATCGTGATTAAAAATTAATCAATAATTAATGTATCATGCTTTAGTGGAGGACCCCTCACTACCCCACAACAAGGCAAAAAATATCAAAATTAGCTTTGGACTGATTGGAATTTAATATGCTAATGGGTAATATCACATTAGATAACTATGTATTGACTAATTACACTAATGTCAATGTTAATTTCGTGTAAAAGTTATGTAAAATGACAATATGAATTATAAATGTTGATAAAATATGATGAATAAACTCATTTCTAAAAATTAGTTCAAAGAATGAAAGAGTCCAACTATATGTATATACATCATAATAATCTGATATGAGACAAATATAACTTTTAACATCCTCATTCATGCTTGTGGCTTGGCATGCACGACCAACGTCCAAACTCATTATTACCTCAAACAAACGTAACTCTAATATCATCATAATGTGAGTTCAGGTAGAACTTACTTCTGAAAGCTATAAAAGGTGTCCAATCACATATATATATACACTAGAATAATTTACGATGATGTAAAACAAGTACAAATTCTAACAAACTATATTTTTGGAATATGGGTTTGAGTTGGTGTAAAACAAGTACAAATTCTAACAAACTACGGCTTCGTTTGGTTGGATTTTGGGAATACTACTTTTAGTATTCCCAAAAAAGTTAAACAGTAAAATACCCAAAAACTCTCGGCTTCGTTTGGTTGGATTTTGGGAATACTACTTTTAGTATTCCCAAAAAAGTTAAACAGTAAAATACCCAAAAACTCACAATATTATTCAACTTTATTCAACATTTTTTAAACCCCCTAAATTTGTTAATTCAATTAAATACCCCTAAATATTTTTAATGTTTTTGTTACGGCAACTCCAGCAACCCTCCGAAGGTGGTGGAAGGCTGTCCGTATTTGAGGGTGGATTGAGGGTGTTTTTGTTAATTTTTAATATTTCATTATAAGGGGTGTTTTGTAAAAAAACAAACATAAGGGGTATTTTAAAATTTATAAATCCTACATCGTAATACCCGCCCAATTCAACTTTTTTTTTAACTTTTTTCAAAAGCCTTTTCCCAAAAACACAAAATTGTGAACCAAACGGAGCCTACATTTTTGGAATATGGGTTTGAGTTGGACTGACCTTTTAATCATCCTTAATTTAAATTTAATTGAGGAAATATTTTGTTTAGAATTATACGAAACGACTAGTATATGCTATTTGAGTCATCCAACTTTGTCAAAGACTTTTATGAGCATACTAGATATTAATTGATGCTATTTACTGCACTATTGTAAACATTAATTAATAGTTTAATATTATAGTTGAGGTGATGGTTACTATATGTAAACATTATCTTTTGAGTAAAGATGGTTTGGGAAACGCTCTTCATAAACTTTCTCTTATAAACCATACTTGACACTTGAGTTGATAGCCCCCACTAAAACTATCGTAGAATGATTTTCACTAAAACTAAATAATAATCATTCTTTTATAGGGAATGACCGTTATGAATAAAGAATGATCGTTCCTTGGATGAGGAATGACCGTTCCTTAGATGGAACGGTCGTCCCTTGGAAGAGGAATGGTCGAAGTTCCTTGGATGAGGAACGACCATTCCTCATGGAATGGAATGGAATGGTCATTCTGTCCTATGGAATGACCATTCCACCTGGGGGAATGGCCATTCTATGATGGAATGGTCATCCTTCTTACAAAACGACAATTCCTTCCAATTGGATCGACTCTTCCTTATATAATGAATGGTCGTTCATCTATAAGGAATGATCGTTTCTTATACAATGAACGATCGTTCATCCCTAAGGAATGGTCGTTCATGTCTAGTTAAAGTCGTGAGTCATTGAGTTGACATAGCAATGTCAATTCAGTGTCATGTCAGGTTTGTGAGAAAAAATTTGTAAAATTTATTTGTCAACGTAGTATTACCCTTATCTTTTTAACAAATACATTGTTTTTATAGGAGTGTCTAATAAATTTTACGATATTTATTCTCTTTTTTATAAAATATAAATTAAACCATGTATTTAATTCAACAAATAGTAGTATTTATATGCATAGATGATTCACACTAATTTGCCTATTAATCAAAATAATATTGATGAATGAATTTTGAAATAAACAAATAAATACAAATAATGTGATCCAGCCCATATAAAAGCTGGGCCCATGGAGCGGTAGGAAGTAGGAACTGAACGCCGGCAGTGCCCGATTTTAGTTGCCCTCCCACCTGATCTCCACGTGACCACCCTTACACGTGTGCAAACATTACCGACTTAAATTGAATTTTTAATTGATATAAAAGATTAAAGTATCTTCCAAAATTGTATTTTTAATTCGTCAAGATATTGTAATTTAAAAATTAAAATTTTATAACCATAAGATAAAATTATTTATAACTATCTAATCCATCTATTTTTTGTTTTTTTTTTTTTAATTAAGATGTCCAAACTGATTTATGTCAATCTTAATTAATCTTAAAAAAAAATTAAGTGGTGCGTTTGGTTTAGTATTTTGGATAGGATTTTAGGGATAGTATTGGATTATTGAATAGGGGAGTATTACGAGGTAAATTTTAAAAATTTGTGAAAAAGCCCTTAGGTTTACTAATTTAACTAAAGACCTTAACATATAAAATGACAAAAACACCCCCACCACCTGCAGTGTCAGATTCCGGCCACCAACGCCGGAATCTGGCTGAAAAATTTCGTTACGGCACAGACCAGTCGGATTTGTGCCGTAACACGTCGTTATGGCCTTTTCCGGCCATATCCATGGTGGATATGGCCGGAAAAGGCCAGATCTACGGTCTGTTATGGCCGTCGACGGCCGAAAAAGGCCAAACGACGGCCATCGACGGCCAAAGATGTGGCCGTCATTTTCGGTCAACGACGGCCATTTCTTTGGCCGTCACTGACGGCCAGATCTGGCCTTTTTCGGCCAGATCCGTGGTGGATCTGGCCGGAAAAGGCCACATCGGTGAACTTCCGGCCATTTCTGGTCGGAAGTTAGGCCGTTGTATAGATTCCGGCTATCACCGACGGTGGTTGCCGGAATCTGATAAGTTGGGTTGATGGGGGTGTTTTTGTTAATTTTTAAACTTTTTTTCAGGGGGTTTTTAGTGAAATTAATAACTTTATGGGGTTTAAAATAATTAAAAAAATAGGGTAATATTTCTGGAATACTGTGCCAAATATTATTTAGAGAATATGATCTAGATAAAAATATTAAGCCAAACATACAGAAGACTATCGTAATAACTCATCCGCCACGACCCAAAAGAGGGGTGTAGCAAGAGAACTTTCGAGAAGGTCAATCTTATCTGTTTCAACTGTATAGTTGAATGTTGAACGCTCTTCCTCTCAGCCCGCTCCACTCCACTCCACTCACGCCCCATCCATAAAGACTAGGTCCCATTTTATCTTTAACACTGAACACTTCACGTGCAGCTCAGACATTTCAATTGATTCAACCCTTTTTTTGTGGGTCACATAAATTGTTATCTGCTTGGGATAATATATATTCATTTAAAATATATACATATATATGTTATATTTTTCTTCAAAAAAGGCAATAGGGACCATTAAGCAAACTGAAAAACCATTGCTTGATAGTTTAAAATTATTAGTGTTAGACAGATATATCAGAAAAATAAAAATCATAGACAATCGAATATAAGTAAGCAATCATAAAATTATTGAAATTATATTATTTAAAATTTGATAAAAATAACATAAATCACAATTATTTTGTCCCTGTAGCATCACATGTATAAAAACTATAATAAAAACATTATTTTTATTAATCATTTTTTGAAACATGGCGGGCAACTCTTTACTTATCCCTTTTACTTTCAAAAAACATATAAAATATTTTGGGGATTGAATGCTTCATGCATTTGTTCGATAATGAGTACTATATGTGTCTATGTCCATGCCATTATCAAGAATCTAGTGACATCAAATAACTCATGTACATGAATTATTCCTTCCCGTGTTCTAAAAAATAAAAAAAAAGTGTCTAAAATAATAATAAATAAAAAAAAGTAGACAATTGAGGTCACTATTATTTTAATTATTATTTGTTGTGATAAATTAATTAATTGTAAATAAAAAAAGTAGTATGTCTAGAACTAAAGTAGTTGGGTCATCTAATTAGTTGGTCACATCAACTCAAACTCAATAATTCATTCCACAACTAATCAAATTAATAAATCTTAGAATAATAAAGCTTTAGTCTTGGTGCCATCAATATGGTTTTACTTTGGTAACTGTTTGTTTCATTTTGCTAGTTTAATTATAATCAAACCTAGAACAATAATACAACATAACTTTGAATAATTTAGTTGATTATTCAATATTTTAACCTTAAAAATGCTATTCGAGCTTTCATTTTGCCTTTTAATCGTTGGAATTAACTCAATTTAGGACTTTTGTGTTCGAGTTGCATGAAGTTTACCTCAATAAAAAAAATAAAAAATACTATGAACCAACTACAATAAGGTGAAATATAACTTGAGCCATGTCAATTCATATTTTGAGTAACGTAATGATGTTATAATTCCTTCTTACTAATAAAGTAATACTTCATTGATTATAGTATATCGGAAATTGAAAAATCATTTACAAATTATAAAAACTAAACGTTGTTATGAATAACCAAAATATTGATATTGTAACGTTATCAAACCAAAACTATTAGTCTTGTGACCGGACGACAATACTTTAGCCATTTAGATGAGTTATTCAAAAGTCTTGTGTTCGAGTATCATAAAGTGGTCACCTACTATATTTGTGATTTACTTGACTTATTGGGTTTATAGGATGTTCAATAGATTCAAAAATTAGTTGAGTTGTATACAAGTTGGCACACCTCGGTTTAAAAAAAAAAAAAAAAAAAAAAGGTTATCAAACCAAATCATATTTTATTATAGTCTAGAATGGGCTTATTTAAGCCCAAATTTGAGCTCATTAAGTCTCAATCTTAGTAGGATTCAGACTGAGTTTGGGCTCTATCTGGTATGAAGCCCAATATTAGTCATAAATTTGTTTGGGCTGATTTAATGGGCCGATCTGGAGGCCCAGCAAGTGTTGAGCCTTGAAATTAGTATGATTATAATCAAATTATTTGCAGACAAAGGTGGAGTAGCAGGGGCAGAGCTTCGACGAGAAGATGGACGACTCGCGCTTGACGGATTTCGTGACGACGTTCCTGAAAAAGAAGGGCTTCAACGAGGCCGAGACTGCTTTTAGAGCTGAACTTCAACGCAAGAACAATAACAGCTCCAACAACAATTCCATCGACGTACTCAACGATCCCGAACTCTCCAAGTTCTTTCGCTCCTTCTCCGAGTACTTCTTTACTCTTTCTCTCTTTATTTTCCTCTATTATTTCTTATCTATCCTTCGAGTTTCGAAATTTATAAGTATTTTAGGTTCACCTTCGTTTAATTTGCTTAGGTAATTTACGACTTCAAATGCTAGGTTTTAATAATGCAATTTGAAGCAAAATGCTGCTGGAAATTCATAAAAAATCTAAATCATCATGAAGTTAAGAGCTTTACGGGTTCTGTGTTTAGTTGTAAATTCAAGTAGACAGTATGTATGGAACAAATTTTCCCTCGTTTGAACCTCAGACAGTGCAGAATCACTTGTTCTGTGACCTGGATGATCGATATTTGTATAGGGCTACCAAGTTCATAAAAATAGTCACTATGTCTTGCCATTTTTAGTGATTTCTTTAATGAATAGTTGAAGTTCATGGTATATTCTTTGTTATTTAATAAATATTCATGCTTTTTAGATCAGAGGATGGTCCTGCACGATACCAGGATGAATATAGCAAACTGAGGTCATGGACTTATAGCTCCTTGGATCTGTACAAGGTAAGTAGTTATTTTTGTTGCTTTTTAGTATTTTATGTTAGGATCCTTGGTATAAGTTTCTTTTATAGTAACTTAATTTGTCTTTGAATTTTTCAGCATGAATTGCTTCATGTGCTCTATCCAGTGTTTATCCACTGTTTCATGGATCTGGTGGCTAAAAAGCATATCCAAGAGGGTATATTTTTAAACTCTTTCTTCAAGTCCTTTCCCTAATTATGCTGATTTCAATGATTGTTTGTATGTATATGTATTTATGCAATTGTGTTGATGTCCCCAGCAAGAACCTTTTTCAATAGCTTTCGTGAAGACCATGAAATGCTACACTTACGAGACCTTCAGAAGTTGGAAGGGGTTCTTACTCCCTCTCATCTGGAGGTTAGTTGCCACCCTACACTAAGTACAGTTAAACTACTAATAAAAAAATTCTCACCATGATATTATTAATCAGGAGATGGAATTTGCTCATTCTCTAAGGCATAGCAAAGTCAACATTAAGATATGTCAGGTAATATATTGGTTGATTAAATCTGGTGAAAGTTTAGGAGCTGGGCTCGTTGATTCTTGCAAATAGTTGATAAACTTATTGTCTTTCATTTTGACAGTACTCCTATGAGCTTCTGCTGCAGTATCTACACAAGACACAATGTACTAAAATGCTTGGGATCATCAATGAACGTATTAACTTTGAAGGTACAATTGTTTTGCATTGCTGTTTAATTGCATTAATATAGTTTATATTTTGGATTGTGATAAGATTTTCTGTACCTTCTGGTGATGCTTTTATTTGCTTGTTGGGAATAGTTTCTCCGGGACAGCCCAGCTCAATTTCCGATGATGCTGAGATAGTTACACTTATTGGAAGCAACCAGGATGCAGCTAATAAAATAAATCAAAAGGAAGTACACTGGGGGGTGAGTTGGTGGGGCCAGTATAGTGTTTTATATGGATTGTTCTCGTCTTTGATTTTTTTCCTTGTAAAATATCTTCAATGACTATATATTTCTTTTGGAAGTTGCAAGGATTATCTCTAAACTTCTTCAACATTTTGTTATGATTTCTGAAGTAGTTTTTTCTTTTAAATTAATTGTCCTCTGATTATTTTGTTTCTTCTTAAAACGCCAGAAATTGGTATCTGAATATTTGGAACATATTTTACCACATTCTCAAATTCATATCACTTGTTAAGTGCACATCCAAAATTGAGAGTTTTTTCTAGCCAGTTATGACTCGATGCTTAACTTAAAGTTGTGCTACCGGCCTAGCAAATGTATCAAATTTTTTTTACAATGCAGCTATTATGGCCAGTGTGCTAGCTATCTGATTTTTTGACTTTGAGCCTTCATTATATGTTTATCACAGTTGCTTGAAGATTCTTTAGAAAGCCGCTTGGAGAAAACAGGAGGTTTACTATCAGATTCTGAAAAAGCAGAAGGAGAAAACAAAGAGGGGGAGGTAGATGAGAACAAGGTACACATATTTCTCAAGGCCTGTAACTTGTCAATATTTATGCCTTTCCTTTGAAAACCATGTAAGAAATGGAATAATTGAAATGCTTATGCTATGTCTATATATTTAAAGTTCTTAGTTATTGTGTAGAAATGTTATCATAAATGTTCTCCTTTTCTGAGTAGCTTTTCTTGCTATGTTTCTCTTGTTCAGAAAAGATCAGTAGAAGGTGGAAAGCAAGGCACTTCAATGAAAAAGTTGAAGAAGGACAAAGCTATCAACGCAACAGCAAAAACATCACGTCCAGAGGCTAACACTGTGCCAGTGGCCCCACGGGTGAAATCGGAGCTTGCTTTGCCCGTAATGTATTTTTCAAAGATCCCCTATTTAATTTTTCCCCTATAGATGTTTGATTTGGATTCAAGCTAAAATTATATTTCAGTGCATGACATGATAATGATTTTAATTTATGTTGGGTCATCAAACAATTGAAATTGTGTAAGAAAAGTACGACTCTGAAAAAAAGAAAAAGCAAACATAATGACTGAATAGTATTCAGAAATGGATATGAAAAGCATGAGATGCATTCAATGCATCCCCCCTCCTACACACACATGCAAGGACAAAATATAAATAATTACTAGTGTTTCTAATGATTTCCTGTCTCAAATTTGTTAATCTCCAACATTTAGAAGTATTTTGGGTCTGTTTCAAGTTGCACTTAGTTTGAACTAAGAAATGCAAGTTTAAGAATTTCTCAAAACCAAACATCAGTTGTAGCTGTATTTGGTGTAAAACCGTTTCACTCGTTTCCAGTTTCAATTGATTAAAAATAGTTTCATATAGTTATTATCTTTTATCATCAGTGTTACCTGCGATATAAATGTATTTTAACTCATGGTACTTTTTTTGGAAATGTGAGCTGGGTTACAGTTAGATATGTTTCATTACTTCTATTGATTGTCATTGATTCACTGCAGGCCAGTTGAGGTGGAACAGTCTTTTCTTGAAGACTTGAGAAACCGTGTACAGTTGAGCAGTGTTGCATTGCCATCAGTCTGCTTTTATACATTTATCAACACACATAACGGGTAATGTCTAATTAAGTTTTAGTGGTTCAATCGTCAACTTTGTTGGGGCATTCATGGTTTTTATTTGTGCAAACTCACTTATTATTTAATTTAATATTTTCCAGTTTAAATTGTGCATCGATATCACATGATGGATCCTTGGTTGCTGGTGGATTCTCAGACTCATCGTTGAAGGTTGTATATTATCTAATTTACACAATTCACATCTTGTGGGTCGATTGGTTGCTGATTTTGATCTTTGCCTCTACAGGTTTGGGATATGGCAAAGCTTGGGCAACAAACTAGAAGTTGTAAGTTTGTACAAATAGTATTCACTTTCCTTGTGATTATTGTTTTCCTTTGCTTGCCACAATTTACATCTTGTCAGCTATTATTGCCCTCTCTTCAGATATGATAGTAAATAGGTTAACATGCCTAAGTGAGTTTGTCTTATGCTCAGATATTTAGATGAGGAAAGATTTTGTTGTTAAACAGTGTTGGTGTCAGCCGTTTCGCAGGGTGAAAATGATACTACAGCAAAGGAAGATACTTTAGGGGCAAATGGTAGCAAAAGATCTTATACATTATTTCAGGGTCATTCAGGGCCAGTATATTCTGCCAGTTTTAGTCCTCTTGGGGATTATATTCTTTCCTGCTCAGCAGACGCAACAAGTATGCTCTTCTAGGCTATTATATGACTGCTAGTATCTGTTGGTTCTTCCTTTTGTTCTTTTCCATACCGGGAAAAAAAAAAAAAAAAAAAATGACATTGCTGTGCTTGCAGTTCGATTATGGAGCACAAAACTAAATGCGAATCTTGTTTGCTACAAGGGTCACAACTATCCTGTTTGGGACGTTCAGGTATACATTGAATTTACAGTATATGTTATATATTTAAAAAAAAATGTGTTCGAGTCACAGAAAGTTTACCCCAATAAAAGAAAAAAAAAATGCTATAAACCAACTACAATAAGGTGAAATATAACTTGAGCCATGTCAATTCATATTTTGAGTAACGTAATGATGTTATAATTCCTTCTTACTAATAAAGTAATACTTCATTGATTATAGTATATGGGAAATTGAAAAATCGTTTACAAATTATAATAACTAAACGTTGTTATGAATAACCAAAATATTGATATTGTAATGTTATCAAATCAAAACCATTAGTCTTGTGACCGAACGACAATACTTTAGCCATCTAGGTGAGTTACTCAAATGTCTTATGTTCGAGTCTCACAAAGTGGAAACCTACTACATTTGTGATTTATTTGATTTATTGAGTTTATAGGGTGTTCAATAGACTCGAAAATTAGTTGAGTTGTGTGCAAGTTGGCACACCCCGGTTATTAAAAAAAAAAAAAAAAAAAAAGTTATCAAACCAAATCATATTTTAGTATAGTTTAGAATGGGCTTATTTAAGCCCAAATTTGAGCTCATTAAGTCTCAATCTTAGTAGGATAGAGACTGAGTTTGGGCTCTATCTGGTATGAAGCCCAATATCAGACACAAATTTTTTGGGCTGATTAATGGGCAGACCTGGAGGCCCATCAAGTGTTGAGCCTTGAAATTAGTATGATTCTAATCAAATTATTTGCAGACAGAGGTGGAGTAGCAGGGGCAGAGCTTCGACGAGAGGATGGACGACTCACGCTTGACGGATTTCGTGACGACGTTCCTGAAAAAGAAGGGCTTCAACGAGGCCGAGACTGCTTTTAGAGCTGAACTTCAACGCAAGAACAATAACAGCTCCAACAACAATTCCATCGACGTACTCAACGATCCCGAACTCTCCAAGTTCTTTCGCTCCTTCTCCGAGTACTTCTTTACTCTTTCTCTCTTTATTTTCCTCTATTATTTCTTATCTATCCTTCGAGTTTCGAAATTTATAAGTATTTTAGGTTCACCTTCGTTTAATTTGCTTAGGTAATTTACGACTTCAAATGCTAGGTTTTAATAATGCAATTTGAAGCAAAATGCTGCTGGAAATTCATAAAAAATCTAAATCATCATGAAGTTAAGAGCTTTACGGGTTCTGTGTTTAGTTGTAAATTCAAGTAGACAGTATGTATGGAACAAATTTTCCCTCGTTTGAACCTCAGACAGTGCAGAATCACTTGTTCTGTGACCTGGATGATCGATATTTGTATAGGGCTACCAAGTTCATAAAAATAGTCACTATGTCTTGCCATTTTTAGTGATTTCTTTAATGAATAGTTGAAGTTCATGGTATATTCTTTGTTATTTAATAAATATTCATGCTTTTTAGATCAGAGGATGGTCCTGCACGATACCAGGATGAATATAGCAAACTGAGGTCATGGACTTATAGCTCCTTGGATCTGTACAAGGTAAGTAGTTATTTTTGTTGCTTTTTAGTATTTTATGTTAGGATCCTTGGTATAAGTTTCTTTTATAGTAACTTAATTTGTCTTTGAATTTTTCAGCATGAATTGCTTCATGTGCTCTATCCAGTGTTTATCCACTGTTTCATGGATCTGGTGGCTAAAAAGCATATCCAAGAGGGTATATTTTTAAACTCTTTCTTCAAGTCCTTTCCCTAATTATGCTGATTTCAATGATTGTTTGTATGTATATGTATTTATGCAATTGTGTTGATGTCCCCAGCAAGAACCTTTTTCAATAGCTTTCGTGAAGACCATGAAATGCTACACTTACGAGACCTTCAGAAGTTGGAAGGGGTTCTTACTCCCTCTCATCTGGAGGTTAGTTGCCACCCTACACTAAGTACAGTTAAACTACTAATAAAAAAATTCTCACCATGATATTATTAATCAGGAGATGGAATTTGCTCATTCTCTAAGGCATAGCAAAGTCAACATTAAGATATGTCAGGTAATATATTGGTTGATTAAATCTGGTGAAAGTTTAGGAGCTGGGCTCGTTGATTCTTGCAAATAGTTGATAAACTTATTGTCTTTCATTTTGACAGTACTCCTATGAGCTTCTGCTGCAGTATCTACACAAGACACAATGTACTAAAATGCTTGGGATCATCAATGAACGTATTAACTTTGAAGGTACAATTGTTTTGCATTGCTGTTTAATTGCATTAATATAGTTTATATTTTGGATTGTGATAAGATTTTCTGTACCTTCTGGTGATGCTTTTATTTGCTTGTTGGGAATAGTTTCTCCGGGACAGCCCAGCTCAATTTCCGATGATGCTGAGATAGTTACACTTATTGGAAGCAACCAGGATGCAGCTAATAAAATAAATCAAAAGGAAGTACACTGGGGGGTGAGTTGGTGGGGCCAGTATAGTGTTTTATATGGATTGTTCTCGTCTTTGATTTTTTTCCTTGTAAAATATCTTCAATGACTATATATTTCTTTTGGAAGTTGCAAGGATTATCTCTAAACTTCTTCAACATTTTGTTATGATTTCTGAAGTAGTTTTTTCTTTTAAATTAATTGTCCTCTGATTATTTTGTTTCTTCTTAAAACGCCAGAAATTGGTATCTGAATATTTGGAACATATTTTACCACATTCTCAAATTCATATCACTTGTTAAGTGCACATCCAAAATTGAGAGTTTTTTCTAGCCAGTTATGACTCGATGCTTAACTTAAAGTTGTGCTACCGGCCTAGCAAATGTATCAAATTTTTTTTACAATGCAGCTATTATGGCCAGTGTGCTAGCTATCTGATTTTTTGACTTTGAGCCTTCATTATATGTTTATCACAGTTGCTTGAAGATTCTTTAGAAAGCCGCTTGGAGAAAACAGGAGGTTTACTATCAGATTCTGAAAAAGCAGAAGGAGAAAACAAAGAGGGGGAGGTAGATGAGAACAAGGTACACATATTTCTCAAGGCCTGTAACTTGTCAATATTTATGCCTTTCCTTTGAAAACCATGTAAGAAATGGAATAATTGAAATGCTTATGCTATGTCTATATATTTAAAGTTCTTAGTTATTGTGTAGAAATGTTATCATAAATGTTCTCCTTTTCTGAGTAGCTTTTCTTGCTATGTTTCTCTTGTTCAGAAAAGATCAGTAGAAGGTGGAAAGCAAGGCACTTCAATGAAAAAGTTGAAGAAGGACAAAGCTATCAACGCAACAGCAAAAACATCACGTCCAGAGGCTAACACTGTGCCAGTGGCCCCACGGGTGAAATCGGAGCTTGCTTTGCCCGTAATGTATTTTTCAAAGATCCCCTATTTAATTTTTCCCCTATAGATGTTTGATTTGGATTCAAGCTAAAATTATATTTCAGTGCATGACATGATAATGATTTTAATTTATGTTGGGTCATCAAACAATTGAAATTGTGTAAGAAAAGTACGACTCTGAAAAAAAGAAAAAGCAAACATAATGACTGAATAGTATTCAGAAATGGATATGAAAAGCATGAGATGCATTCAATGCATCCCCCCTCCTACACACACATGCAAGGACAAAATATAAATAATTACTAGTGTTTCTAATGATTTCCTGTCTCAAATTTGTTAATCTCCAACATTTAGAAGTATTTTGGGTCTGTTTCAAGTTGCACTTAGTTTGAACTAAGAAATGCAAGTTTAAGAATTTCTCAAAACCAAACATCAGTTGTAGCTGTATTTGGTGTAAAACCGTTTCACTCGTTTCCAGTTTCAATTGATTAAAAATAGTTTCATATAGTTATTATCTTTTATCATCAGTGTTACCTGCGATATAAATGTATTTTAACTCATGGTACTTTTTTTGGAAATGTGAGCTGGGTTACAGTTAGATATGTTTCATTACTTCTATTGATTGTCATTGATTCACTGCAGGCCAGTTGAGGTGGAACAGTCTTTTCTTGAAGACTTGAGAAACCGTGTACAGTTGAGCAGTGTTGCATTGCCATCAGTCTGCTTTTATACATTTATCAACACACATAACGGGTAATGTCTAATTAAGTTTTAGTGGTTCAATCGTCAACTTTGTTGGGGCATTCATGGTTTTTATTTGTGCAAACTCACTTATTATTTAATTTAATATTTTCCAGTTTAAATTGTGCATCGATATCACATGATGGATCCTTGGTTGCTGGTGGATTCTCAGACTCATCGTTGAAGGTTGTATATTATCTAATTTACACAATTCACATCTTGTGGGTCGATTGGTTGCTGATTTTGATCTTTGCCTCTACAGGTTTGGGATATGGCAAAGCTTGGGCAACAAACTAGAAGTTGTAAGTTTGTACAAATAGTATTCACTTTCCTTGTGATTATTGTTTTCCTTTGCTTGCCACAATTTACATCTTGTCAGCTATTATTGCCCTCTCTTCAGATATGATAGTAAATAGGTTAACATGCCTAAGTGAGTTTGTCTTATGCTCAGATATTTAGATGAGGAAAGATTTTGTTGTTAAACAGTGTTGGTGTCAGCCGTTTCGCAGGGTGAAAATGATACTACAGCAAAGGAAGATACTTTAGGGGCAAATGGTAGCAAAAGATCTTATACATTATTTCAGGGTCATTCAGGGCCAGTATATTCTGCCAGTTTTAGTCCTCTTGGGGATTATATTCTTTCCTGCTCAGCAGACGCAACAAGTATGCTCTTCTAGGCTATTATATGACTGCTAGTATCTGTTGGTTCTTCCTTTTGTTCTTTTCCATACCGGGAAAAAAAAAAAAAAAAAAAATGACATTGCTGTGCTTGCAGTTCGATTATGGAGCACAAAACTAAATGCGAATCTTGTTTGCTACAAGGGTCACAACTATCCTGTTTGGGACGTTCAGGTATACATTGAATTTACAGTATATGTTATATATTTAAAAAAAAATGGAATAGTAGTGTGAAATTATTCAATTTGTTAAGACATTTTTGTAATATGGTGTGTCGGGACTATTTCCATCTTAATCCTGCACATTAATGTTTTTTGCCTAATGCGCTTACTTGCCCTTCCTTATGTCACATTTAACTTTGTTTTTCAATTCGTGTTTTATAATGTTTACCTTGTTGATTTATAAAATACATTAGCTCTTGCTGCAGTTAACATTGCCTTAGATTTTACTGGTCAATAAACTGAAACCTGCTCTACTGTTTTTCTCTGTGACAATCTCACACATGATACAGTCATCTCAGTTATTGCCTAATTTACGTTCCTAATGTGTTTGATTATTTTTGTTATGGCGTTGGGGGTGGGCAGGTGTGTGGGGCTTTTTAATAGCTGTAGATTGCTGGGTTAGGTGACACTTTTAAACGTAATTCTAGTTTGAGTTTTGTGCAGGTCTTGATTTTTTGTTTACTTTCTTTCGGTTATAGAGGGATTGTACATAGCTTCCATCAACTTTTTAAAACTTGGTTGTCTGTTTACTCCTCATATGTGTACATACTAAATGTTCTTTATTGTCATCTCTTGGTGCAGTTTTCTCCATTAGGACATTATTTTGCTAGCTGTTCCCATGATCGAACAGCAAGGGTTTGGTCTATAGATAGAATACAGCCTTTACGAATAGCGGCAGGGCATCTGTCTGATGTTGACGTGAGTTGTTTTTGTTCTTTCCCTCTTCTCTCTCATTGAATGAAATCCTACTGATTTAAGTTACTGTTTGATGGTGATTTAGGCTTGATTATGCCTGATATCAGTTCTTTAATTGATCTGGTGTACCTTTAAGTGGCATCCTTCTTATTAAACTCTTTGGGAGCTCCTGTTCCCTGCAAGAAGTCAGCAAAATGCTTTTTGGTTAATTAGATTACTTTTTAGTTGTATATTATTAATGATAGTTAGATTGCTTGTTTCAGTGTGTCCGATGGCATGCCAATTCCAACTATATTGCAACTGGTTCTAGTGACAAAACAGTTCGATTATGGGATGTTGTGAGCGGGGACTGTGTCCGGATTTTTGTTGGTCATAGAAGTATGATTCTGTCCTTGGCAATGTCACCTGATGGTCGCTATATGGCATCCGGCGATGAAGATGGTGCTATTATGATGTGGGACCTTGCAAGTGGTCGTTGTGTCACGCCACTGATGGGTCACACCTCATGTGTGTGGTCACTTGCGTTCAGGTTTTCTTTGCTACCCAGTGGATGTCTTAAACATTTCAAAAAAGAATCGACTGGTTTATTATTTTTAACACGAATCTATACTATACATGCCAGTTGTGAAGGTACGCTTCTTGCATCTGGATCTGCTGATAGCACCGTAAAATTATGGGATGTCACTACTAGCACAAAGGTGCCTAAGACTGAAGAAAAGTAAGTTTTATCTCTTAAAAAGTAACTGTGCCTAATTTACTTTTCTTTGGAATTATTTCTTCATGTGTTTTTATACCTCTGTAGAAGTGGAAATCCCAACAGACTCAGATCGTTGAAAACTCTGCCTACTAAGTCGACACCAGTCTATACTGTGCAGGTATTGCTAGAATTTTATTTCATTTTCCCTTTTCTTTTTTCTTCTCCAGAAGGCGTAAAATGATAATATCTAATGTTTCCCTGCAAACAGTTTTCTCGAAGGAATCTACTATTTGCTGCTGGTGTCCTCTCAAAATAATGAAGCAGAACCGGGCTCAAAGGAATTCAATGATATTGAATATTGATATAATCAAAATCATGATTTTAAATTCTTGTGTATTGCTGTAGTAAAATCATAATTTCTTGCCCTCTTTCGCCATTCCATCTGTAACTCATAAAATTTTGTTAAATTTAATGAGTCTTAATTTGCGTGGTACTCTCTCACTCTATTACGTAATTTTTTTATGATGTGTAAAGATGCTAGATAAGACCACGTTGTTGCGTACATTAAATAAAAAATTTATACAAAATCGCTGAATTATATAACAAGAATTCCATGTAAAATTCTATTATTTAGTGGATTTTAGATTTAGTACAGGAAAAGAAAAGAAAAGAAAATGTTGAATTGACTGGTTCAAAAGGCCTGCATTAGAAGGGTCAATTATATAAACAAAAAGAATCAATCCATCCAGAGTACTGGAGAGGACAGTGACATTAGTGATGAGACCGAGAATAATTATGGTACAATCTAATAATTTTCCCGCCATGTATAGTACATTGTCACATCATCATTTTATTTCTGACTTGCAAATAGTTATACATACTAGTATTTGTTGTTTATAATTAATATTTTCGGAAATTCAAGTCCTTCATCAATCATGCAACTTCTTTTGAAGCACCAGCTGCGCCTGCAATTACAAAACTCACCATAAATTTAGAGATACTGCACTCTTCAAGTTTAGCATGGAAACCCACATTTTAACAAAACTATATCGGCATATTCAACGTCTTTGTATTTGTAATGCGAAATCTTGGAGGTACTTCAAAATATGACAGAAAAGACATAAATAATTTTGCCCTAATACTAATAGTTTCTCAACTATACATATTACAGGATTGCGTTTTGAGTACTTTTTTTTCGCGTATTGACCATTTGACCTACCCACCCCACTACATCTTCTAAGTTCTTGACAGCCCATCTTTGTCGAACAACAGCCTCACACCACTAAGTCCTGTTGCATTCTATAATGTTGCCTTGCATTGAACTTTAGCTATTAGAAGTTTGCTCAAAGTGCCATGAAGATTCGCTATATAAATCATATCTCACAAGTATAAACAGCTACCCAAGCCGCTGCAGATTATTCGATTTTTACAACAGAATATCATTGAAAAACCACGACGACATTTTTGATTTAGCAAATGTTTACCAGCAAACCTTTGTAAGGAAGCATCTAAGTAGTGCTAATTCAGGAAACCTCAAAGGCATCAAGTAATCAAATTACTAGGAAGAATATCATTGGAAAACCTCTACTGTAAAGGTCACAATTAACCATCAAAAGTCTTCCAGTTATAATTTTGACAATTCTGGAGAGTGCAAACTCCCGTGCTTAGGCAAAACCATAACAGTCAACAAAAGTGACAACAATACATCTCACATTTTTTATAGTTCTTACACAGAAATTTTTTTAGAGAAAGCTAAAAGGTTAAACACATGGAGTCAGAGAAAAAAAAAAAAAAAAAACATTTTATCTCAGCTTCTGGGATAAGGATTTAAGACCCACAATTCGAATAATATCTCAAATTTATTTTCTGTAAGTAATGTGTTACCCTATGCGGTACTTACTACATGTAAATGATTACATAGGATGACACTTAAGAAGAGAAATTTTGAAACTTTATTGTGGATGTGTAGTCTAGCTTTGACACATAATTTTTAGATGAGAAATTTGAAATGCTACTCGAGATTCCTTATGAATAATATAGTACTTGATTGCAGTATTCTTCCAATTTCATTCAATGAGATACCTCTCTCTATGCACAGAATAAATGTGTAAATGAGAACTTAGAGAAGCTTTCACCTACAACCAAAACGACAATAAGAAAAGCTGTCATCCTTATCAACAGATCCTCAGTACCTAAAGTAAATAGGAATTAGAGCTGTCAGAATTCAATGCCGTAAAGCAACTATTTTTGACCATCTGAAACATTTGCATGCCCAACAGACATTGATCAGAGGAGCCCCACTGCATGTAAATAGATGTGTAAATGCAAAATCTAGGTCATTAAGCTTTGAGATCTTTTTCAGAATAAAGCACCACATTCCTTTGCACCTGCTGCTTTCATCTACATCCTGAAGATAAATATGAGACACATTATTCATGCACCAAATAAGATAAAATCTCCACAATAGTACAACAAATCTGCACTCAAATGCTATAAATACAAATCTGGGTTCCAGTTCCTTGGTCACAGAAAAAAAGGAAGTTGATTAAGCCTTAAAATACTATGGTGGTCAGTTGCGTTGAGCATATAATCTGGTAAGGTCATGAAATAGTTTTCTTGCCATATCCTCACTGCATTGCAATTGGCAAAATTCCACAAAAGAAGTGGCACAAAGGTACATAGCAGATAAATTAAGAAACATAATAGGGAGAGAGGCATAAACTCAAAGGGTCTATGACTCTATCATACTATTTTTGAATTCAACCTTTGGGTATCAATGATCCCATCTAAGCTGGATCACAGATATTGGATCTGTTATGTTCTTGTATTATTTGAACACGATTCACTTAAGCAACAAGTTCATTTTATCAAACAAAAGTATACTCTTACATGGAAGGTTGCTGTATCTATTAATTACTCAAAAGAGTAAACACAAATCATAATATCATCAATAAAATTCTTGCCTTCAGACCCTTCTAATACCTTAAAAGTGGTGAGCTCTCCCCACAAGGTTTCTTGGTTTTCATTTGAGAAATCCAAATGGTGTACCCACTAGCTGAAGCTGCTAAAATAAAATATCAATTCCGCTGCCAAAGTGAGAATCAGGCTTCTGAAAATTTAAGGTTAACCAAAGATGTGACTTAAACAAAACAAACTCATATATAAGAGGGTAGAATTATTCATATCTCAAGTAGAACATTGTAGTATTTGAATCAGAAAAAGACCGCAGGTAAATCCTATCAATCGCCAATAAATCCACTTGACTCTTTGATTATCCAACTTCACACAGATAAAGAGAACTCCTAAAGACCATTTTCCCTACTTCCCCTTAATCCAAATATATTCAATGTTACATTCAGACAAAACTTTTTATTATATCAACACATTCTTTAGATAAATATATCCTTAATTACCATGCACTAAAACAAGTAAAATTTCATTTTTATACTTTTGAGTATCATGTTAAACGTTTTAATTAAGAAAACCAAATTCAGTATTTATAACTGTGTTCTCACTCAATGGTCTTTATTGATCACCAGTATTTATATCTCACAAGCTCTAAAACAGTCAGTCTTTATGATCACAAGTTACAAACTCTAGCAACATACGTCATACTAATCTTCAGTCGGAATCCAACATTTCTGTCGTTGGTGAAGAACGTACTCCAATGCTAAACATAGGGGCTCAAAGCGTAAGAAAATGTTACCTGCATCTTACCTCATCAGACAAGGAATGATTCAAATTCATAAAATGTATAAAGAAAGCACTGACGGATTTGAATTATAGAAAGTTCTTTCAGCCAGCTAAAAATTGAGAGCTACAGCTACCTAATGACGCAAACAACAATTAGCTGGGTGCAAAAACTTTAAAAAATTGCTCAAGGGATCTCATGATATAATCTATTATGGCATAAAAGGAATATTAGAAGTAAAACATAAAAGAAAGCACTTTTGATCATAGCAATAAATCACATTGATATTCTATTTTGATATCAATGACAGACTTACAGATCAATCACAGTCGCCTCGGAATCTATCAACAACAACTAATGAACAATAAAGTGTTGATTTTACATATTACCAGTGGAAATAAAGCCATGCCATAAGCCTCCTGGACAGAGGTAATATTCCTAGATTCATTTATCAATTGCCATATTTGTCAAACCTGAAAGTACAGTTTAATACCAGATTAAACATTGAGGAACCATCATATGTGTACTTAAACATTCAATGATCCACTTTAACTTATGAATACCTAAACTTAAACCAAAAACTTAATTACAAAACGAAAAGATGCATGCAGATGGTAAAAAATAAAATCTTCAAAAGAAAAATAACTGGACTATAAGAAACTAATAAATGAAGTCACTGATGTGAACTTGCTGTCACTGATGGATAGTTGTATGAAAGCCCGCAAAAAACCAGCTTATTAGTCACTCTCCTAATTTCTAATTTAATAGTTATTTGAATAAATACATATATACACACACATCAAATATGTGTATATTCTAAGTTGCTTAATTTCACTTTGACGCTCAGCCACTTGTTCTAATTAACTCAGAATCTTAAGAATTTCAACAACACCTTCAGTATGATGATGCAGCAGGATATCTGGGTACTTGCTGGGTTGTGCAGGTCTTTTTTGTTGTGTAGGATGTTTTGGGCAGTGGAATATTGTTTAGCATGTGTATATAAGTTGGCTTATGCTGCCCGTATATAGGGGTTGTGTGTTGTAGTTTTTGCAGCAGTCTTAAGGTTTTTTCTCTTCTCCTTTTGATTGCTTACTGCTTAGATGCTGGGCTCCAGGGATGGTTTCCATTCCTTGCTGCTCCTTTTTGTTTTCAGTGGCTCTTGGGCATGTCCAAGGGCTGGTTGTAGCTTGTAATTGTAATTCATTTATTCTTTATTCCAATTACCAAGTTTACCTAAAAATAATCAATCTAAAAAATGGATTAAGCCTTTCATATCATTTTTCTAGAACACAAACCTGAACCATTAGTAGTAACTAGTGAATTTCAGAAGTAATAATTCTAAAACTAAAGGGAAATATACACTTCACATAAATCACAACCATCACAATGAACAAAAACTGCATCACGGTATCTTTTCCTTCTCTACACTCCATTAACAAGAAAAAAAAACAAGGATTTTTAATATAATCTACCAGTAATGGGCTAAAAAAATTATTTTTGTAATGTTAAAAACCCGTATTTTCACACTTTCCATTGATCAAATACATGTTTCCAAGTATGTAATTCTAGCTCATACTATATTTTTATACAACATTTCATGGATTTGTTTACCAAACAAGGAAGATATTGGTGATCAAACACTTAGAAAGCCGAATATAAATGTAAAAATAATTAGTAGAGTCAGGCATTGCCTTGAAAAGAACAATCGACTTACATGTTAATTCTCCATTAATCGTCATCATCCAATTACTTTAACTCTACTTCAAATTATATCCAACCACTAATTACTTTCAAGGTTTTCATACCACTACAAGCTCTAAATCCTTTTGAAAACAACTAATATATGATTTATTTATTTATTTATTTGAGATGATCTCAATACATATATGTCACCCCCAAATAATACATAGATACAAATGCACACATTGTCAACAATGTATTATAAATAAAACAATCTAAGTGGTTGACATCCTCGATTAATGCAATGCTTGAAGATAAGGATGAATTATTCAATGAAGATAAAAGGTTAGTTGATGTGTTTCTATCCTGGAAGCTTCAAACCAAGTCAATTTACTAAAATATACAAGAACATAAAACCTTTTAATATGACCAAATCTTTGATGAAACTTTTATACATAAGCTAATAATGTGTCCTATAAGAAACTAATTAAAACCCCAAAACGTTAAGGGAAAGCATATTTACAAATTTAAAATTAATAAAACTGCATGTGAAAGGCATATATTAACGGAACAAATACATAGAGCAAAATGTTAACATCATAAATTCAGAATAGTAGAAAATGCTCACTGGCAATCTCAAGTTCAGTAAACTTAACATATGATTGAAAACTAAATCAGGCAACTTGAGAAGAACCACTACATATAATTAATTTGAGTCATCAGTATTATGTATAGATGATTTCCCTTTTTCATCTCAGGAGCAATCAAAGGCACAAATCAACATGAGAAATGGAAGACAAGAGAATCATTTCCCCACATAAAATAAATATGTATGACAGATATTATAGCTGTTTTATCATATTCTTAACAAAGAACCTGCACATAATTACATAATAAAAGATAAAATGTTACTGGATACAATTAAATTAAACATTTTTCTCACATTATGTACATAAATAACAAGGGAATGATTTCAGGTAGCACAGGTACTGTAAACTCAGAGGAAATTATGATGCAGATGTATAAACTGTTTAATTAATTACGATACTTAACTTTAAACCAGTCAATTTTATGTTAAGTGTTCAAGATAACTCTTGTTATATCATAATTGTTATTTCGCTAAATAACTTACATGCGAACCCGAATAAAACAAATTGTGCCGCTGCAAAATCTGATAATCCTCAAGATCTTGAAATTCACTATTTGTATTACCAACTAGCTGGCTATTTCGAGGAAATCCCTAAACCTGATTGATAACTCATCAATTAAAGTAAAAAATTTCCCATGGTAAATGGATTTATGGTTCTTTAGAGCACTCCACGACTCTGCTACAAAACATAAGAACAAGAAGAATAATAGATGCAAAATTAACCTCTCTTTCCCCTTCTACACTCGATAAGTGACATCAAATCACAATGAAAACTCATCTACTGACATTAAACGTTACTTTGCAATACCAAATAATTATATTTTTGGTCAAATCATCAACACCAATAGGCAAAAGCAGTAGAATATTAGGGTTCCATTATTAAAATAGCCAATTTGATTGAGATTACTAGCGAGTAGATTCTTGTTAGATTCAGGTGAGAACAGACTCGAATCGGAGTGTGCATCATCGCATGCGCAGGAAATTAAAAAAAAAAAGAAAAGGGAAACGCTTAAGAGGATGATAATAGCATGAAGAGAAGTAATGTAAGGACCATACTAGCTAGATAACGTGAATGGTCCCATGCTAAGCAGAGTTTTGCCGCAAAATCCGCACAGTAATCACTAATTAGGCGTACCTTCACACAAAAATATCATCAAAAGTCACGCTTTCAAGCTGTTTAGCGTCATTAAATATAAGATTATAGTAATAATCAAATTCAAATGAGTAAAGACGAAAAGAAATAGACACACTAGAGTTGTCATGATCAAGCGTTCACCATTTTTCTCCTCCGTTATCGTATAAGGTGGTGTTTTGTCTTCTTTCTTCAACTCAACACAGTTGATATAGAGAATGAGAGAGGCGAAGAAAAGAGTGGTTGATTTGGAACAAAAACAGGCCAAGAACTGAACGAAAATAGATCAGATTCCGGCACTGGAAGCTGACAGAAAGAGAAGTGAGCACGCAAAAGCAAAAGTATAGCTTATACAAGTGCCTCTGTGTGCTCACTCTCTTCTGTCAATTTCTATGTTCCAAGAATGAAAATAAAAGAGAGAAATGAGTAAAGATAAAAGTGAAGATAATGCTTTCCATAAGTAGAAACCACCAACCACACACATAGACATCTACCCTGAACACACATATAAAGAAAAAAGGGAATTTATACGCACAAAAATGAGTCAGATCTGAGCACACAGTGTGACCCAATTAAGGAAAGATACCAAAAGGCTCCATGAACATAAAATCTAACTCTTTTCAGTAATGACTTAAGGGACGATTTTGATTTTAGGGTTTTTTGCAGGCCAAGAACAACAAAAACAAGAGAATTTATAAAAAAAAAAGAAGGAAAAAACCGAAAATAGTTTGTTCCTTCCTTTATCTTATTCTCTATAATTGGCCATGCTGAGTCTTGGGTTTTTTTCTTTCTCTCTCTCTCATGCAGGAGGTACAGGTGTCGGTGACATCGTACAAAGTGTCCTTACTTTTTCTGAACAAATCGAACAGTGTCGACGGCGACCGCATACATAAGGACGAAAGACCGTAACTACCAAATAAAAGCCACAAATAGAAAGAAACCAAACCCATTACAATCTCTTAAAGAGATAACATTAATGGAATCACTTCACTACAAAGACTCTAGCTTAATTACTTTGGCTTCTTATCATGTTTATGATGAGAGATGAGTTGGCTACACCGCTTCAGTGTATCTTATAGAGTTTGAGCGCGTGTATTAGGGCGTGGGGTTCTTTTTGGGAACATCAACACGAAGCATTTTCGAGAAAGGGTAGAGATAAAGAGATAGAGTGGCCAAATTATACTAATATTTATAAAGAAAAAAAGTTTTTATGTTTCACGGTACATAGAGATTATTCTTTGGCTGAGATTTCTCTAGGGTACGCGTCTCTTTCATGGACTGATGACCTCTGATTGATTTGCAACCGTTGATTAGACTTACTTTAAATCTCACTATCTGCCGTCCGATTCCAATTAAAATACTGGTTGGGGTGGTCCGTCTGTTTGTTTGTGGTCTTCTTGGAATTTGAGTTATGGGACAGCGCCATTTGAGGAGACAACCCATCTGTATATCAAACTCAACCCATAAGAGGGCGGGCCTTCATTTCTTCATCTAAAACAAGGGGGCAAATATGTCAAATAATCCCCTCAATTACTGACGTGGCGATATCTGCTTCTGTGCGGCTCGAGGAGGTATTAACTAGGGTTCGGTGGTCAGATTAAACAGCTAATTAATGAGACAAACGTGTCGAACAGTGATTGGTCAGTAAAAGAGATTCACCTTTCGTTTGGGGTTAAGACATAAGATAAGAAACGGCTCTGTGTTTTTAATTGATTGTACTGTGTTTTATTTTGTAAATCTAAGCTGTAGCTATCAAGTGCATAAGTTGAAGTTAAATAGTACCAAACCGGCAGTGCATGTTTTGGCTTATGGATAAAATGAAGCCTACGCAGGCAAGAGTTGTACTATTTCCACCGAGCTATGCACATTCTAAGAAAGAACACTCTTACTGATTATGACCCCACGTGCAAAATAATTTTTTCAGTAATTATATATGGATTAAATTTAATTTTGTCTAAAATTATTCAGGTTTGAAATATAGTTATTAGGGAGAAGAAGAAGAGATCAGCTGTGGAAATATTAGAAAATGGAGGGTTTAATAGTAATCTAGAGTAAGTTATGTTGGAATTGCCAACCACTTCAACAATAAGAGGTTCATTTATAAGTAGTGACGCACATGAGGTTAATATCATGAATAGTTCTTGTAGGATTTTCTAAGAAATAGGATTAGGTTTGACTTAGGAATACGAATCCTATTAGTTTTAGATTTTAGGTTTCTCTCCTAAAACATAGCATATAAACACATTATTCTCTTATATGAGTGATATAGAAAATCATAACAAATACATTAATTGCAACGAGAGAGGTAAAGAAATATAGAAATAATATTGACTATGCTGGACGTAGCCTGAATTTAGATAAACTAGAATAAATCGCATCAAGATCTTTACATTAAAATACTGGTTGAGGTTTATATCATAATATTGACTAGAATAAATCATAGCAAATACACATTATTCTCTTTTTTGTGTATGATTAGTTTTAGTTTGATTCCATTCGCTGTTTAGTTCTTTCAAGGTAAAGATATTGATACTTGATTTTGACACCAACGACTCGCACATGCAAAGTGCTAAGAGAGTCTTAAAAATTACACGTGATGGATTCATGAGATTTGAATATGGTGCTAAGATTATATATGTTTGCAGAAACATAAATAAAGGATTGACAAGAAAGGTTTTTATAGTAGTTCAGAAGCTTAAATCAAATCGTACATCCACTGTTATTTTATTATTCTCTGACTATTTTCATGATATTGCCTGTAAGGCGTACAAAGATGGAGAAATACTTTGTTTACAGAGAGAAATAATGAAGCTCAAATGTTTACCTAGCTCTCATCTGCCCAGCCTCCCTCTTTTACGAAGAGAGGTGCCCATTTATACATATTTGAGGTCAATGTAATAAGTGCTTTTGCAAGCTGCCTTAACATATAAAGAGCTCTCATTCGTCCTTATCTTAAAATGAGATAGGGTTGGTATAAAATATCTTTGAGACGGTATTGACTTGACAGCTAGTACAGTTTGTCTTTTAGGCACTTATTGAGCTAACATCAGCGTGATTTTTTAGGCATAACAAAAGATATTCTTCTAAAATGTAAATTTAAAATTTAGATTTCAATTCTCGTTAACAAAGCAAAGAGTAGCAATCGTATTTTCTGTAAGAGTTAAGTAAGGTATACATATATATTAATTCTAGATTTAAAAATAAATAAATGAACAAATTATACTATCCAGAAGAGAGACTGCTGTATATGTATTTATGCAAGAGAAGAAAGAAGAAAATAGGGAAAGAAAAAAAAAAAAAAGGATGTTGCATTATGTGGAACATTAGTTATGGTTGTTCCAAGAAATGGGTGGCAATTGCTAATTAAAATATAAATGTTAGCGGTTCTTTCTAACTCCAAGAATCGGGATCTCCTCACTGGACAAACCTTATATCAAAAGTTCAATTGTGTCAAAATTCGATGTACAATTTGTTTAGATCCAAGTCCAACCATTCCTGTAAAAGAAAACATTCAAACCCTGTACAGTGCTAAAACCTCTTACTATTCTTGAACATTAGCGTTTAGAAACAAGACTTAAACACTTAATCTTTACATACATATATAATATAAGGAGAGAGTCTGTATTAAATATCATAAATTCATAATTAACAGTTTCGTGAAAGAGATTATACATTGGTTGACTTTCAAAAACATTTCTATTTTGGGATACAAATTAAAGAAGGGTACCTAAGATCGTATTGATTTCACATGGCCCTAATCATGGGAAATATAAATTACAAATTCTGATGGTCAAATTCATTTACATATTCCCAGTCCCACCAAAGATATCATACTACCATTCATTTAAAATATTGGGATCTATTCGTTTAAGAAATAAAATATATATAATATACTTTATAGAATTTGATTTTGTTATATACTGTATATTGTTCTATAGGATATAGTCATTAAGATAATAAATGGTTAAGATTAAAGATATCATCTAATCAAACTGATAAAACAAATAAATAAATTGAACATCCAAGATAAACATTAGGATATTGGGAATCAAGATCGATATATATGAATATATATATGCAAGCCAAGAACAAATCACATTGAAAGAGAAAAAATATTATGTAATTTATTATATAAATGACACAAGAAGGAGATATATAGTACAAGATCCCTCCTCTGAAAAGACAAAAAAATATGTAAAAGAAGAAAATAAATTCAGAAAATCATTAGCACTTGTGCAAGGATGGATAGGAGCATGCTTCCAATAATCAGAGAGTAAAAATGGATAAAATAAGAATGGAATTAGTATATAATAAATACATAAACAGACTGGAAAAGTTTAACAGGATTTATGGGAAGCAGAGACCACGCTCTTAAAGACTCAAATATGCCCCACTCCCACTCCCACTCTCATCTAACTTTTCCTTTTCTCATTTAAAATATTTTGACAGCTTTAGGTTTCATGAAGCCGAAGGGGCCGCCCGCCCGCCCGATCTGCTCATCATCTTCATATATGCAACTAGCAGCAAGGACCACTCATATTTCCAAGACGACCCCATTCATAGCTTGCTATTATCCTACTCTCATAACAAAGAAAATACTTCAATTTTCTTTTGCTTATTTTCATCACGCTTGTTGTACTCTAATAAATATATTATCCTGACTAGAATCATCCATCTTTACTTGATTTCTCGAGGCTGCAGGCAGGCCTGAGCCTGACCATCCAATAAATAAAGTATTATCCGTGTTCAAATTTTGTTTTGTTTTGAATAGAGATTGCTGTAAAATTGTAGGAAATTTTTGTTTTTCATCTCTTGTTGTATGTCTTGAAGACAAGATTTGTGATTGCTTCACTCCTAGCCTCACATTCCACGTTATTAGGACTTTTTTTGTCTATCAATTTGGTCAAGTTGAGGAATACAACCCCATGTGACAAGTCAGTTTGGATTCAATTCACATTTCAAGGGTGGGGTATGTTTAAACTTTATTAATCTAAAGCTGCCCTTCTCTTGTAATTAAATCTCAGTTTATCAAAACGTACATTAAGTTAATTGAATCCTTTCTGCTAGGTCTTGGGATGCTAATGTTTGAGCTTAATCGGGGTGATACAATTAACCATGTCCATGTGTTTGGAATATTAGGTTAATACAATTAGATTAATTAAAAGTTAATTTTCTTCTCTCTTGCCTGGGAATGCTAGTACATGAATCTGGGCACTGAAGGGCTTCTTTCTTCTTCTTTAATACTGTATAGATAGGTCTACCTGGTCAGCTGGTCTGAATTTATGATGTGGACTAATGTGACTGCTTACCTTTCGCAAACGGCAAAGTCCCAAAATCATTGAATTAAAGTCAAATCAGATCTATTATCTTTTTGACTTGTTAATTGTAGTAGCTAGCAAGTACTAGTAGTTGCTAAACTGTTTGCTCCTTTCCCAAACGAGGAAACGACTTTTTCCCACCTAAATAATGGTTGAATGACACTTTTCCACGCTAAAATAACAGTTTGAGGACATTTTTTCACTATTGACTTTTAAAATATTATTTTATTATTCAAATTTATATTTCAATGATAAATAAATAACAAACTCGGTCTAAACTGTTAGAGTTTTTGAAGAAAAAAGACCAATTAATCTTTTGGTGATGGAAGGTTGAATTTTAGTGGTTTGGATTAATTTGAATTTGGCTTAGGATCTAGGAGGGGCAACTGTTCAAACCCTAATCGCTCGATTATTGTTGGTGTTTGATGGGGTCGATAGAAGTAGTGTTTGAAGGGTTTTGGTGAATGGTGATAAAGGAAAAAGAATGATAATGGAGTGTGGTCGTGACGATGTTGGAATTAGAAATAGAATATAAATTTGAGTAATAAAATGGTATTTAAAAAATTTGTGAGTGAGAAAATGTTATTAAACTGGGTGGGAAAAAGTCGTTTTCTCTTTTCCAAATTCATTCATACAATTCAAACGCACGTTAAAAAAGAACAGTGGCAAATTAATATTAAACAAGGATTGTGTTTAGCTAAGATTGCCTCAGCACCAATGGATTTTAGGTTGTGGACAAAACAAAAGGAAGGTTGATGATCTTTCATCAACCATATCTTTAAGCTTATTTCAATTTTCAACTCTTCTCCTTTAAAGATACCCATATGACGTTTGCACTTTAGCAGTAACATTTGACTATACAAATAATAAAGAAGGAAGGAAAGAAATTGGATTTTGAGTTTCAACTAGCATCCATCCATCCCCATCCATCATCAAACAAAAGACAACCCAAGTGGGGGGCAAAAACAAAGCAAGTAGATGAATAGATCTTTTCATGTGGGGATTGCGGCCTTAGTCATCACCATTAAAGTTTAAGAGATCATCATCATATCATATAATATAATATCAAAAGAATCAACAATAATATTAGCTATTTGGACCTTGTAATCTGATAGCTAGCACGCATGCACCAACGTAATATTTATGGTAGCAAGCAAAGTCAGTTCTATTATTAGATTGATAATGCGCAGGCTGATGCAAAATAGTGGTATAATTACCATGATCGTAAGTGCTCTTTTCTTTCTTTTCTGGGTGGCCTAAGATAAGATTCTTTGCGTGGAATCACTCCAAAATTTGACTTCATTTTACTCTTAAATACTGCTGCAAGTAGTCAAATCAAATCCATGCATGTGATAAAGGGATTTGAAGTCGGTTTGGTTGAAATGGACAACAGGGTTGATAGATTCTGCTCCCTCAGAGAACTTTGTATTAGGTGGATCGTATCCTTTTTTCTCTTTTATGTGATCTGGGATTTGATTAATTAACTGAGATGACAATATTTAGCCATCAAATTAATCAACCATGCTAATGCATGGATGTAAAATTACTGGGCTCTGGATACTTAGAGCAACTTTTTTGGTCAAAGCATGCTTTATGGGCGTAAAATCGTAACAGCCCAAAGTCTGAGAATATCCAGACTGCCGTTGTTAAATCACAATTAGTACTAGCAAGAATTGATAAATACAGTTTGCTTTGATCCAGTTTCCTTCAGGCTTCAGCTAATTTGATTAACGCAACGCTCACCATAAAATGAAAGAGTAATGTTACCCTACTCACTTTTGTAAATATAAAACATAATATGAATACCATAAACATAATATGAATACCATATATCATTTTAACAAAGTGAGTAAGACTAGTATTTTCTAAAATGAAATACGAATTCTCAGATGGCAGCCCACCCTGTGCTCCATATTTTAACGAAAATAGCGAAGAAATATTCCAAGTGCGATATTATTATTATTATTATTATTATTATATATATAACTCATTATTATAATGTACAATAACGTATATTTTAGTATATGCTTGGAACATTAATATGTTTTCAGATGATTAAAGAACATTTTCAAATCAAATAAATTTAATTTTAACGCAAATATTACAACTGGGTACCTACTATCCCAGTCGGCTTAGCCCAAACAATAAAGCATAAACCACATATGGGCCGGCACTTTGATGCATCGATGCAGTTAGATGATATGCCTTGCCAAGAGCAAGTATCTGAATCTATTACACTATCTATAAAAGCAATTTCTTTAACAAAGCTAATCCAATGTATACTAGTACTACTGTGGCTTAGGCAACTTTTAAAGTACCGATTTAGAGACAAGAATAGAAACATAAAAAACTAACTTAACCTACAACCACTATAAACTAAACTGTGGATGTCACAAGGCTAGCCATGACCAGAGGGTATCATCTCACAAGATTGTAACAAAAACCAAATGCAATGGCTTACTGTGAGTGCAACACTTTGACATGGAAGAAAGCTGCAATGAATAGATCCAAGGCTTCCAAATGATATGAAGAGGAGTAAAACAGCCAGCTTCAACTCATTTTCAAGTAAATGATCAGCTTTTAGATCCTCTTCGTCGCTTTTTCCCAGTCTTCGCCTCACTTCCTTGTGTCTTGGATGGACTTGATGACTTACCCTTCATACTTTCTGACACTTTTCCAGAATCAGGTGAATCCTTTACATCCTCACTCTCTTTCACCTTTGATGAACTAGATTTTGATTTGCCATTAGCATTAGATTTTCCAACAGTTTTAGGGGATTTGGCCTTTGAATTGGAAGATATCTTAGGAGTTTCTTGTTTGGACTTGCCAGTCCTCGGAGTGTCTTGCTTGGATTTGGAAGTTTTGGGTGTGCCCAATCCACCCTCCTTCGATTTGCTAGACTTGGCTGTTTCAGTTGGTTCATTCTTGGATTTGCTTGCCGACTTCGAAGAAACATCAACTGATTTACTGCCACTTTTTGATGCATGATCCTTAATTTTGCTAACATTGTCAGTCTCTAATTTAGTAATACTCTTAGAACCATCTTTGGATTTGCCATCAACTTTACTTTCCTCCTTGGATTTACGACCAGATTTCGAGGATGCACCTTTGGATTTGCTAGAAGAAGCCCCTCCACCCCTAGAAATATATTAATGAACTTTCAGAACTTGGAAGTAAAAGTAGAAGCACCAGTGGGGAAGAATAAATTCACTGACCTCTTTGGTGAAGCTTCTATCTTTCCGTGCTTAGTAGACTGATCAGAACTTGTTTTCACTTTCTTCTTCAGCGGCCTAAAAACAATTCATTCAAGCCAAGGTAATGTGAAAAGAACTACAAGAAAGGTGAAAATAACTATTTGACCTAAAAACTTGATAATATAATTCAAAGTGCATTAGGGGATTCAATCACTATATATTTGGTAAACTTGGCAGTGTTACCATGTTAAATAACTACTAGATCCAAAAACTTGAGCAAATATATAGAAGCTGAAGAGTAATATAATCATATCAAGGACAACCAAATGAAACGATCTAAAAGCCATCTCTCCAGGCAAAAACTCTCTTAACATACAAATACTCTACAGTTTCATTTGATAACAGCAGTAACCAAAGAGTCCAAAAGATTAGATAAGGTAACAAAATACACAACCAAACACTTACACTGTTGGACAACTCATGAAATAAAACATATTACAGCAAGAACGGAAAATTTGGAGCGATATTTTGAAATTTAAGAAATGAAGTTCAAAAACACTTCAGAAAATCATTTTCTCACTTCATATTAGAAAGTAGGCATTCTAAAGACCACACTTTGGAAATAGACAACAACACAGATAAAATGTCACCATACAGCATCTCTATAAGTTAAAGCAAACATTTAGCAGCATTCATGTTACTAGACCGTAATATATAAATCCAACAAAAGATTTATTTTTTTGGTCTACATAGAGCAACATAAATCAGCATTTCACAGTAAAGAATCCTACATAAGAGGAATGAACTACTTACATTTCAGAGGAAGCATCAGGACTTGGGCTATCAGCTGCTTGTTCCTGTTAATAAATTTATCAGTTTTTATCCATAACGATGTATCAAAACTATAGATGATAATACATAGATCCTGAAACCACCCACCTCATCAGAGACAGAATCATCACCAATGAACTCCCACTTCTCCCTTTTAAGATTCAAGGTCTCTATATCGCCATCATCATAGTGAACCTACATAAGAATGACTATATTATTTAGTACTTTTTCATGACATAATTACGAAAAAGACAGGGACACATGAGGCCTAGAATCTGAAATAGAAGAATCACCCTGTGCTTCTTTTTAGCAGAATCAAATGATTTAATAACACCTTTATAAAACCTGTAAAAAACAAAATGAACATATTAAAAATTCCGTAGCCAACAAGTAATGAAGGAATTCATTGATCAAAGTCCAAACTTCACAAAAAAATTTGAAAAACATAAATTAATCTGGAGTTAGTAAAAAGCCAAAACAGGCAGGCGTTTTACTAAAACCAAATAATATGAATAAAGATCTTACGAAAAGCAAACTCAAAGAAAGGCTGCAAGACAGAATAAACATTTTGAGCACAAGTGGCAGAGGACATGCCACCTTTACCCAATAAGGTAGATAGAATGAACAGATGCACAACATTAGCTTAATATGATATTAAAATATAAATTCTTATGTATACAATATGGTATGGCAGTGATTATTCAACAGGAAAAAAGATGAAACAAAGTCAATACTAACATTCGATCATGCGGCCAATAGACTTTGACCTTTGAACCAACCAGATTCTCACCAAGTTCCTCAGTATCAGTTGCCTGCCACAACAATCACTTCATAAGAATCAACTGCAAAAGTACATAGGTGAGATGGTCTGCAAGCTAACCAGAATTAGAGTATATTTCCTTTCCTGAGGAATGATTATGTGAAGCAAGCAGAAGTCATTGTCAAGATGGACAATCAATTGTCTGATTGGAAAGAAGGATATCGAGCATTGAATCCCAAATAAAAAGAATGAAAGATTGTGGAGTCAAGTTGTATCAACATAAATTTTCTGGTCTGTCATCTACCAACTTTATCAAGTCCAATATGAGCAACCATAGCTAGTTTTGATAAGAAGACACAGAAACCCCAAATTAAAGAGGACTTTAACCACTTGCTACAACCTACAAAGGTACCATATGATAAAAAGAATGACTAGCACAAAACAATTTTTTTCAAAATCACCCCACCAAAATAATGATACCCCCAAAAACAAGCCAACCAGAAAAGAAAAAACACATTACAATCTTGATCTAAGAATACATACCTTTTCTTTCCCAGGAGTCCGCTTCCTCTTGGAATTCGTCTTAGGACTGTCCTCAGAACGACGCTCATCCTTAATTGGTTTTGCAGCTGACTTTGGTGAAGAAACCAATTCCTAAAAAATATTAAGAACAACATCTCTCCTAATCAGTAAACCAAATTTGGTATGCAAAGTTTATGAATAATAATATTAACAAACAACAAGGTCGCAATCAAGAAGCCAAAGTGAGAGTACTTTATCCTCCTTTGTTGATGATTTTGTTACATCTTTTCCAGAAATAGCTTTTTCCTTCCTTTTCTTATCATCTGGCTGCTTTAACGCGGATCCATCTCCATTGTTACTGCTGACATCAACTTTTTTAGCTGATTTCAGCAGCTTTGCTTCTGAATCATTAGAGGTGCTGCTTTCTTTCTTTGAACCTTCTCCAGTTGGAATTTTATCCTCATTACCAGACCCAGTAAGCACCTTTTTTCCCAACTGCTTATGTGGTTTTGCTTCTGAATCACTTGTTCCTTCAGATGCCTTTCTAGAAACATCATCAGCAGATGGTGTGGCCTCTTTAACCAAACTCTCTTTTCTCTTTGATCGGCTGCTCCTTTGGGCACGACCTTCATTAGGAAGGCTTCCACTCGCAGAAGGGGAAACAGCATCTGCAGATTCACTTTTTGTAGCCTTAGGAGAAGAAATCTTAATACTGGTCTCTTTTTCAGTTGCTGAAGACACAGCCCCCTCAACCAATGGTTCCTCACGAGGTGAACTCGGAACATCCTTGCTGCCACTATTATGATCCAGAAGTGTCTCAGCTTCCTTTTCAACATCAATTTGAGAACTGTCGGAAGGTTCTGTCACTTTCACCAAAGAATTAGGTTTCTTGCCTCTCCTTTTGGTAGTTTGTTCAGGCTTATGTTCTGCGTTAACCACCTTATCACTGCCTGAAATATCAGGTTCTGCATTGCTCAATGTATCAACATTTTTGGACTGTTCAGTATGAAGACCATGCTCTTTCTTCTTTGAAGAGTCATCTTCTCCAGCCAGTGTTACACCATTGTTCACGACTGACTTGGATGATCCGTCATTTGCAGGATCAATTTGTTCAGTAGAAGCTGCCTCTGTTGCAATCTCTTTGTCCACCTAATAATAGTTGCAAGGACAGATAAATTACCATTTCCAGGTAAGGGATACCAAGACAAGGGATGAAAACACTGGATTAATAAACTGAGGATGTTGAGAGATAGATTAATAGGCAAAATAGAACAATCAGACTTAATTTGAAAGCAAAAATACCTGAGCCGGCTCATCCAGTGATGCCCCGACTGACTTGCTCTCATTCTCGTCAGCCTGCAGAAAAGTTAAGCACAATAAAGTAACCAAAAGCAATTGAAGATAAATCCACACAGAACAGATAAATGCATCCTGAATACTAAATCAATGTCATCTAATGACTACTTAGCCAGCTGTTAGATGTCATGCACACATAAATTAAGTTTCTCACATCAGATTAACACAAGCTTCCAAATTTAAATTCACTCATGCAATTATAAATTTACCATTCACAACAGCAAGTACAAATAACAAGTAATGCTAGATAGTAGACAAGGTCTCTGAAAAAATGCAACAGAAATCAAATACAGCTAACACAGCCCTGTTCAAAGATATGAATAATGCAGTTCTGTTGAAGAGTTCTTATAGAATGAATTGGTTAAAGCACAAACCATTATGTTTAGTAGAACAGGTGATGGTTGAAAACTTGAAGAAGACGAGAGACTGAGGCAGCAGAATAGAGGTAATGTTCTCGCTAAGCACTCAATAGAAAACAATGGCTAATAGCTATGCTAACAAGATACACTGGGTTTGGGCTAAGAGAAGTTACAGCAGCAGCCCAGTTATGGTGACTGCATTCAGGGTGCAGGGCAAAGCTGGCTAGATATGGTCTCAAGTATAACTGAAAAGTGGGGAGAAGGACAGGTTGTCTATTACGAGATGAATGTAACGAAGAAGCATTAACAAATCACAGGAAAAGATTGTTCAACTGCACTAGCAACACATAATTGTACACACACACATATTTAATCTTCAACAGAACAGAGTGAAGAAAGCCAAGACAAACAAAGTATTAAAGCAAGAAAATTCCATTGAAACATCTACCCCATTAAAAATAAGCAATAATTAAAAACCTTTATAATCAAGTACTCATGTGAAACTAATAATACAGACAGAAATACTTAAAAAAAATGAAAAAATCGTAGTGCAGAAGTTAAAAAAGAATGGTATCCTGCAAATTATGTCAAGTTTACCTTATGTTCATTAGAAACATCATTCTGCTCAGCAGCACCAGAAGCCTCATGGCAGATAGAAGCAACGACTGTACTGTAATCTTCTAAAGAAATGCCGGTAGATTTAACTGCTTCTAGTAGGTATGGTCTAAGATTTGCAGCACAGGCTTCAAGCACTCTCTCCCCCAACTTCCGAGCAAAAGGCAGAACTTCCTGAAAAATAATCAAATTTCTTAGTCAAATCATAAAAATAGAAGAGCAAAAACAAAAGGCAAATGGTCACTTGAATGATAACTAACCTCATTGTCCTTTTTTAAACACTCTAAGATTGGGGTTAGAAGCTCCAGAGAAATATCTTCACTTTCTTCTACAACAAGAGTCATTATTGTCTCCATCGATGAAATGACATTCTCAGGGTGATGATCCCTGCAGAAGAATCATAAGGAACCACAAAAATACAAATACATACATACACAAATGTACAAGTAAGCTCACACAATTAGTTCTCAATCCATTAAGGACAATCACTTGCAGAATAGCAGAGAAAATTGTGAAGGTACAAAGAACTCTCAATTATTCAGCTCCCTTTTTTCATTAGAAATATTTGAAAAAGTAACTTATTCCAAGTTCCAGCCCTAACCCAAACATACCGATTGAGCCAGTACCCAATGATCTGTCATCTAAATTAAAGCACTATTAATGGGTTGTTCACCTAATACTACTCAAGGAGCAAGCACCACTGTTCATCTTGCTTGGGGTTCCCAGACACATTAGTTAACAACGTTATCATTTTGCTTTTGAAAAATTTCACTAAATTTTTATTATTGGCATTCAGAAGATGTAAATAAAAAAAAAAAAAAAAAAAAATGAGTAGAAATAAAAGCCTTATTTTTCCTCCACTACACTCATGAGCAAAATAACCTCAAAGCAATGCACAATCAGGAGCTTCAAAACAAACTATATACTCTTAACAGATTTCTCATTGCCAAAAAGACAAATATAACTCCATTAGACCAAGGGAGTAGATTATTGACCAATTAAGCTTAAGAAAATAAATTCTGAGTTTATGACAATGAGCCACCTTACAATAGCTAATTAACCAAATTATCAATGGTTATAAATCATATCAACTGTCAAAGACATAAACTATAGCTTCAGTTTTTAAGAGATTGGAGATTTTTAAACTAAATTATATAATGGAACCAGTGTTTTTCATTGTTCCCAAATTTATATATTACATGAATATGTTAAACCATGTAACATACTATCAGCAACTGAGCCATTTGCAGAAAGATATATATCATTCAATGAGGAAACAATAACAAGGACAAGATGAAAAACAGCCAGACAAGTTAGCCCATACCTTATTGTCTTGAGGAAATGCTGGAACATCTCAACAATTAGTGTATCACATTCAAGATCCAACATGACAACACACGACCTAACCTTGGCAACAGTTTCAAGAATTGATGTTCTCTTAGCATATGATCGACTAGATTTGTCAGATAAGTTTTCAAATGATGATACAATCAGCTGAAAAACTTCCTGCATACATAACACATACAAAATATGGAACAATGAAAGGCCAACACCATACGTAGAAGAATATTACAAAGACAAACAGCAGTTATTATGTAAAGCTTGTCTAGACATCCAAATGATGTAGTCAAAGTACCTTCATCTCATCATCACTATAAGGAGCATCAGGTGCAGTTATTCTCGTTATCTCACTGATGCATGAAGCCACAGAAACTTTCACATCAATGTCTGAATGCTTGAAAAGTTGATCATCAAGCAAAGCTTTTTGTGAATCAGAAAGTGCCTTTTGCATGGAATCCGCAGGTGATTGTTCCACCCTTGCTAGACAATTCTCAACTTGCTACATCCACAATTGGGGAAAATCAATGCAAGGAATAATGTAATATCAACAAGCAACAACTACAAGCCAAATTCACGATTAAAATATTAAAGAGGCATGGAGAAATTAACAATAACTACAGCTAGCCCTCCAATTAGAAAAAACAAAAAGGGAAGAGACACAATGCTAGCAAAATTAATTTCAAGAGTTGGTACATATCAAATTCACAAGTTAATCAGGTTCCTAACAGGGAAATTGCTGCACTATTTGAGTAAAAGAGAAAAAAAAACCCATTGCTCCAAAGCAACAAATGTAGACAGCAACAATTGTAGATGTTAAATAAAAGAACCATATCTTGGAAAGACTACTCATAGGCGCATATCCCCATAATTATAAATTTAATTGACCACCATCATAGTCCAAACATATTGCCACACAATTAACAAGTGAAAGATCCTCTACTAAAAATTCATTTCCTCCGTCACCACTCATTTCCAATTAAGACAATTCATGTGCTTCTCTGGTTGGCTGTACCAACCATGAATATCAGCTTATGATCCCCATCCTGTAAATGCCTAAAGCTAATTCTCCACAAAAATCATAAATCCGCTCCCAATAAAATATATCCATCTAAACTATATATTCCATCGGCACGCAGCAACCAAGGGAAAGACACAAACATACATTGTTCATTAAACAGAAAAGCACAAAAACAAATCATTTCTACATCCAGAGTGGTACACATATATTTGTTGACAATCTAGATTTGCAAGCTTTCTTTTGAAAAGAATAAAGGACATTGTTAAACTGATTTCAGTATGAAATATCAGTGCTCAACTTTCCACTGTTCACAGAGACAAATAATGCTTAAAGATTATGCTGTGGGCTAAATGCCTAAGCCTTAAAGATGTAAATTTATATTTTGAATTTCACAGGATAGACATCTATCATGAACCGAAAAGCCATGTCCACCCAACTTGCTTAGATCATACCTCTAAGTATATCATCAAACTATGGCCTTTTCTTCAGAAATCAGAATACAAGAGCTTCAGAAAAACTTGATCATTGCAATTAACAAACTTAATCAACTATTTGGCCCTCATCAAAATTAAAGCGCACAACGGAAATGAAATCAAAATAAACAACCCCTCTTCCCAATTCATTTTTTGGAAAGAAAAAAACAACAATTCGGGAAAGAATTTGTGAATTGACATTTAAGCCTCTAGCGTAATAAAAGCAAACAGATCGAATAGTGAAGCCAATAGTAGTTGAGCAAAAATAATAACCATTTCCCCTTTTCTGGAAGGTTTATATTAAAAATCTAATGATCCACTCTATTATATTCCCTTCATTCAATATACCCGAAGAAAGCGGCAAAAAGGAATTTTAAAAAAATCTCCAGCTTCAATGTGATTAATGAATGTTTATGAAGTTAGATATGTAACCCAAAATATGATTTTCTAATTATCGTAACAAATTTATTAAACAACTATCCTATCCATATACTTATAACCGGGCACTATTTGCATTTAATTAATCATATAAACACAAAGTATAATTTACTTCAACCATTTCAAATTCCCCCAACCATACATAACACTTATTTTCAATAAACCTTCCTTATCTGATATTGACATATAAAAAACTTGTAATTCAATGCATAATCAAAATCAATTGCCCACATACAAAAAAAAAAGAAAAAACCGCGCGCAAATTCATATATTTAAAATACGCGCGTGCGCTCTCGGTCACACATAAAACAACTTCCCAGAAGTTCACAACAACAGAAGAATGCTTCAAATTCAAATTTAAAAACCAACTTGTGCAACAAGTATTCAGAAACTAGATTTTTTAATATCATCTTCAGAAAACACATAACAGAACTAAGAACACTCAGTAGTCGGTTTAGCATGTTGACACAGTTCCCCTTATTACAATTTCAATCAGTATAAACACATAAACGAAGCAATATATCCACGAATACATAACAATGACCACAAGTTGAAGCACTCATCACCATAACCTAAGCTCATTCAACTGATACGAAATAATAAAACTGACAGCACATAAAAGCACAATTTATTATAATTAAAAAAAGCAACAGAACCACAATAAGTCAATACGGATCACAAAACAAAATAGGCTAAAAGAAAATATGAATACACTTCACACGAAATGAAACATAGAGCTTACATCAAGAAGAGGAAGGAGTTCATCAACCGACGAAGGAGGATCCAGAAGCTTATTTCCAGCCTCTATGAGCTGTTGCTCGAGCTCGTCATTTGAGGACGCCATACTTTCTCTTTAAAATACCTAACAATTATGTCACAGATCTTCGATTTCTCACACTCTAGCCCTGATTTCACACCATTAAAACCCTAAAACTCACAAAACAAACCAGGAATCGAATATGCAAGAGCCAGATTCGAGCCAGGGAGTTAGGGTTTGTTTGAAAAAGAGAGAGAGAGAGAGAGAGAGAGAGAGAGAGAGAAAGTGAGTGTATAATTCTAATTTTAAAAAAAATAATAATAATAATTTTGTAGATAGAGATAAATTTTTGAAAACTGTAAAAATATTTATATAAAAAAATAAGATTTTTTTTCTTTTGAAAGGGTGTCTTTGTTATGTAATTTATTTCGTGCGCTTTAAAGGAGAGTATCCAGCGAAGGTTTACTCGGATTTCCCCCGTGTTTATGATCTTGAGTTAAATTGGGGTTTCAAATCCGCCTTTGGATTTTCAGACTATTGGAGCCACGTGGAATAACATGGACCGCTTGATTTTTAAATGGCTCTTTTTTGGCCTTTTCTTTGAGATGGATTTTTCATCCGTTTGGTAGGAGAATTAAATTTGGTACTACAACTCATCAACTCATTTAAGATTCGTTGTAACATGAATAACTCTTCTATGCACATACATTTTCCTCCTCACACTAATTATCATATCTAAATATAATGTTAAATGAATCTTAATGGCAAGTCAAAATCAAGTTATCATTATCAATTCTTAGAGTCGAATTTGAAACTGAAATCTTGTCAAACCCTATTATTATTTTTTGAAAATCAGAAAATAATGTGCAACCATATTAGTCATAGATACTCAAATTTCTAGACTTTCTCGAAAAAAAACTATGTTGCCTAGCCACCAATAACAATCGATAACAAATTATCTTCAATGAATTTTTATTTTAATACAAAGTTAATATTTTTGCTTTTGAAATATGATAAAAGGATGTGCATGGAAAGAAACCTAAAGTGATTTTGTCGTTATTTTATAAAACTGTTTTTGTTGTTTCTTAGCTATACTTACTTTATATAATAAGATCAAATTCAACAATGGGTCAGATAACATACATGGTCGTCTTTTGATTTCGGGGTTTTTATCTCAATCCCCATAGGTTTAATTAAATAACAAAGGGTCCGTTTGATTTGTTATTTTAGATAGGATTTTAGAGATAGTATTGGATAGTTGAATAGGGTGATTATTACGAGGTAAAATTTAAAAATTAACAAAAAAAACCCCTAGATTTGCTAATTTAACTAAAAACCCTAATATATAAAAATTTTGTAAAATAATAAAACACTCCCACCCACCCACAGTGCCAAATTCCGACCACCACTATCGAAATCTGGTTGGAATCTGACGTTACGACGCAGACCGATCGGATCTGATCGGCTATCAACGACGACCATTTATTTGACCATCACTGATGGCCAAATCTAACTTTTTCCGGCCAAATCGGTGAATTACCGACCAGTTCCGGTCATTTATACGTCGTTGTAACAGATTCCAGTTACCACCGATGGTGGTTGCTAGAATTTGGCAACTATGGGTGGGTTGGTGGGAGTGTTTTTATTAATTTTTAAACTTTTTTTTCTAGGAGTGTTTAATTAAATTAATAAACTTAAGGGGTCTAAAAATAATTAAATATAATATAATAGTATTTCCTAAATAATGAAACAAACAATTATTTTGAGAATAAGGTATGAAATAATAAACCAAACGCACTCTCCTATGAGATTTCAGAGATAACAATAATTTTCTTGTCGTTACTCGCTTGTGAGCTATTAGTTCATTGTTAGGATTTATAACACAATTGTAATTAAATATTTTATCATATAATCGTTATGTCATTTATTTTCACACAAAAAACTTAATGACAGGGAAATTTTTGTTATTACTATAACTATAAAGAAATTTCTGTAATTCAATTATACCTCAGGAGAATTATTGTTATAAACCCTTGAATTTTTTGGTATTTCCTTTTTCCTTAAACGTTGAGTTGGAAGGTCTTAAATATTTCTATAGAGTTAATGACACTTTCCCACCCTCACAAATTAATGACACTTTCCCACCCTCACAAAAGTTTAATGACACTTTCTCACCATCAGACTTTTAAAATACCACTTTAATAATTTGGTTAGTAATTTTGGTTGTGAGGAAGGGTAAGATGGTCAAAAGTTTGTTATAGGTGAGAGCCACAGAATGATCAACAAACATTTTACATTTGAAATCAAAATTTAAAATTTTAGAAGACAACAAATGACAGAGGGCAGCGAGTAATCAAGTACTGAGGTTTGAAGGGTTTTGAAGAGGGAAGATCTAAGGTTGAAAATGTGGCGGAAGATTGGATTTTGGCCGCCAGAATCAGGCGAAATCGATGCAAAAACAATGAAACCCTTCGTGGTGGAGAGTGACAACCAACTTGCAATTGGCGTCAGAAAGGTTGGGGGTTTTGGAGATGGGGGGCCGATAAGTTGATTGATGGTCTTAAAAGGGATTTCCAACACCAGAATCAACCGAAAAAGGGCAAGAATCGTGCGAACCAACCGTGTACTTTTCCAGTTGATTCTGTTTTCAGAAATCATCCTTATCACCACCAATCAATTCCCTGGATCTTCTTCTCCAAAAGCCCCAACATTCCCAATCCCGTTTGCTCACCAATTGCTAGCGATTGAAGCTTCTCCACCCTAGGGTTTTTTGAGTTTTGATCAATTACTTGGGTTTGATTCGTTCAATTTTTGTGTTTGTTGGGTTGAAAGATGATCAATGAATGGTTATTTATAGTATTTGTGATTTGTTTGTTGATTTTCTGGTTGTCGGCACTCCCCAACACCGACGTCAATTACTAGCAATGGAAGAGGTTACGAAGAGAAAAAAAAAGAGGGCATTTTTTTTCCGTAAATCACAGTCTTCGTTTGGCTCACTCTTAAGAACACTATTATTAGTATTTCCAATAAAGTTAAACAGTAAAATTGCAAAAACTCACAATATTATTCAATTTTTTTTAAACCCCCTAAATTTGTTAATTTAATTAAATACCCTAAATATTTTTTTTAGAATTTGCAAAAACACCCCAGCAACCCATATTTACCAAATTCCGGCCACCATTGCCGAAGATGGCTGGAATCTAGTATAATGGTGTACTATCGGCTGAATCTGGCCAGTAGTGCACCGATCTAGCATTTTTCGGCTAGATCTAAGGCCAAAGATCTGGCCATTGACGGCCAGATCCACGGGAAAAGGTCATATCGGTGCACGACCAGCAAGATCTAGTCAGTCATGCGTCAATACGGCGACTCCGGCCACCTTCCGGCGGTGGTAGCCGACTGTCCATATTTAATGGGTAGATTGGAGGTATTTTTGTTAACTTTTAATGTTTTATTATAGATGTGTTTAGTAAATAAACAAACATATGCGGTATTTATATTAATTTCCAAATCTTACATCATAATACCCGCCCAATTCAAAATTTTTTAACTTTTTTAAAAAAACTTTTCTAAAAAGTGTAAAAAAGTGTACCACGCAGAGCCATAGTATTTCCCACTTAAACCAAAGAGAAAAATAATACTTAGGTAGTAAAAGGGTATTTTAAAAGCTTGAGGGTGGGAAAGTGTCATTAAACTTTTTGTTGGGTGGCAAAAAGTCATTGACTCTATTTCTATACGTGGTGAGTTTTGACCGCCCCTAAACTTTACTTTTGAATCGAAAAGCATCCATTGCTCTTTTAAAAATATGGTTAATCTATCCCGCAGTTAAGGAATCTCCTGCTAAAAAAATTTATGATAAGGAGAAGTTAAATACATTTTGGTCCTTGAGCTTTGGTTAACGTCCATAATGTCCAGTAAAATCTGATAGTAACACTTAGGTCCTTGTAAGGTAGTAGTTTTTTTAATTATTATTATTATTATTATTTTTGCAAAAGTCGAAAATAACCCTAATATTTTCTTATGTAAATGAAATTAAAATTAATAGAATTATTAAAAAAATAAAAGGCTACCAACTGAGAATTCTAGTAAAAATTTAGAACACGTATTTTAGACTTTAGAATTTTTTTTTTCAAAAAGTTGATACCAGACAAAGACTTACATGTTACTATCAGATTCTGTTGGACCTTATGTAAACTTAGGCCATTCCTCAGGGACCACCATAGATTTAACTCTGACAATCAGGGGTACTGGGGTAGAACATAGAACAAGCATTCCTAAGAGGGATCATAATTTTATTCCACAACAAATCTCAAGATTAAAACATATGGTCCATGCCTCCATCTCAGTTGCTGAAAGCTGCTCCTGCTGACAAGCTAACATACATTGCAGGGGTGATATTATTTGCTGATTATTGTAAAATAGGGACATCACTTTATACAAGAAACATAACTTATCACTTTAATGGCCATATCAAGTATCAACCCACGGTGTAAGATGGGGTTGGTAAATTGATAACGGTGCTCTTGGTTTTCGTCATCATATTGATACTGTTGGTGATTCCTTGGGAACCAATTCCACTGTCTTTCAGACCCTGCCAATCAAATGGTAACAAAGGTCCTGACTATTTCAAGGTGTACAAATATTGAGGTATATAAGGAAACATGGAGAGAAATTCACCTGAAAAGGAAAATGATCCGGTCCACGAGCTGGTGCTGAATTAATCTGAACTGTTCCTGTCTCCATTGCATCACTGATCAAAATTGCTTTGTTTATGTCTCTTGTAAAGACACATCCCTGCAATCATGCATAATTTGCATAATACATATTTTACTTTCCATGAACTTCAAAATGGTACTTTCCAGATATGAAGTAGCAAGGGTTCGAAATATTTATACCTGAAGACCAAAATTGCTAGCATTACAATGATTAATTCCTTCTTCAACCGAGTTTATCCTGATAACCGGCAAAACAGGACCAAAAGGCTCCTCCCATGCTATCCTCATATCAGGTCGAACATTATCTAACAACAAAGGCCATATGAGGTTTCCCTCCCTCTTATACTCCTGGCAGAATGTTGCTCCTTTCTCCTTGGCATCCATTACCAACCCTTCAATAAAGTTGGCAGAGGACTCCGTAACAACTGGAGTGATATCACAGTCATCCTCAGGCCGACCAACAGACAATTTTGCGACTTTCGCTTGAACTTTCTCAACAAGAGTATTGGCAACAGATTCCATGACCAAGACAACCTTCACAGCTGTGCATCTTTGACCACTGGCATTGATGATTATAGAAAATTATTTGGCACCTTTATTACTAAAAGGAAAACCATGTATAGAATTTGCATGGTCTATCTATTAAACAACTCTCGTAAGAATGTACAGAAATCAATACATTGCATTTATGTTAAAAACAAAACGAACTGAATGTAATATAAAGTCCGAATTTCATATAGAAATTTTGAAAAAGAGTATCCGCAAATTGAGATAATTTATTTTATTCGTTTCTTGTTCAAGAAAGGTGTGATAGCATTAATAGACAGTTTCCATTCACCTGTAAGAAAAGCCTCCCTTCACAATGTTGGCTGCAGCCAAATCCAAATCAGCATCTTCAAGTATGATACAGCCATCTTTTCCACCAAGTTCCATCTGAAGAGGAACCATGCCTGCCTTCTTTGAGATTGCAATTCCTGTATCACCACCTGTGAAACTGAGCAAGAATTCTTGTTAGTATATACCTTACATAGTTCAGCAACATATGTTATTCTCTGTAGCTACTAGGAGCACATCCCAAAAATTTATAAATAATTTTGCCAAACCATGTAAACTTTGTTGTTTTCTGTGTTTCTTCTTTATTTTTCACACTGAATAGATCCTAATTGGGAGTTTTCCAACATATACATAGGCAGATGGACCTCTTATCACATCATACAACATGCCATAAGTAGGAATCCTACGACAAAACTAATAAGATCAATAACAATGAATGAAAATGACAAGAGTAAAAAGATCTCCAAATAATTAACAATTACCTAATACAGTTGATCCCAGGATGCATAGTAAGGAAGTCACCAATCTCAGAACCTTTTCCTGTGACACAGCTAATCAGACCTTTAGGAAAACCAGCCAAATGAAAGCAATGTACCATGTGAAGTGCGGCCACAGCACCCTGCAAACAACAAATGTAACATGGGAATAGCTTGACCACAATCAACTTAAACATGTATTATATTAAAGTATATACTCGAGGCGATGTTGTTAATATACAACAGAAGTTAGACATAATCAGATCATCAATGCTTGTATCCATACCTGTGTTGGAGGTTTGAGCACAAGGGAATTTCCAGCAATAAGTGCTGGAGCAATTTTAGAAACAGCAAGGTTGACAGGATAGTTGAAAGGAGGAATAGCTAAAACAACCCCCAAGGGTATCTGCAGGCAGGTGCAAGTCCAAATAACTGATCTATATATAACAGCATATAGACACTATAACATAAATGCAACTTTCTAGTGAAGCAGGATTCAATCAAAGTCAAATAGTGGAATTTGTTATCAGAAATGAATCAAATTTCATTAGGAACAACAGAAGTTTATGTTCAGAAATTCTCATTTAAGTAATCCAAAAAAGACAAGGCATTCCTGATCATAAGGTTTTTGTTCAGTCTAGTCCAAAAAATTGACTGTATGTTTCCACAGCTTACAAAAGCAGATAAAAATATCACAAAATTAGCTGCCCATAACACCTTCCTTAGTTTAGTCTTGTAACTGTTTGTCTTGTATAATTTTACTTTTAAATACACAAATGTGCAGTTTAGACATTCCAGTTCTCATCTCTGTAGTTGCTCTAATAACAATGGCCCTGAAATGAATGAATTTTCCATCCAGTTGCTAACTCCACACAATATCACCTCCAACAGTTATCATTTATGGCATCAAATGGCAGTTTCTTCTCAAGCTTCACCTCTTGCTCCGCTCATCATCATCACCACATTCAATGAATCTAAGTTTTTACCCCACTTTTATTTTCCCCATACATTTCTCTAGCATATGTGGGCCATATACTTTTACATTTCTCTAGCATATGTGGGCCATATACTTTTACATACATGATACATACTGAACACATTTGTCAAGAGTGACATCAACCTGACACAAGAATTATATTTATAACGTTGGAATGATAAAATATATTTTCATTGGGCAATGATTCTCTGGATATTCCTTAGAAGACTGAGAAAAGAGATCTTGGACTTTATAAAGCATACATGTAGGGACAAAACAGTTGAGCAGACTGTCTCTATTAGTTGGACCGACCACATATCCACACGCCAACCGTAGCAGGAAAATATAAATAAAAAAGGGAACCATACACCAAATGGCTCTCTCGCACGCAGCCTGTAGGGAAATCCGAAATCGTGAAAGTTACCTTTGACGTAAGGCAGTATTTGGTCCTCTCATTTCCCGGGAAACTATCAGAAACCAGAAACTGCCCTTCTCCAAGAATCCTAACGCCTTCCTCAGCACAGTATGAAACCAAATCACCTGATCTCACAACCTTAAATAAAGAAGAAGAAAAGGCGAAAGTATATAAGAAAGGTTTATTCAAAATGAAGTGTAAAAACTTTAGAATTTGAAATTGCCGGCTTACTTCAGTCACTGCATCCTTAGCAGGTTTGGCGATCTCCTTGACAAGGCACTCTGCAATTGGTGCTTTGTGCTCTTTCAATATTGCAGCCGCTTTGTGAAGCAATTCTGCTCTTTTCCAAAGTGGAGTCTTTGCCCATGACTTTTGCACTGCTTTTGATGTTTCTACAATCTTCTTCACCTCTTCCTGTGTACAAGCTGTGGAACAACGTTAAAGTTAGCATTATCAATTCATCATCATCAACTAAAAAATGAAACGATTTAATTAGACTCAAACGTTAATGACACCTTGAACTCTGAAGTGTGTCTCTCTGGTAGTCGGATTGATGATGGGCACTGTCTTTCCTGATGAAGATTTTCTCCATTCACCATCAAAGTAGAATTTGTACACACCATCTTCATCAATTATCTCTTTAAATACTCCACTCCCTGCCATTTTTCTTACTCTTATTAGCTTTGCTTACTCTCGTGTTTTTGATTTAAAATAGAGAGTGAAACAGAGGATGGTTCTCGCTGGCGTCGGTGGTTTGGGATTCTCCGTCAGCGTAGATTTTAATCAGATTACATATTTTAAAGCTCAAAGGGCCGGCCCATATATATGAAAGGCCCATAATTTGGCCCATTAGTCTGGCCCAAAAAGAAAGTATTGACCTTGACTTCCCTGCCCCATTTTAGTTTCAGTCAAGAGAGTCTTCCGACCAATAGTAATCCTCCACGTCAACTAAAGTCCACATGTACTCCCCCCATTCGACGAAACCAAGTCATCCAACGTGTCATCCTCGTCTCCCTCACGACGCAAAATTTGGAGATCCATTACCATTCGCATTTCTGGTCGAAACCCTCAGTACCAAGCATTAAATTTTCTATCGCTCGCTCTGATTGAACTCTGGATAAAACCTTGGATCGAACCGTGGCTCCGACAGGGCCACCGAAAGCCCTCACTCAGAGAAGAAAAGCATCGTCGTCAACTGCTACTGCCTACAGTAGAAATTCAAGAAGAGCTTCACAATCGCAATCACATTCTGAGTTTCCGTTTTGGCAACAGAATTGGTTCTTAGTATTACTCTTCCTCGTCGCTATGGCCTTCTTCGCTCTTGCTATCTTTCTCTTCCTCGGTCTCAATATGGACGATTGGTCTCCATCCTCTGCGACGGCTGCTTCCTCTGAAGGGGTCGAGGTTTGAATTTCACATTTAAACCTTATTTTCTTGTAACATCGTCATTGATCATATAAATTTAGAACTTTTAGTTGAAGAAATTTATCGATGACTTGAAATGTCAATTTCTCTGGCTCAAGAGTAGGAATAATTTTTTTTTTTTCACGATATATATATATATATATAAAATAAGATTGCTGTTTGCTTCATCAATTATCAATTTCGTTTAGTATAATTCCCTGGCTAATGGGCTACGTTTAACTTTTTTCTGACGTTGGCTTCTTGCTTTGGGCAGATTACTTATGGGACAACTCTTAAGCTGATGCATGAACGGACGAAATTTCGGCTGCACTCACACGATGTCCCGTATGGCTCTGGCAGTGGCCAGCAGTCCGTTACGGGTTTCCCCAATGTTGATGACTCAAATAGCTACTGGGTACTGTTTTTTCTCTGCGTTCAGTTAAAGATTCTTCTTTGTTACTGTTTCGGTATTTAACACTTTTGAGAAGATAATTTAGTTTCTAGTAGAAATTAAGGACCGTATTGCATGACATTTTGTTGCAGATTACGTGATTTGCAAGCCTTAAAATTCTTGAATGAGAAATTAACTTGTACTGAAGAAATATGTTTTTCACTATTAAAGCAAATGTTGATTGTGGAAAACAAATTTTCTGTTCTTGTGGCAAGATTTTGAATCACTTTTTTATTTTCTCACACTAGACTACGAACGTTTATATCTTCTCTGGACTCTGTAGATATCTTCCTGGTTCCTTTGGTTTCCTATATGGAAACTTGTTGGTGAAATATATATATTGCACTAAAATTTTTCTATAAAATAGAATTTGTAAATGTTTTCTCTTTGCATATGAAGTAAGATTTTTGTTGCAGATTGTTAGGCCTGTCCCAGGGACATCTGCCAAACAAGGTGACACCATTACGACCGGGACCATCATTCGATTGCAGCACATGAGGACTAGAAAATGGCTGCACAGCCATTTGCATGCATCCCCAATTTCAGGCAACCTTGAGGTTAGTATGGGTTTTCTTTTACTCCTGTTATTGCAGCACCTCCCGCATATTGGTAGTGAAATTCCAAATAATCTCAATTGTATGTTATTTTGTGGTATTTTAAGGGAACCTGAACCATGCAATATGAAGATACAATTCCAATTCTCAAATTCAGTACTGATGGAACTGTTAATTGGTTTGAACTGACATGGAATCAAATCAACCTTTATCAATCTTTGTAGAAATCGAGTAGCTTTATCTGTTTTATTGCTAATGCAATACACATTGTCCTGGGTATAGGTGAGCTGCTTTGGAGGAGAACATGATTCTGATACTGGGGATTATTGGAGGTGAGACCAAAAATTAAACTTTGTTTCAAGTTTCCGACTTGTCATGGTTCTGTTTAGCTGATGCTTCATATTGGGTCAATTTCTGTTAGGCTTATGATTGAAGGGAGTGGGAAGACTTGGAAGCAAGATCAACGGGTTCGGCTTCAACATGTTGACACTGGTGGCTATTTGCACAGTCATGACAAGAAATATCAGCGGATAGCTGGTGGGCAGCAGGAGGTGAGAAAGAAACATTGCTTTCCCATTTGCTCAATTTAAATTAGCTACTAACCATTAGAAAATTTTCTGTGATACTATTTGAATTACTGGAAGTTTGCTTTTCAATTCTCCGTTTAACATTCTCTGCATTTATATATAGGTATGCGGCATCCGAGAGAAGCGAGCTGATAATGTGTGGTTGGCAGCTGAAGGTGTGTACCTCCCTGTTACCGAAAGCAAGTAGATATTATGGGGGATTTTCCCTGTAAAAGCAGGTGCATGGGTTTTGGACTCTTAAGGTGGCTGGTACCTGTTTTTCTGGTAGTGTAGACGCTCTACTACGTGAAAGAAGAAATGCATTATAGAGTATAACATTTTGCTTTTAAAATTCCATCTTATGTACTCTGCATGTGATATCCGACCACCGGAGAATACTCATCGTAACATAACTAGTATTTTGTTCATGATTCTTAAATAGAAATCAAGTTAAACAGCATCATCTATCTAGGGATGTTCTATAAGCAAATCTTGTTTCCATTTGTGTGCAACCATTTGTATCAGGTACTTATACATTAGAATTTATATGTGGCCTTCTTGGATAACTTAAAAGATCGGGCGTGTTGCCAAAACTTCAATCCTCTACAGCTATTAGTTATAATCAATAATCCACATAACATGGCTAAAATATTTTACAAAACAATCCAAAAAGCATGGTTTTAAAACCCAGACCGGCCCGGCTGGTTTAACCGGTTGGATCGGGACCCGGGGCCTTCTCCGGGTCGGGTCACTCTTTTTAACTGTTTCAAGTTTAAAATATAACAAACACACCCTTGATTATTATCATCAGTCCCTGAAGGTTTCAAATCTAGCAAACACACCCTTTGGTCAAATGCAAATCGGCAATGACCTCCCCATTTTTGGTGACCTTCCACCTTCCCTTACTGTCGGAAACCACCTTTTGACTTTCTCCGGCGCTGTCACGCTTCATCTCTAGCCGTCGCGTGATGTTTCATCGTCCACCTTCGTCGCGTGATTTTTCTTCCATTTCCTGGCATCGATCAGCCTTCTTTGGCATTAACAAGCTTCCTTAGCCACCGATCTACCTTCTCCCAAGCTCCCTGGCCGTCGTTCACGAAGATCCAGTCATCTCACCAAAAAAAGCCACCGCGACCATTGACTTCCACCACCGACTTGTCATTTTTCGACGATGTCTCTACTTGCTAACTGCGGATTCGCCCTCCCCATCATCCGATCTACCCTCCCTGGTGTGTCGCCACTGCTCTCCCAATCGATCGTCGATTTGCATTTGGCCAGGGTTGTGTTTGCTAGATTTCAAACCTATAGGGTCTGATGATATTTATAAGAAGTGTTTTTGTTAGATTTTAAACCTATCAAATCATTGGTTCAAGACCCGGCTATCAGAGTGGGTTGCCCTTCGGTCCGGTTTTCAAAACAATGCCAAAATGAAGAAAAACACATTTCTTTGTGTTGGAGAAGTGATACAGTCATGACAATTTGCTTACGACTTGTTTGTCGTTGGTCATTGTTTGGATGCATAGGACGAAAATGATAACTGAAGCAGCTGGCAAAATAATTGTCTTGTTTGTTCATGGTGAATTCAGCTTCAGTAATTATTAGTTCTGTTCTCTACTTATTATTGAAGCTCTTTCTTCTTCTCTTTTCCTTCGGTATCTTGAAAACTTGGAAGCAATGAAGTTCACTTCTCATTTGGGCTTTTTCTTGGGATGTTCAAATTAGACTCTCAATGGAAAATTGGGATTGGAAAACAAGTCATTAGAGGGCCATTTAGCACTGTGATAAGAGCATTTTAAGTTAAACCAAAGCAAGCCCTTCTGGCATACATGAATTATTGGGCTGATAAAGTGGCCTACCATGTGACCAAAAAGTAGGCTTCTCAAGGACCTCTTTCTTTCTTTGTTTTCTGTAGTCCACCCCACTTTATTATTGCCCTCCACATTGTCTTCTTTTTCACTAAATGGTTTATGTGGCCTTTGTAGTTTGTAGCCTAGTTAGTACATACGAGAAAGAAAAAAAAAGAATAAAAAAATTTTACGGGTATAATATGGTAAATTATAAAAAATAAGTTTGTAAAAATTCAGTCATAAAATTCGGATATGAAAAAAATATGGTACGGGTATATACGGATTTAATACGACACATTGTCAATAATATGTTTTGAAAAATACAGTAATATCAATCATAGTTTTAGCACTTTTCATGGGTTATTTGATTAAAATTTATATAGCATTTTAAATATACGGGTACGGCAAAAAAAAGGTATGGGAATTTTACAGGTATAATATAGCAAACGGTGAAAAATACGTTTATAAAAATTCAGGAAAAATTCGGATACGGCAATAATTTGTGAATAATACGACTGTGACATATAATTTGCGAATAATATGACTGAACTGATAAAACATGACAGTTCGTAAATAATACATAAATTATATAACTGGACGTATAATTCCCGAATTTACTAACTAGGGTTTGTAGGGAACATAAATGCTCTACAAGTCAACATTAAAAAAAATAAAAAAGGAAAAATGAAAAGAAAATCACACCGACTCCAATCACTCATCTTGAAAAATTGTTGCTGCTATAGCCCCCGGAACAGAGGCAAATGCACATCCAAACTTTTGATTCTATGGGTCCTCTGCAGATTTTCTCGAAATTATAACCACCACCCTTAGTGGTTAGATTTAGATCTGAGATCTTACTCAAATTAAAACATTGGACAACCATTTTTCTGACCAAACTTAGTCAAGCTATTTTTATTTTAATGCCTAATTTTTCCAATATCAATTTTTACACCAAAACAAGTACTTCCATAACTTGTCTTCTACCTTCCATACCTTCCTTCACCAACTATCTGCCATTTTCTAACCCAGCTTTTATGGTGGTCTCAAGAATCTAAAACTAGGCTCTCTCTCTCTTTGGCCGCACGTGTCAAGATTATTATAATCACATAAAATAAATAAATGCTGCACCATCTTTGTGGGGTAATGAGAGATTGAGATTTGAGAGTTATCATTTTCAATAGTCGGTGGATGACACAGGTGGGTTTGTGTTATGTTGACAAAAAGCTTTGCTCATTCTTGAGTCTCTGACTCTCATACAACTTAGATGTTTGGAAGTTAATTAAATTCTCTCCTTAATCTTAGCAGGATTGATGATGTCTAAATATCAATCAATCAAAGACTTACTATTCCCATGAGAGTCGTAGGGTCCAATTCAGTTGATGACAGACTATGAGACCATATGCTTTTTTATGATGTCTTTTCAAACCATCATTGTCCTTTCTGCTTTCCCATTTCTGCTTTAGTTACTGTTTACTAATTGATACGGGGCAATAGCAATTCACAAAATGGTTCAAGGCTTTCCAGATGTAATTAGACAACCTCATAATGCAATTCTGTCCGTACCAGAAACTTTAAACTTCCCAAGACGTAAGTTTCCAGAGAAAAATCAATTGCTTGTTTTTGTTTTTTCCTCAAAATTCAACTACTGAAAGAGATTCTTCTTCACTACAAGTTTTTAGTCCCCCCACCAATAAATTTTAACCTTGAATCACACAACCACGAAGTTTCCTCTCAATATGGATGATAATGATGGTGAGACATTGGATTCTTAATTGTACATGAAGAAGATCTTTGTCATGGTCCCAAAAATTTACTGATGAAAACTTAATGGTATTTGTAGTTTATGCCAGCTTACTTATCCAGAAAAAGAATAGCCATGAAACGTATTCGATTTGCCCACCAACCCAGTGGCTGCTTTTATTCTCATATACATAAAAGCTTGTGAGGTACAATTAAACGAAGCTTCACAAAATTGTCCAGTACCATAAAAGCCAAGAGAGTAAATGAATGAAAACCAAAATTCACCAAATCGTCCTCTATGCCCGTTTGAATGGGGTTAATATTAGATAATTGAGATAATATTTTTTAAATTGAGATATTTGATTGATCTGTAAAAATTTATTCTCAAAATCTTTTATGCCAATAAGTGGCATTTGGGGGGTAAGTTGCATAGAATATTAATACCTTGGGCAATGTTCTGAAACCCAGACCGAACCAGCCAGTTGGACCGGTTCAATCGGGAACCGACCACCTGTCTGGTCCAAGGTTTAATAAAAACCGATAAAAGCATTTGACTCAATTAAGACCGAATGAATAATGACAAACTGCCGGTCTAACTAGATTGATCACAAAACCGGGTCACTTAAAAAACAAAAATCCCTAAATTTTTTTGTCTCTTCCTTCGTCATTATTCAATCTTCTTCTTGATTCTTGCAGCAGTGGGCAGTGGCCACCACCTCCTCCTTCCACATATGACATTCCTACTTCTCCAAACCATTTTCTCTCACCCTCTCCTCCTCCAAAAACAACAACAGCAACAATAAAAACAATAAACTCAATGACCTCATTATCAACAAGCGTCTTAGTCAGAACCAAACTCATAAATTATCACTTTCACCATCAAAATCAAAGCCTTCAACATCAAAATCGCAACTTTCAACATCAAGAAAAATACCCACAAGCCAAATTGGTCTTATTCTTCTTCTTCATGTTCTCTTAGAGACGTGGCGACGCATGTGATTCAATCCCATTCCCGAGCCTTTCTTGTGTGTAGATCCAAAACCCTTAGACCTTTTCCCCCTTTTCCTTGATGGTGGATTTCAAACCATGTTAGTAAATAGCTGAGCATTTGGTCCAAATTAGCCTTATATTTGTTAATATTTACGAAACACTCGATTCACTTATGCAGACTCTTTCGTCCTCACTTTTTAAATTTTTCGAACAACATTGCCTTTGATATTATCATTATTTATAGAAATGTCATTGTACCAAAAACTAGCCACTACTACCAACCACCGTGGACCATCGTTGAAGGCTACCAAAAGTTGTCATAATGGTGTACGACCGACTATATCTTTGACAGTGAAACGGCCATGGCCAAAACTGTGGCACTGCCGACGTCATAGCCGGATCTATGGCATTGTTGGCGGCTGCCGACGGTGGTGGCTGGCTGTCTATAGTAGCTTGGGGTGAGTATGGGTGTTTTTGTTAAGTTTAAAATATTTTTGGTTGCTATGGTGTTTTTGCTAAATATAAAGAGTAGGGGGTTAAAGAAATTATTCAAAAAATAAAAAGTAAAAAATACTATTATAATAATATTTAAAAAGAAGGACAATTTAGTAATCTATATAACATACCTACCAATTTATCCCTCCAACCAAACATATTATTCACCAATTTATTCGAACAAACCAAACACATTTTCTAAACATTCTCAGTCATCTTTAAGATGATTTTTTATAATATAATATCCTTCTATAATAAAACATTATATGATCCAAACACCCCCTATAATCTACATTTTTTGCAAGTGCAGTGTGTATCACTGAAGTTGGAAGAGGAACAATATGGAATAATGGAAGGGCATAATTACATTACCACATATAATATTTACAACAACATTTAAGTACAGCTAAGAGAGAACCGACTTATCACAAAAGAAGAAGAAAAACACGATTCAAAAGATTATAAAATTATTAAACTAAACATCACATTATATATATATATATATATATATATATACCTCGGCGTGGGGGAAGAACATGGATGATTTTATTTGTGCCCACCAGCCCAGTCTGTAATTTACTAATCTTCTGACCTGCATTTAAGTTAAATACAAAATAGCTCATTAAACAAGGTCAATGCATTCACAAATTACAACACAAAAGATGCATTTACTTATTAAACAAATGAAATCAACTCTGTAAATCCAGAGATTCCGGATGGAAACATCACATTCAGAATTGAAAAACCAACAAAGGAATCGATTCCCAGATGGGAAATAAGACTTAATAGTCGCTGTTATGTGTGTGTGGAAGAAAATGACCGACACTACTTTTTAACAAGTAGGAATATTTCAATACATTATATTAAAGAATAGGGCCAAAGAGCTGGACAAAAGTGTACTAACGAGTTGAAAAAGACTCCTTGATCATAGGGATACTCATAATTTCGTAACTAAATCTAGCCCCTCTCTAATTTTCCATCCCATGCCATAACACTGACAGCGAAGCATCTCTAGAAAAGGATCTCATCAGTGCTCAGATTTATATATGCATTTTCACATGTCCCAATAACGCAAAAGATTTTTGTCTTCATATTTAACTTCTCAACAAGTTTTAACTTTTATCAGGCGTAAATTAATCTGTTGTTCAGATCCAAGCCAATGTAGATCTCAAAGAATGGATATGATTTTACTTTACTCATTCATAGATACTAACAAACTAGACAAAGAGGATCTAATCCATAAGAGAGAAATTTTCTACCTACATTAACAGAGCTACAAAACTGATATAACTGCAATGAGATTATGAAAAGAAGACTAACTTCAAGTTCTCCTCTTTAATTAAAATGGTAAGCTCTTGGAAGTTGAACTAGCTGTGAGGGACTTGAAGTGTTCTGATGGAACAAAATCTTGTGGCAAATTGGCCCTTTTAACGATTCTTCTCATGTTGTTCTGCAAACTTTGTTGGACTAATTGTTTCACAGCCTTCTTCTCCTCGCTCATCATGTCTTCTTCGTCTTCCAAGCACTCATTTGCAATTGTAACCCCATTTGTATTAGTAGATGTTGATGAAGACCCGTAAATGGGAGCTGAAACGGTGGCACCCAGATTCCCACCATAACTCTCTGAAACTTGCTTCCCTTTATCAACTCGCAAACGTTCCAAAATCCTTGAAGCTCTCTTCTGGGCCAATGTGCTTCCCAAGAGTGTTAATTCAAGCAAGGATGATGCGATTCCAGCTTCAATCATGGCCTGTCTATCTCCATAGGATTTATGCGCCATCACCATCAAAATGTAGGATGATTTCTCCTGGCACCCTGGTGAATCAGTCCAATTCAAAACATCAACCAAAATTGGAAATGCCTCAGGCACCACACTAATTGCCTTCCGACCTTCTGGGGTTGACACCGCATTGCTCAAAACTGAAAGAATTCTTTCACTCAAATCCATATCACCCAATTTGTTCAGCAGAAATGGGATCAAATCGGTTTCCAAAATATACGAAATGTTTGCTGGGAAGATTGAAAGATTGTACAGAGCTCGAAGGGCATCTTGTTTAGCTTGTGAACTACTTTGGTTATGGGAATTTTTGAGGGTCTTCACCAAGAACGGGACAGCACCCGAAGATCCAATTATAGGCTTATTTAAATCCAATGCACTCAAGCCCAAGAAATTTGCTACTATTGCCTCCGAGACTAAAGGTTTTGGAGCATTTGGCGATTCAATCAACTGTAGCATCTTGTGTACAGCTCCTGCTTTGACAATAGCTGCTTTGTTCCTGCAAAGAGCGTATGAAAAAAAAAAATTAACTACAGTTACAATTACAATTCGGAATCACAGTAATGCGTTATAGAATGAAATAGTGACCAAAGCAAATAAAAAGTAGATTAAAAACAAATTAAATGGGAGATTAAAAGACAAGTCCACTTAAGCACCAAACTGTTTCAGAAAATAACATAACGGATGGAAGCATGGAAAGTGACATGTCGGAGCTAATAATTTTCAATTTTAGAGCTACAACTTACAGAAAACTACAATCATAAAACCGATAAAGAAAGATCAAATCTTTAAACAAAAATAATAATGAAGAAAGCGAAAGCACATAACATAAATTCCAGTAACATTCCCACAAAATTCTTTTCCAAAAATAAAAATTTGATCAGAAGAAAACAGCACCTGGAAATAAAAAAAAATTAAGAAAAACAAAAATGCAAAACTAAACTCACACATCGTTGCCGATCCCAAGATTAAGAAGAGCATAAAGTGCTGAAATTTGTGAATCAACATCTTCAAAATCAAGCATTCCAGCTAAAGGAGGAATGGCTCCTAACATCGCAAGAGTAACTCTTGCTTCCGAATTTTCTTTCGCAAGTAACCTCACTTTACAGGCACCTTCTCTTCGTTTCACTTCATCTTCAACCTGCAGCTCCTTCACCACACGTTTCAACTCCTCCAGAGCCTCCTCTTTCTTTCTCGTTTCACTCTCACTAATTTCACCTTCCACGTCAGCCAAATTCAGAAGATCTGATAGCTTCTCTGAACCTTTTCGTTGTTTCTGCTTTTCCTTTTTTTGCCGTTCTGGTTTCTCCTTCTCTTGTGGCTTCTCATTTTTACTCTCCAAATTCGTTGAACTTGTAGTGACTGAAATATCATCTTGTTGAAACTCTTGACGGAACCGAGAACTACCGCCACAACTGACCGCATTAAAGATTTTTCGACGGAATGCAGCGGCGGAGAAGGCGGTCCAGAGACGGTGGTGGTTGGCGGTGGCGGTGGAATGGTGGTGGTGGTCGAGGACTAAGGATCTGACATTGTTTTGATGAATCTTCGCCATTATCGATAATTTTGTTATTACAACGAACTACATTTCATAGAAAAAACAAGACACGACACAAAACAACCGAACTGAGCTTCGGTCCGGTTCGTTTGGGTTCTAGAGAGAGAGAAAGACAGAGAGGAAGTGAAGAGTTTATGTTTATGTTGTGTTTCGTTTCCTGTTACTTTATAACAGCAGAGAAAATGTTAAAAAGAGGCTCAGAGATTCGAGACCAGAGAGACTAAAAAGAGAGAAAGTGACTGTAATATTTAAAGCCATGTTTGGATAGCCTTTTGAGAATACTGTTCCAAAAGAAGACAATCAATTTTCCCCAAAAAATATTATTAATTAATTAAATACTCCAATTTAATAGCTTTAATTACTACTTAGTGAGCTTTATTACCATTTATTTCTACGGTTAAATTTAATTTCAAATTTTAAAAATAGCTTAAAATTTGAAAACAATTCATAATAAATACTTATGAGAAATAAATACAACACCAAACAGAAACAAAATTTAATTTTAAATAAAAAAAATAAATAAAAATATAGAGAGAGGCTTGAAAAAGAAGACAGCAGAAGAGAGATAAAGGCTTGGCAAAGAAGCCAAGGAGACCATGGTCCATTATTTTTAGTTTCATGGGAAAACGTGTAATTTGTACTAGACTACATTGAATTCCACAGTAGTAACTTACATCACGGATCATCTGTGCCATCCAGCTAAAGCATCTGCTTTGTTAAAGATGGTTCGTGTGGGCCTGATTGTAGATACTCAGTGGGGTCCGTTAAAAAACTGACGCTTTTGGGGTTGGGTGTATGGTAATACGGTAGAGATGAGAGTAGAACGTGGGATGTAAGGTAAAGACTAAAGACTAAAGAAAAGAAAAATGGTGTAGAAATATGTGCATGCTTCTCTGACTTCAATGAAGATAGATAGATGCGTGGTACAATTTCTGATGGATATTTTCCCTCTTTACTTTTAGGACTTTATGTGTTAATTAATTACATCAATGCCATTACAAATTGTCAACAAAAATTCTTACAACCTCAGGGACAAATTCGTCCAAATCAATAGTCAGAGCATGGCACATGAAAAATAATTGAAAGCACGTGATATGAATAATTTTCCTTGTAAACATTAGTGTCACTGTCATTTCACACCATCACTACTAATCGTCAAGATAGTGGGTTAGTAGTGTAAAGCATTTAACCCACAATTTTTTGTAATTTGATTGAAGCATTTGATATTTGTGAACAAGCAATTACATCACAAAATCTCATTCGTGTTAGCCCAATTGGTTAGGACAAATCAATGATAGTGTAGGCTGCGTTTGTTTCAGTTTTGGGAATACTACTTTTAGTATTCCCAAAAAAGTTAAACAGTAAAATACCCAAAAAACTCAGGGCTCCGTTTGGTTCACAATTTTGTATTTTTGAGAAAAGTTTTTTGAAAAAAGTTAAAAAAAAGTTGAATTGGGCGGGTATTACGATGTAGGATTTACAAATTAATAAAATACTTTCTATGTTTATTTTTTACAAAACACCCCCTATAATAAAACATTAAAAATTAACAAAAACACCCTCAATCCACCCTCAAATATGGACACTCGGCCACCACCGCTAGAGGGTGGTCGGAGTCGCCGTAATAAAAATATTAAAAATATTTAGGGGTATTTAATTAAATTAACAAATTTAGAGGGTTTAAAAAAAGTTGAATAAAGTTGAATAATATTGTGAGTTTTTTGGTATTTTACTGTTTAACTTTTTTGGGAATAATAAAAGTAGTATTCCCAAAATCCAACCAAACGAAGCCCAGATTTTTGGGAATACTACTCCCAATATTATTCAATTTTTTTTAAACCCCTTAAATTTGATAATTTAATTAAATACCCCTAAATATTTTTTTTAAAATTATAAAAACACCCCAATAATCCACATTTACCAGATTCCGGCCACCACCATCGGAAAATGGCCGAAATCTGGTAGGATCTGGCCGTTGATGCCATATCTTGGCCGTACAGTCGGTCACGACGGCCAACAAACGTTCGTCATTGACCATCAACGACGACCGTTTTTGGCCGTCGTTGAGAGCAAATACGCCAGACTGGCGGTTGACTGCCAGATCTGGCCAAGATCTGGCCTTTGCCGGCCAGATCCACCGTGGATCTGGCCGGAAAGGCCATATCGCGCATGACCGCAAGATCCCCGGTCATGCGCCCATAAGGTGACTTCGGCCACCTCCGGTGGTGGTGGCCGACTGGGGGTGTTTGAGGTGGTTAGGGGTATTTTTGTTAACTTTTAATGTTATTATAGGGGGTATTTTGTAAAAAAATAAATTATAGGGTATTATTAATTTATAAATCCTACATCGTAATACCCCCCCAATTCAACTTTTTTTTAACTTTTTTCAAAAACTTTTCCCAAAACCCCAAATTTTGAACCAAACGAGGCCATAGATACTGGTTAGACGTACGATTTTAAGTTCGATTTCATATCTAAACATCTATGATTTAAGTTACTAAAGATTAGTCAAGTATACTAAGCTGTAAGATGGTTCGAACACTTAGTTCCAAAAAAAAAAAAAAAAAAAAAAAAATTACATTAGAAAACATATTGGCCTAAATATTTCAAACATTTAATTTGAGCATAGTGGGATTATTTGACAATTTTATTTTATTTTTTGGTCTAAGTGAAATTCATGGTGGAGAATACATGACCCATGTCTACTCCATAAATTTTTATGTATTTTAAATGTGTGTCATAGTTTTTGGATGGACATAAAATTAGTCTAAAGTATTAAATTTCTATAATCCCCTCAAATTTATATTCAATATTTTCCTTTTGGTACGGCAACCAACAATTTAATATTGTTCTAGAAATCCACATACCAAAATTAAATGATTTTGGGTCAAATTGATTTCTAAAAATTTTGAATCTTATAATAATAATTGTGTAAATAAGCAGTATGGGTATTGATTTTGAGAAATTAGTAGACCATGTTTGCTGGTCTCAGCTTGACTCTTCCAATCAAATATTCATTATATTTTATACCATAATCTCCCATCATGTTTCTTGGTCTCCATATCCATTATATATTTTTTTTAAAATACAATCAAAAAATTAAAACCCATTAAGGCATATTGATGCCCCTCTCACAAAAATTGTTGGATGTCTTTATCTAAAATTAAAAAGAATTCAACAAATCGTATATAATTGGTTAGATTTAGGCTGGGAGGCTAAAGAGATAAGCCACACCCAAATTCAATCCAACTAACACACTTTATTTTCAATAAATGCACTACATATCAGTTACTTTCTTCTTTAATTTGCTTCACCCAACCAAATTCAAATTATTAACCCATTACTATAAAAGTTTGGCTCCACTATCATCCCTCTTGGTGTTGACATTAGCAGACAAATCATCCACAAAAATATACATTTTTCACTCCCTTCTGCAATGGCTTATTGTTTTTTTTTTTTTTAATTGGGTATGGGCATGGGCATGAGAAGAACAAGTTAGGGATTAGCTTTTCATAAAATAAGAATTGTTCCATAACACTCTCCCACGGGACAAAAGTAAATCACCGACCGAACACCATCTGTTCTTCTTCTTATAACTGAATTGTGTTGGGATTAAACTGACCAACAAGGCATCAAAATTATGAATAATTATAATAATAATCTGATGAGAAAAAAGGCCTTCATATTTCACAAAGTAAGGCATCATCTTGTCAGAAGTTCTATAATAATAATATGACAACTTTTTGAGTGCAGACAGAAATATACAATGTACTACTATCTGGAAAGAGTAAAGCGCTTTACCTTTCTACCATGTGACATATGAATAAACACCCAGTTTGGGGATGGTTTGGGTGTTTCTATTCATATACTTGTCCATAAATAAGCGACCGAAGAATCAATCGGATCAAGGCATTGTTGGTAATAATGGCAGCCATACTTAGCCAAGAATCACTACCTTTTGACATTTATCTGCCCATTGCACTAATACTTCGTTGTAATAGTAAAGTGAAAAATTATACAGAACAAAAAGACTCAATACAAAACAATTTCGCCTAGGTTAAAAGAAAGGAAAACAAACCATTCTGTGCTCTACTTAGATTTGTCCCCAAAAAATGTAGTAGTTATTGTACATATTGTCACTAAACCTAGATATTGACAAAGATGAAACAAGAATTTTATTTCATTTATAAGACATGTGTACAACTCCAGAAGGCAAAATCAGTCGTTAGCAACCATGGCAACCGTGGGAGAAGTGCTGTCCAATTTCTTGATGCACAACCTGTTTTTGGTCGAAAGGGAATCATCAACATCAACAATAACTGAGTCTTCCTCCTTAAAATCTCCTTTCAACACTCCCATTGCAATTTCATTCTCAACCAACTGCTGTATCACCCTCTTAACTGGCCTTGCCCCGAAGTTAGGGTCGAAGCCCAATGTACCCAGAAGTTCAACAGCTTCTTTTGTGTAGTGAAGATCGATTTTCTTTTGTTTGAGTCTGCCTCTCAATCGGTTCATCTGGCATCAACGAAAACATGTTAAAAGTGAAATCCTTAAAGTATTTAACATAACAAAAAGGAAATATCAGAAAAATCAGACTACTATAAATGGTCCAAAAATCCAGAGGAAGTGAACATCCACATTTCAAACATCTCACAACCGTAGTATTAAAAAAATGTGCATTAAAGTCAATAGTACAACTATAAGCACTGGGACACTATATTCTTCCCCAAATATATACAATAATGAAAAGAAGTAAATCTCATACTAGCACATTTCCAGATATCCTACAAACAGCAAAAGTAGAAGAATCGTGCCCCAACAAGAGAAAAACAAGACAGCTCTAAATGATTAAAACACTATTATCTATTCATTATATCCAAATTAGAAAATTGCATAATTTAGATCCATGTTTAAGGCACAGACTTAAATCAACATTAAAGGTTAGTAGTAGTTAAGGTACTATGTGCAGAACTATTTAAGAAAGAAAAAGATTTAAAACAGTTAATTAAAAGAACTCTCTAAAAAGATTTTATTACCTGTATCTCAACAATTTTACTGATTTCCTTGGAGTCCAGAGGCTGGAAAACGATATACTCATCAATTCGATTCATAAATTCTGGACGGAATGTTTGTCTAGCCAATTCCACGACTTGTCTTTTCATGATATCATAAACAACATCCTTGCTATCTTCAGTATTACGAAGAGTTTCAAGTATATAGTGGGAGCCAATGTTTGAAGTCATTATCACAACACAGTTTGTAAAACTGACAGTCCGTCCTTGAGAATCAGTTATCCTTCCATCATCCAACAACTGTAATAATATGTTGAAGACATCATGATGCGCTTTCTCAATTTCATCAAAGAGTACTACAGAATATGGTCTTCGACGAACCACCTCAGTGAGCTGCCCACCTTCCTCATAACCAACATAACCAGGAGGGGCCCCAACCAATCGTGAAACTGCATGCTTTTCCATGTACTCACTCATATCAATTCTGACAAGAGCATTTTCGGTGTTAAAGAGGTAACCAGCTAAAGCTTTTCCAAGCTCAGTCTTGCCAACACCAGTAGGACCCATGAACATGAAGCTAGCTATAGGCCGATTGGGGTCAGACAATCCTGCCCTTGAACGGCGGATTGCATCAGCCACTGATTTAACTGCCATATCTTGACCAACCACCCTTTTGTGCAGCACATCTTCCAGCATAACTAGCTTGTCCCGCTCAGATTGTTGAAGATTTGAAAGGGGTATACCTGTCCATTTACTTACAATTTCAGCAATATCTAGATCAGTGACCTCCTCTCGAAGTAAAGACTGTCCAGATTGTTGGAATTCAGCAAGGTTCTTATCAGCCTCTTCTAATTGACGCTGAAGGGACATCAAAGTTCCATATTTGAGCTCAGCAGCACGATTTAGGTCATACTCACGCTCAGCAGCTTCCATCTCCAAGTTAACTCTATCAATCTAGAAAATTTTAAGCAATTAAATTAAAAAATAAGGAAGACGAAAGAGAAATAACTTAAAATCAACAAGGCTAGGAAAAGAGTTACCTCTTCTTTAATTGAACGTATCCGTGTCATGAGATTCTTCTCATGGCCCCACTGTTCATTTAGTTCTTTCTGTTTCTGTTTTAGCACATTCAGATCATGTTCCAGTTTGCTTAACCTTTCTCTGGAGGCTTTATCAGTGTCATTTTTCACAGAAAGCTTCTCCATCTCCAACTTAAGTACAGCTCTATCTACCTCATCCAACTCTGTAGGCTTAGATGTGATCTCCATTTTCAGCTTTGCAGCAGCTTCATCAACAAGATCAATGGCTGAAAGGAAAAAGCGAAATCACAAATAAAAAACAGCATAGTGGACACATAAGATTTTAACATTTAACACACCAGAGATTTTTTCTGGGTGTGCCACGTTTTGAAGAGAAGAATTTTGGGTAGAAAAACCAAGTGTACTTTTTCCTTTTTTCTCTAGTTACTATAGAACAGATTCATATCTATGATCTCCAACTTGTCTTTTAAGATCATCAACCAAAAAAGATACCGTCTGTTGAGTGCATGACCACTCTTTAACACATAATATCACAAACCATGCTTTAGGTATCCATCAAGATGAAATCAACAAGTTAAAAAAGATAAATTAAAATAAAAAGATGCAACAAGGGAATAAACAAACAAGAAAAAAGAATAGTTCGCAAAACACATCAACAGAAAACTGATATGCCTATTTTCCTCTCTCATGGAGACTGAATTTTCAGCCAGTAGATAAAAGTTTAAAAAATAAAAAGACAGATGCTTTCTTCCTGTCTTAGATAACAGTCTCATAAGTTTTAAAAATAAACCTATTATTTACCTTTGTCAGGCAAAAAGCGTTCTGTGATGTATCGATCTGCAAGAACTGCTGCTGAAACAAGGGCACTATCTGATATTTTAACACCATGATGTAACTCATAGCGCTCACGCAGCCCACGAAGAATGGATATCGTGTCATCAACAGATGGTTGACCACAAAAAACTTGTTGAAATCTGCGCTCGAGTGCAGGATCCTTTTCAATGTATTTCCTGTACTCATTCAATGTAGTTGCTCCTATACAACGGAGCTCACCACGGCCAAGCATTGGTTTCAACAGATTCCCAGCATCCATTGCACCACTTGTAGCCCCTACAAAAAATCATTCACAACACGCCACCTTATCATAAAATGAAAGATTCCAAAATGAAAACAAATATCACACAATGACAGTATAAGGAATGTGAAATGGAGAATGCCCACCAACAAGAATATAAGATTCCACTGTCAATGACCTTATAGTATATCCATATAATGTACTTAGTATCATAAATAATCTGTCTTAAACTTGGAACTGTGGCTCTTAACAAGCCACATTCCAGATACACCTGCTTATCTGCCTCTGTTTTAATAAATACTTCATAAAATATGTGACAGCAGACCATTTCATATATCCATCTTTTTCAATAAGCAAATCAAGTTGCATGCTACTATTGTTATATGCAAAGATAAAAACACACAAAATCTTATAAAAGCAAATCAAGTTACAAAAATAATTTATCATCAAGAATGTCATTCAGCACATATACCAAGTTTGCCAATTGCTAACTTTATTAACATTATCCTGAGATCATGCATGCACAGCTAAACATGCATAGATAGGAGGAAGTCATCAGACACCAAACATGTTAAAGAAAGATAATGATATCAAAGGAAATAGAAAGAGGGTACAAACCTGCACCAACTACTGTATGGATCTCATCAATGAATAAGATAATCTGCCCATTTGAACTAGTAACCTCCTTCAACACAGCTTTCAACCTTTCCTCAAAATCTCCACGAAACTTGGCACCAGCAACCAATGAGCCCATATCCAAGGAGATCAACTGAATAGTACAAGAGTAAATGCAAAAATAAGCTACAAAGTTCATCATAAAGGAACATGTATCATTGGCAGTGTAGTAATTGTCCATAAATTTAACCTCACCAGTAGTATGAGTACACAAACAATAAGTCTTTTAACAACCTAAACTCAACCAATTTGATATCATCCGCTATGGGACAACAGTCTAAAAAAGACAAATATTCGGCAATTAAGGATATCTATGAAAGAACATATTTAACTTGCAAACAAAATTATCACATAAATATGTCAAACAAATCTTTACCAACTCGAATCTTTCTTCAATCAGGAAAATATGACTAAGAGTAAGGTTGAAACAAAACCTTTCTATTCAGCAATGGTTCTGGAACATCTCCTCTCACAATACGTTGAGCTAATCTGAATAAAAACATAAAATATTAGTAAAACCTATTTCAGACATCATCTCAGAATTGAGTATAGCGTTTTACCGATACGTTAAATAATTAAATATTTACACAATAAAATTTTTTCAACCCATCTATTAACTAATTTTACATAGAAGATAGAACAAATTACAAAAATGAACCACAAGAACTGAGCTGAAGAAGATACTGCATCTAAAATCAAGATAATTAACAAAGAAAACCTGTGAACTTTACAACAGACAAGATGACAAAATGAAATATTTCACATATGAATGTCCAAGGACATTTTTTTATAATCCTCGAAAGAGCCAAGACAAAGTTAATTCTTAAAATATAAAAAAGAAAAAAAGAAAAGGAAATGTTTCAAACAATATACCCCTCAGCAATTGCAGTTTTTCCGACACCAGGCTCACCAATAATAACAGGATTATTTTTAGTTCTCCGAGATAATATCTGGATACACCGCCGAATTTCATCATCTCGACCTATAACAGGATCAAGTTTACCACGCCTAGCAAGCTCTGTCAAATCATTTCCATATTTGTCCAGTACCTCATATTTTCCTTCAGGATCTACATATGTGAAGGAAATAACATGTGAGAGCAGCAATACCCCAGGTACTAAACAATTTAGGATAATTATGAGTAAAGGTGCACTCAAGTTGTCATACAGGGATGAAAAAAAAAAATATGATCAATTTTCTTCCCAATACAACAAGTAAACATCGAAACCACAAATGTAAGAATTTAAAGTCATACTTTGATCCGTTACTCTCTGATTTCCACGAACAGCTTTGATGGCCTCCTTCAAATCCTTCTCGCTAAGCTGAAGGTTCTTGAATAGTTGTTGCCCAAACCTCTTATCAGAATGAAAGGCCAACAAAAGATGCTCAACAGACACAAAATCATCCCCCATTTCCTTTTTATACTTTCGAGAATCATCCAGGAGGGAACAAAAATGTGATCCTAATACAGGCCCGCTGGTGTTACCTGTAACCTAAAACAACAAAATAAAACAAATCACAGTTACAAAACAAACAAACCAGCAAAAATAAGTATACCATGAAGAATTCATAGCAAACACCTTTGGTTGCTGGGATATAAATTCATCTGTAGCCTGCAAAACCGAGGTGTTGTCAATCCCCGCCTTGGTGAATATTCTTCGAGCCAAACCATCCTTTTGCTCCAAAAGGGCCTTCATCAAATGTTCAGATTCCACCACTTGTTGATTGCTAACTCTTGCCGCATCAACAGCACCAACAATGCCCTCCCATGCCATCTCAGTGTACTCAGTTGGATTGGCCTGACGACACATAAGCACGAAAAATTTCAATATCACTTATTAATTAACTGAAAAGAGCTTTTTAGCAACAAATAAATCAGCGACTTAGACAAAATTTCAAAAGCTGAAAATTCAATTCCCTAAAGAACCTGAAGTATCAATTGAGTTCCGAAATAAGTTGTCAAAATCCTCACTTTTTCTAAATACATTCAGCACAATACTATGAATTCCAATAAAAAAGTTTAATACCAACTGAACAAACTCAAAATGATATTTACAAACAATAAATTAGCTTTAAAAATAGCCTAATTAATCATATATCCATACGTAAATACATTCAATGTAAAGTATAGGTATACCAACCTGGGAGGAGCTGGTGGCGGAGGAGCGAAGAGGAGTGGAAGAGTGGAACTTGCGAGTGAAAGCGTTCGCCGACAACTTTGCAGGAGCGCCATCGTTCTGAGGAATTGGGTTGAAAATATGAGGCCGAGAAAGTGAATTGAGAGAACTAGTGAAAGAAGAAGCTGAGGCAGAAGTAGATTGAAGGCGAGAGTGAGAAAGCCGTGTGCCGGACTGTGAGAGAGAGAGTTTTAGTGTTCTTGAGGATTTTAAAGCGGCTAAAGTAGACTTTGTAAGCCTTCTCGAGGCCATTACTGAAGATCAAAGCAGAGAATGAGATTGAAGAAGTTGTTGAGAGAGAGAGAGAAAGAGAGAGAGAGAGGTTTTTGAAAGCTTGGAGAAAAGGCAAAAGAATGTTGTAGAAATGCCTGGTAGTTTCTTCTAGTTTTGTTTGCGTTTAAACGTACCGTTTTATATAGAACAATCTTTGTTACACATTAGGCATAATTTAAGAACTCTATTTGGGCCATTTATTTGAACTTGAGCTATGAGCATTGTTGAATGCGGTTTTTATGGATCATCGGTTTACGCTGACATATTCGGGATCCTCTTCACCATAAGCCTAATTAGTTATTGGATTTACAATTGATTTGCAAATGTTTGGGCTAGGCCAGGTTAGATCGGATTAGTCCAAATGAGATTAGGTTTATTAATATATGCATATTGCAATAGTGAAAAAAACTAATGTAAGAAAATATTGAGAGAGAGAGGAGAGAGAGTGAACTGCTATCTCAACTATTGTATTGCTATAGATTTCTTCTATCTTGAATGTTAGACGTAGTTTTTATATTAGTAACGAACCAAGATAAATTAATTGTCTCTGCTACTTTTCTACTTTATTATTGTGTGTGTGTTTTGGGGTTATTTCTCTACAACCAGGAAGGAAAGACCGAAAGTCCAAAACAGTTTAAAATAAAGAACACTTATATATGCTGGGAAGTTTCAATGTTACAAGTTCTGTTTTTGGCAAATGGGTTGCCAGATTTTGTAAAATGAAATAGATTAGACCAATAATGGATTTACATACAAACAGCACAACCGCAAGGGTTATTGATTTGTAAACTATTTGAAGCTGTACCATAAGAAAGAATTTAAACAACTGTACACAAAATGATTGTGATTTTAACAACTAGTTATCGTGGTCTTCTCGAGGTCCTTCTTCGACTGACAGATTTAGCCCATTTTATGGAGTCAATTATACCACCATCTTTTGCATTCCTCATCTCAGGAAGACTTCGCTTCTTATAATTGTCGACTCTGCTTGATTTGCCTGACTCAGCCTCAGACTGGGAGCAATGAAATTTAGAATCAGTAAACTTTCTGCAGGGTGCGAAACTAAGCAAAATTTCTACTGCTATACTTTCACTTTCTTCAAGCTCAGCTGATTTACCTGTTACATCTTCATTGCTATCGTTTACAATCGCCTCATCCAAACTTGACATTTTCTCAGGGTCAGAATTTAAACAAAAAGAAGGTTTGACACCATCTTGAATGAGCTGGGGTGATTCCTCACGTTCTGATTCAACAATGCCTACTCTATTGCTACTTGTCTTACCTTTGTCACTACTAGAATCACCAAGTCCATGAGTATCCTCTGCATATGCACTGTCGATTTTGTTCTTGCAGCTTGTTGTGTCCTGGGAGAGAGCGCTATTGCTTCCATCACTTGAGTCCTTGGGATTATCATTGCTGCCATCCATTATTGTTTGTGAGATTGAAGCAGATAATTGCAGATTCTGGTTTCCCAAGCAGAAGTTAATATTATCCTGATAGCAATTATTGGGCAGGTAAACCCCAGCAGCACTACAATTGATCAATTGTTCTGATTTTGAACCGGTTGTAATTCTACTATCCGAGCTTAAATTCCATTCAACCTCTTTTGAAGCATTCTTCTCAGTGGTATTACTAGAGTTCCAAGAATTCGTAACATACTTTGTAAAATCACTTTTAGAAGCTCTGGCTTCTGAGGCCTGGTCACCATTCTGATTGAACTCTTGAGATGTCGCTGTAAATAATCTCAAATCTGTTTCTGAACATATCTGCTTCAAACTTTGAGATTCACTGTCAATAGAAGACAGATTGGCTTGAACAACAGAATAATCTTTTGTGTTCTCAGTTCTTTGAGACAATATGGACTTCACATCAACCGCTTCAGAGTTGTTTGACCCAAAATGTATCTCAGGCTCATCCATAAAGTCTTCTGGGAGTTTTTCAAGATCAAAGTTTCTCATTGGTTTCTTTCGAGCAGTGTGGGAATTTTCTATGTTTCTGTCATTCATCCACACTGAAGCTGAGCTTTTGAACTCTTTGAATAAAAAAAATGGATGCAAAGAGCAAGCTAGTGACTCTTCTTCGCAAGCTCGACCACTGGCATATGCTGGCCTCAATGGTTTCCCTTCCAAAATCGAACCATGTAACCGATCATCTGCAAATATCCTTTCAGAACTATATGCCAGCACTTGGGCATGAGAGTAAATACTTCTTATTTCCTGCATCGCTAATCTTTGAATGTGGTATAGTTTGTGCAAAGCCTGAACCTGTAGAAAGCATCATTCATAAAATTAGCAACTAAAAAGGTTATGGAGACAATTTTTATCACAGTTGTATTACAACATCGGATGGACCACCAATACACTAAGATTGAAGCTTTTTCGTTGGGGCAAGGACCAGACTGGCAGACTCTGACAAACTCAAACTAGGAATTGCAATGGAGTGATGGACTGAAACACAGTTATTAAACACAGCCCCAATTCAACTTGACCGATGTCCCTCACAGGTATTTCAGGCATAACTCTTTCAGCCATATTTAGCCCTCCGGATTAGAATTGACTGAGAAAAGAGGCAGAATTACTAAAAGGTATCAAAACTACAGTAGCTAACAATGGCAAAATTACATAAATTTTCTTCTTCTCATCTAAATGAACCCCAACAGAATTGAAATACATGAAGCAATGAAACATAATCTGCTTCGAATTTCATTTGTCTCTCTAAGAATTATATTTTCAATTAACATACGAAATTGTTTGGGAGGAGAGATCTACAAACCTGTTCCTTAAATAATGCTTCATGTTGCATCATTTTACTTCGTATCTGATCCATGTTTTTATTGTAGTTGCTTCAGATATAACCCAGAATAAAAAATGCATCAAACTTCATCAGCAACTCTCATTTAAGACCGAAGTTGTTTGAAGTTTGAACCACCAGCAGCAAACCGATAGCCACTATGTGTTTACCTTGACGAAGAATCTAAATTGATAATAGACAATTTTAAGATCTTCATACCTGAAATAGTGAATTCTGTAAACAAAAGTGAGTGAAACCAGCAATAAAACAGCAAAAATTCACCCAAAAGAAAACGAAAAAAAATCACCGACATTTGATTTACGAAATGAAATCTCTCTCTGCCGGATTGTTCATCTCTCAAAAACAAAGTCTTCCATACCTCAACAAATTGCAGACTTTGACCATCACTAAATAGAATTTCAAACACCATTTTACATGATAACAACTCAAGATTCAGAATAGAATTTCAAAAATGAAACTGAAACGTGATCTAATTTTACCTTTGTTATCCCATATCAACCTCAGACGTGGCAGTATTTTTTTTTTTTTTTTGAATTTTTTTTTCTGGGCGTTTGGTCTGAAGATATTTTAGAGAGAGGTATTATTACAAGATATTGAGAGAAATCTAACGGCTTGTTGAGGTGAGATAGATTCCTGGAGATGGAGTTCGACTGTTGCCAAACCCAAGGGGTGCGCGAATGACTCAGTGACACGTGGAAGCATTGTCGGAGAAAGAGCAAATCATTTGGCTGGCATTTTTTTTTGTTCTTTATCGATAACCCCACGCTTGAATATCGATGGCAATAATAAAAAACGTGAAGCTGTAAAGAGACGAATATGAGTGCTTGCTCTTTGTCTTTTGCTTTAATCAAAGTTTTTCTTTACCGATTTTAAATAAAATCATCTCCCTATTAGCAATTTGATTAACGGAATTTACTAATATTTAATTATTTACTACTGTTTTAAAACTTGGTCGGGTCGACCGATTGGACTAGGAACCGAAACCTTCTTTGGGTCGGTTATCCCTGTCAAATATTTAAAACTCCAAATTCACGAGGACGCAAACCCTCGAAAGGAGGGTGGTGATCAATATGTAGAAAGTGGCGAGGCTATTAGGGGTTTTGGAGAGGAAGTGTCATTCAGTCGAAAGGCGGCGATGAAGGTGATTTTCGGTGAGTGAAATAATCGAAAATTGTAGAAGTCGCGTGGTCACAACAATAGATTGTTGTCGGCGATTGGTGGGGCAAACAGGGGGGGTGAGGTGGGTTTTGATCAAGAGGTTGAGTGGAGTGTTTTTGTGGTGATGGGGGTGGTTGTTGACGCCGGAAACGGGCCTATTTGGCTTGGGTTGGTAGTCATGTGCTGTGGTCTTTTTACGGAAAATTGTTCAATTTCGGTTAGATCTTTGGTAGATTTGCTTCAGAATGACTCAAAAGATGAGTGAGATTTGCATTTGGTATATCATTGTTACCAACCAATCGATCATCAATTTACATTTAGCCATATCACATGAGTCTGTTTGCATTATTTTCAAACCTCTGGACATGTTGACATCACCAGCCTGACATGCCAGTTAGACTAATTCAACCAATTGACCTAGGACCTAGCCACTTTGTCAAGTTTCACCTGTATTGATTATTAAAACATTGATATTTACAAATTACAACTAAAAATATCTAATATTTATGAATAATACTACACATACAACATTATGTGGTAAAAGATGATTGAGTTAAAATTTAATTTTAATTTAAAATCAATCAATCATATTTTATCACATAATGTTGTATAAAAAATGTTGTATATAAAATATTACTCAATACTTATAGGTAATGGGCCAATTTCCGGTTGAATGATCAAACTCTTTTGACTAATAATTCAATACAATTATCGTGATGCACATGGTAATTATTGATTAGAGATTTTAATTATAAGATTATCTTAACAATCGAACAATGTTGGATTAAAGGAGGAGAATTATTGTTTGGATTAGTGGGGAGCACGACTAGACTTTAATCATGGATCATAATGTATATAATATTTTTATCAAAATTCATGAATGAGAATCAGATGTGTACTTATCAGTTATCTCATAGTCCATCATGTAACACATCAACAATGGGCCCCTTCTATTATGCCACGCTCACTTAAAAGCCAGCTTCCAAAAAATAAAAAAAATAATAAATATTGCTCCATATTTATAAAATATAGGCATTTGAAAGATTCTTAATTGACCCTTTATTTCAATCAACACAATGTATCTTCGTGAACAATCTTTCATCACACCACATGTTCATTGTGTATCATTGTATATTATAAGAACAATTTATCAATACAACACCATGGTTAATACAATAATAATATTATTCATTTCAAAATATATTTCAAGATTCATATCCGGACAATGTGTTACCGATATTGACATATAATAAATTAATGATGTATTAACTGATAGGATGACGATACCTCGGATTGAAAGTGAATTTTGATTTATTTACATGCTAACATTAGTAAAATGTCATTTGGAATATGAATTGAATAATGTTATTTTTAATATAAACTCTATATACATAAGCTAATATAATATACTAGTATTCATTTACATACAAGAGGAAAAATGTGGGAAGGTTTATTACAAAGTTAATAAACCTCACACATTTGATATATAATAATAGATACGAATGCAACTCTAGGGAAAGAAAAGATACATTGACCACAACCGTGTCTTGTCCTAAGGATTGTGTTACTCTTCAATAATATATAATGTTATATCGTACAAAATGACACACCAAAGGCAATATTGTTCACCTTTTTCTTTTAGAGTAAACAACATGTTCCCACCCAAGGTTTGACGATATTCAAAAGTAATACCACTGGTTTCATTTATTCTAGATTGCCATCCTTAAACTAACAGTGTTAGTCACTGTTGGATTCTGAAGAGGAAAATTACCAAACTACCCTCCCATATTTATCTTCTTTTTTATCTCCCACTTCTTCTCTTCTGCTGCTTCTCTCTCCCTCCCACAACCACAGCCACAACCACGGTCTTCTCTCCCTCCCGAAACTCCAAAGTCACCACCATCACCACCCACCGCCATTCCACCCATCTATGGCCATTGTAATCCCTCACCACGACCCGATTTCAGTCCCACTACCCTCCCATCTTTGTCTTCTTCTTCTCCCCCTTCTTCTCTTCTGCCACTTCTCTCTCCCTCCCACAACCATAACCACGCTCCTCTCTCCCTCCCGAAACCCCAAAGTCACCACCACCACCCACCATTCCACCCATCTACCACCATTGCAATCCCTCACCACCACCCAATTTCGGTCCCATTTGGCTCAATCTCAGCTTTGTTGGCCGTCCTCATCATCACCACAAAAACCACCACCCTTCCACCTCCAAAACCTCCGTTTTCCCCGGCAGTGGTAGAGGGGAAGCAGTTGGTGGAGAGAAGAGAAGAAGAAAGAGAGAAGAAAAAGAGAAAGAATCTGGAAGAGAGGAGAAGAAGAAAAAGAAAAGGAAAAGGAAAAGAGGAGAAGAAGAAGGAAAGCGGTCAACGGTGGTGAGTCGAGAGAAATGAGTTTTGACACTTTTACCCTTAACCTTTTAAAATAAAAGAAACAGTGTTTGATTAAAGGTGGATATTTGGAATAAATCAAACTAAGGGTATGAACCTAGGATTTCAGCAAACCTTAGGTGGGAACATGTCGTTTGCTCTTTCTTTTACTTTGGTTCACATTGGTGACACTAGCCACTTTAAACGTGTACAAATGTGTTCAAAGTGAACTCTCTATTGTTCTTTGCTTTAACTCGATATTAAGATAAAGTCGTATTATTTTGAGAGAGACCAATTAAAAATGCCAATAATAATAATAAAAAAAGCTTCTGAAAGTCTTTATTAATCACATGTGGTGATATGATGACGAGAGTTCACACTGTTTGATGTTTTATTTAATTTAAAAAGAGGGCGGCGTATTAAATAAAAAAGTTTCTCAAAATGAGTAATTTAAAAAAATATATATATTTATTAAGATTTAAGAAGTGATTTCGCCATCATTTCTTACTTGTTAGAATAAGGCGGACCAGGCTCATTGTACTATGTAATTACACCCATTTAATAATCTAATCAAACGTGATCCACTAATTAGGGATTATAGTATTAAAATTATCAATAATCTTGCCGGTTTATTTTGTCTGCATTATTACATCTTAACAATAAAAATTATGGTGCATTATTGACATAAATAATATTAAATTACTCAAGGGATACTATCACAAACCCCCCCTAAAGTTTGCGTTTTTATCATGTGGATAACACCTTTTACCAAATATAAAAAGACTAATATCCAGGAGAGACCAACGTAGCAACTAGGGGTGAAAATCGAGTCGAACCACTCACAAGCTGCTTGAACTCGATGTTGGCTTGAACTCGACTCGACATTAGTCAAGTCGAGTTCGAGTTTAATCATAGTAGAACTCGATTCGATATGTAATATGTTCGTGAGTATTTCTAAGCTCAATGGTTAAGTTGATAATTTATAAAGTAATAGGGGTCATATGTAATTTAAAAGTTATAAAATTTGCAAATCCACCCTTGTTAAGTGAGCTCGAACTCAAACTCAATTATATGAACTCGAATTCCAATTTCAAGTATCGAGTTCGAGTTCGAAATTAATTTTGTAAGCTCGAACTCGGTATTGTAGCAATCGAGTCGAGTTCGATTTACTGGATACTTAACTCGACTCGACTCGATTACACCCCTAGTAGCAATCCACTATTACAACCTCTTACTTAAATGTAAGAAGATTAGCGCAATAACCCACCGCTACGATCCTCCACTTAAATCGAAAGAGACTAGTGCAATAACCCACTACCATGACCCTCAATTTAAATCAGCGATGCTAAGATAAGAAATCAAACTTGAGATCGTGTGTCTATCAACACTATCCCCGATTTGCCCTAACCATCTAGGCCACCTATGAATGAGTTTTATCAGATATATCCCTTATAGTTTTAATATCCCTTTGTCCTAACTTTAATTTTTTTTTAGTTTTTATTCTCTTTTTTAATTTTAAAAAATTTATTCAATTGGACACCTGTGGAATAACATATCACGAAGTATTATAATACTTCACCCATTTAATTATAATGTCAATTTGATGGATTGAGGACAAATAAGTGTTAATTATATGATTTTAAAACTGTAAGGGGTATTCTTGAGAAAATTGACAAAGTTATTCTTCACTTCTAAGAATGCAAAGTTTAAGGGTTATTTATGATAATATCCCAATTATTCAGACAAGAACATTTCCAACCTAACCCGAATCAAGACACAGTCATCTCTTCAAAAGAGAACGACACCGTATCAATAAAGAACGACAGCGTTTTCTCTTTAATCATTGGCGAGGTCACTTTCCCGTTTCATCTCACTTTCCTCACAGTTGAAATACAAGACGCAGGCAACGAGTCGGGGGCTCAAAACGCGAACCCTCATTTTTTTCTCTCTCGCTACGCGTTTTCGTTGACCTGATAATCTCTCTTCAAGAATTCAAATAACTGTTCCCAACTTCAAGATCTGTTAACTCCAACACTTAATTGCACAAATCCAAGGTCAGATCTCGTTACTCAACTCTTTGAACTCGATTTACTAGCTTTTTAGATTTCTAAAAATTCTGATACTATTCTTCTTTTTTCTTCTTTTGTGTTTGTTTCAGATCTGGTAAAAGAGGATTGAAACGCCTACGTTTGTGATAACAGCGGTAACTCAGTTCAGGCCTTGAGGTTTCCTGTTACTTATGCTTTGTTTACGGATCTGGTTCTTATAGTACTTCCATCGAATTTTTTGGTTTAGGTTTGGATTTTTTTGTTTTGGAAATGTCGATTTTGCCCAAGGGCGATTCGATTCACATTCGAGAGGTGTGGAATGATAATCTCGAAGAGGAATTTGCTTTAATTCGTGAAATTGTTGATAAGTATAATTACGTAGCCATGGATACTGAGTTTCCTGGCGTTGTTTTGCGTCCGGTTGGGACTTTCAAGAATATAAACGATTATAACTACCAGACGTTGAAAGATAATGTTGATATGTTGAAATTGATTCAATTGGGGCTAACGTTTTCGGACGGGAATGGAAATTTACCTACTTGTGGAACGGATATGTTCTGCATCTGGCAATTCAATTTTCGCGAGTTTAATGTAACAGAAGATATATTTGCAAGTGATTCAGTGGAGTTGTTGCGCCAATGCGGGATTGACTTTAAGAAGAATAATGAGAAGGGTATTGATGTGAATCGATTTGGTGAGCTTTTGATGTCATCAGGGATTGTGTTGAATGATGGTGTTCACTGGGTTACGTTTCATAGTGGTTATGATTTCGGGTACCTACTAAAGTTGTTGACTTGCCGGAATTTGCCTGACACTCAATCAGGTTTCTTTGATTTAATCAATATGTATTTTCCTATGGTTTATGATATCAAGCACTTGATGAAGTTTTGCAATAGCCTTCACGGTGGGTTGAACAAGCTTGCTGAGTTGTTGGAGGTTGAAAGGGTCGGTGTGTGTCATCAGGCAGGTTCCGATAGTTTGCTCACTGCTTGCACATTTAGGAAGTTGAGGGATAACTTCTTCAACGGCTCCACAGAAAAGTATGCAGGTGTATTGTATGGTCTCGGTGTCGACAATGATAAGACTACTAATTGAAAGATAATAATTGGGAAAAGATTGGATATTTGTAGACTACTTGAGTGTGAAACTCTGTTTTCTCTTTGTATACTTTGGCAAAATGATTGTTGTTTTAGTTGTGACCTTTCTTCTTGTTGCTGTGTAACTGAAACCTTGACTGGTTTTGTAGTTTCAGTTTCATGTAAATTATTGCAGTTAGTGTTTCAATAATAATTTTAATGATTCCCAACTTATTTCGCTGAAGTTCTTAAACTGTGCTCTTCATTCTGTTAAATGTTGATCTGTTCATCCCATGATGTCACTTTGTATCTGCTTTGGAGACAGAACTACTGAATCGATGGAGGATACTCATTAAAATTGTTTCTGCCCTTGAACTAATCCACCCTTTCCATAGTCCAAATTGTGTGGACAGGAAGATTTTGTTTTTAAAAGTCCCCTTCCACACCCTCCCACCCCTTTTTTTTTGGGTATTAGGTAAGGCTCATTAGATATTATTGTGTCGCTGTCATGTTTGAAACGCTTGAAACTTCTCTGCAACCTAGCTGTTCTCCTTCGTGTTTCTGTTCAATTGCTATAATTTTGCGTCATCTTGCACTCTTCTCTGGATATTCTAGTATATTATGACTTTGTTTTTTTTTTTTTTTCATGCCATATATTATCTTTATGATGAATTTAATTTGTGTTAATTGTTAGTTTTTCGCTCTAATAAGCATTCCTCAAGTTACAAGCAGAAATTGTTCAATAAAGATATCTTATGGCATGAGATTCATTCAGTCCCTAGAATCCTTTGTTGTTTTTCGGTGGGAGCTAATCCAATTTAGCTTGGTAAAACCCTATTATGGTGACACAGGAAGAATAGGGAATCATCTTTGTCAATCTGACATTGCCTTTATGGTGACAGCTTGAGCTCAAGAGTTGGTTCGGGGAGTACAAATTCAGATTTCAGAATGTGAGTGCAGAACAAGCGAGTGATAATTCCTCTAATTCATTGTGTTCTAGTATTTCTTCATAATTTTGCCTTTCAGCTCTTCAGGCAGCAGATGTTTTCTGGGTTGGTCTGGCTCTTATCCTATTTGACTATCGATTTTCCTTTGGTAAGGATAAAAAGGCATTGGTCTTATGGTGATGTTTTGTGTTGGCATTGTTTTGGGTCATTTGACAAAATAACTGTAGCAGGATTTTGCAGATGCCTGTGAACAGTAGATTGATTTGTTATACTTATAAAGATCTAGATCTCAATAAAAAATAAATGGAAGAGTAGTGAATATAATGAGTCTGATTTTTACTTCATTTTTTAATTATTTTTTGTCAGTTCAATTCATATGGAAATATTTGGAGGATTCCATAGTTATTTCTTCCTCATTTGTCAAAATTGATATGTATTTTAAGAATTTGCTTTACAGCCAGGTTCTAGATATGTCTTTTTGCTGATCTGTCCACGTTTTTTAAGAAGTGCTTCTGCTCTTTTTCAAGGCTGGCTGTTAATATGATCTTGTTGACTGATATCTTTCTCTTGGTTGCATATTTACCAATTTATTTGACGATGGGCAGAAAAGATATTCAAGTCCAGAAGCAAGGCGTTGAAGATTTGACCTTAATATTGTATACTGTTGCTTACATTCTACAAGTTTCCCGTGACCTCGAACAGCTCAAATTGGCAATTGCTATAAATACAAAAATCTTAAAATAAAATTAAAAAATTCATTTAACTTATGATCTGACGCCCGAAATTCCACTGCGGAAAATCTCTTTGGTTGCAAGCAAGCAACAAGGGCTAAAGTTGACAGTTGTCTGGTGAAGAAAATCATAAAGACCCACAAGGAGACAATGCCTCAAGGCCCTCAACCACTAGATGGTCAATGGTTGGGCAGTACGTTTAGTAAATCATACTATGCATAATCACAAACCCCTCTCCTTCCCATTTGATTTATACTTAATGCTAAGTTACATCATTTTCAGCATTACCTAACTTTTATTTGAATTATTTTGGAGTAATGTTTTTCTTTAGTTCATATTGAATTGTATTAAAATATATTTTAATTTAGAGTTTCTAATAATAAATACTTTCTCAACCTGAAAAAAAGATATCTAAGTACGTGGCCGGCTCCACAGGTTTCACTGTCCGATAATCTACGGATTGTAGTTTAAAACACCGTCCCGATTAATGTTTGGACATGTTTATCTGTACAATCACGAAATTGCCACTCTCCTTCTCTCATTTGCCATTTCCCCCACCCACAAACTAGCTTGAAAACAGTTTGAAACTTCACAAAGACAAACTCACTCTCCGCTTAATTGCCGAGTTCGCGACTCGCTCCCCCACCGAGTTAACCCAGCCATTCATCATCAACTAGCAGCAACAGGTCAGTCGTTTTTTTTCCTTAACGGATCTCTCGTTTATTATTCTGTTTGGATCCAAATCAGATCCGCATCTCGTTCGCCATGCTCGTCCACTTTAAACCTCCTCTTCTAGGGTTAGTCTTATTTTTTTTAATCATATTTTGCTTCGCGGATCGGGATAAAGAATGTCCGAAATCGACCCCTTTAGTCGGACTGGAGTACGAGTTTACCATGGTCCAACACCAATTGAGAGGAGTTTTCTCCTTGATCGACGATTGTTCGTTTAAGGTTAAGGAATTCGATATGTTAGCCGGGACGGATGTCTACTGGTGGAGCACGATGGCACCCAATTTCGGTAACTTAACGAAAGGCTTCATAGTCTCCGATCAAAAACTCAACCAAACCTACAAAAACGCGAGTTTCACTGTTCGTTTGTTTGATAATCTTACCTGGGACCAAATCCCCGTGCTCGCCATTTGGGACGTGCACACCGCGTCCAGTTTCGGACACGTCGTGTTAAACGCGTCGGATTTGGAGCCCACATGGGGCCTTGACATGCCGCCGTTACCGGAACAGAACCGCATTCAGATGATGCCAACAATGTTTGATAACTGCAAGGAGTTGGCAAAAAATTACAGGATTAGGTGGTCGTTGGATGTGGATCAACAATTTATTGATATTGGTTTAGAGGCTGCAATCGGGATCCAGAAATATATGGCTTTCGGGTGGGCTGACCCGAGTAAGGGTACGGGGCTTATGCTGGGTTCTGATGTGGTGGTTACCGGTTTTACCGAGGAAGGAAGACCTTTTGCGGATGATTTTTTTATCTCCGACTATAGCGAATGTTCTTTTAAAAAAGATGGTTCTGTTTCTGGAGTTTGTCCTGATTCAGTTTACCAACGAAATGGCCCGGTTGGGCTCACGAATAATAGCAAGGCATTTTATGGGCTTAGAAAAGATGGGGTGTCGTTTATCAGATATAGGAGGCCGTTAATATCTGATGATAAGAAGTATGATATTTCGGTGAATTATACTGACAACATGACAGTTATTTGGGCGATGGGGTTGATGAGACCACCTGATGCTCTTAGACCTTTCTATCTTCCTCAAAATCATGGGGGACCGAAAGGGTTGACTTATGGACATTTGGTGCTCAATCTTTCAGAGCATGAGAATAATTGTTTAGGCCCTTTGGATGCAGATAACAAGGAAGATCAAGATTTGGTTATAGCAGATGCAAAAGCTCCTCTTGTTGTTGTGACCGGTGACACATTGCATTACCCAAATCCTCCAAATCCACCTAAAGTGTTTTATATCAATAAGAAGGAGGCTCCAGTGTTAAGAGTGGAACGAGGGGTGCCTGTGAAGTTCTCAATACAGGCCGGGCATGATGTTGCTTTGTACATCACTTCAGATTTGCTTGGTGGGAATGCAACATTGAGGAACAGGACTGAGACTATCTATGCAGGAGGGCCAGAAGCTGAAGGAGTTCCATCTAGTCCGAAGGAATTGGTTTGGGCTCCGGATAGGAATACACCTGATCAGGTGTACTATCAGTCTGTGTTTCAACAGAAAATGGGTTGGAGAATTGAGGTGGTTGATGGAGGTTTACCAGACATGTACAATAACAGTGTTGTTTTAGATGATCAACAAGTTACGTTCTTCTGGACATTGTCAAAGGATAAGGAGTCAATATCTCTTGCAGCTCGTGCTGAGAAAAAGAGTAATTATCTTGCTATAGGGTTTGGCACTAGCATGGTGAATAGCTATGCTTATGTGGGTTGGATTGACAGTGTTGGGAAAGGCCATGTTAATACGTATTGGATTGATGGAATGGATGCTTCGAGTGTGCATCCCACAAATGAGAATTTGACTTATGTTAGGTGCAAGTCAGAAAATGGCATTATTACATTTGAGTTTACTCGTCCCTTAAAACCACCATGCCCTCACAAACATAAGCCAGAGTGTAAAAATATCATCGACCCAACAACTCCCCTCAAAGTTATTTGGGCAATGGGTTCGAGCTGGACGGATGAACATCTTACTGAGAAAAATATGCATTTTGTTAAGAGTCAAAGGCCTGTCCGTGTGCTGCTTTTGCATGGCTCTGCAGAGGCAGAGCAGGATTTACGTCCAGTTTTAGCTGTGCATGGCTTCATGATGTTCCTTGCCTGGGGTATTGTGCTTCCAGGTGGAATATTGGCTGCTAGATACTTAAAACATGTGAAGGGTGATGGATGGTATCAGATTCATGTTTACTTGCAGTACTCAGGATTGGCAATTGTCCTTCTCGCCCTTCTTTTTGCAGTGGCTGAACTTCGGGGTTTCTATGTCAGCTCATTACATGTTAAGTTTGGGATTACTGCTATAGTTTTTGCTTGTGTGCAGCCAGTCAATGCATGTATAAGGCCTAAGAAACCTGATAATTCGGATGTCGTTTCCCCAAAAAGGCTGATGTGGGAGTACTTCCATGTCATTGTTGGCAGATCTGCCATTGTTGTAGGAATTGCGGCACTTTTCAGTGGTATGAAGCATTTAGGAGACAGATATGGAGGCGAAAATGTTCATGGACTTATTTGGGCTCTAGTTATATGGTTCCTGATTTGTGGTTCGGTAGTGGTGTATTTGGAACTCTGTCAAAAACAGCGCAGGAGGGAAAGAGTTTTTGAAAGAAGCAATTGGGTTTTGGGTAACGTTGAGGAAGATGATTCTGCTGACCTCTTAAGCCCAACTAGGGATTATGTAGAAAAGGGTCCGCAACAGTCTGGAAGACTGGAAGTTCAGTTAGAGCCTTTGAACAGGTAGATAAGTTTGATAATTATTATTATTCTTTCATATGAACTAGCCTCAGTTTTTGAAAATTTTCTACCCGTAATGGGGATAGCAGTGAGTTTATTTTCTTATACAAGTTTTTCTTTTGGTGTAAGAGGGGCGTACTGATAATTGTCCTTGCCTCCAACCATAATCGGAGTAATTAGACTACAATATGTATTTTGTACACTTTACATCGTTTAATTTTAACATAGTGAAAAGTGATATCACTGTCTTCATTTCTTTAATTTTGATTAAAGGGAGGCTTCTCTTTGCATTATAAACTAGTTTAGTGTCTACTTCTGTTTGCATAGTTGACTAGCTTGGCCTAGATACCGGTGGTGGTTTAAGGCACTACATTCTACTTGCGGAGGCTTAAAATGTAAGGCGCGAACAGATTATTAACTCCTTGATGCGTCATTTGATTTGCACTGTTAAGTGCCCATTCACTTGTTTGCTAACAATCAGAATTTGAACTGGTGTAGCAGTGCGATCTGTGCTATTCTTTTGTTCTGCTTCCAACCTTCACCACTTTGAAATTTCTCCTTCAAACCAGGGAGAATTATCAACTATTTCTGTCTTCTTTCACAAACCTATCGAGGCAGATATCATGGTTTACTTTTCCCTCTGCTAGAAACAGAGTTGATTCATTTACAGATTTAAAACTTGTCGTTTACATTCCCCTTTGATGGAGGAAATTTCGTTCATTCATTCACATGTTGAATAAACGCACGTCAGTGATTAATTGATAATTCATACGTGAAATAACGAATGTTACTTTTACATCATTTTTATTATATCATGATGTGATATATCACATCTAAAATTTTTTTTAATTATTATAAATTTTTAATATTATAATAAAATTATTATTAGTAAAATAGTCATGATGTAAGAGAATAGTATAAATATAACATTACTTTTAAACATAGAATAACAGTTGTTATATCTTGGAAGCGAATCAATTGTAGTCATGGCCCAACTCCCGATGAAAGTTGGCAAAAGGTCAGGCCTGGCCCGGCTCGTTCCAGGGGTATGTCTGGGCCAGGCTTGAGTTCAGAACTCTAGGCCAGGCTTTGGAAAAAAGAAGGCCAGCCCAGGCCTGGGTTATCACATTATTATAAAATGATATTTTTACTTCATAATTAACATTGAATAACTAATAAATATAGGTATTAATCTATGCTTTGATTAAAAATGTACACAACTCCTACATCACGTTGATTTCATCAAAATCAAATAACCAAAATCGTTACGACTTGTAAATCTAAATAAACAAGTTAACTTCATAATTGCATGCATCTATATAAGTATTGTTGTCATTGTTGAGTTGTATATATTACCATTTATGAACAATATTGAATTTTTTCCTTAAAATAAAAATACACCAATGATTTTCAACACCTTCACTCACTCACACAAATACAATTAGTCCTTTTTTTCATAAAACATAAATGCATGAACATTTAGGGTAAATTAGCAAAAATAATCTAATTTAACACAATTGTAGTGTGGGCATGTGTTGTAACCTAAAATCCCACGTCGCTATCATCTGAGGATTACTAAGTGTTTAAATACAAATAATAGGCCTATATGCAACAAACGTGTTTTGTGGTCGAAGCCCGAGAACAAAACTATGAAGTCCGTTACACTTTTCCAGATTAGTATTTTTCTACTCGTAACGAGTTGCATATATTAATAATTATGAACAACATTGAATTAATTACTTATAATAAAAATATAACCATAGTTTTTCAAGAATTCCACCTATACTGTTGTGAAAATACCACAATACCCTCTAAAATCCCTACCCTTCTTTTTTCATAATATACAAATTAAGAAGTATTTAGGCTTAATTAGTAAAAATTCAAAATTTAAAAGACCGTTATACCCTTTTCCAGTGCGCTGGAGGGTAATGACATCATCTCCAGTCTGCTATATATAGACGTCGCCGTTAAAATCGAGCACTGTGTCTGTCTGGGTGAGATTATCAGTACTCTCTTTCTCTCTCTTCTTCTCGCCCAAATTTCGGTTTCAGGTTCTACAGCAACTTTACCTTACTTGGCTGCTCTGGATCCCGATATCTCTCGGTAAATTCATTATCTCTTCGAGAATTTTCATTTTATTCTCGCATTTCCAGTTCAGGAACTAACTAGCGTTCGTTTAATGGAAATGGTAGCTTAATTTTGTTTGTTTAATGTGTGTTTGGATTCTAATTATGATTGTTTTTGCGTGTTGTTCTTTACCACAGCGTTAGATAGCTTTATGCAGTTGTATTTTAGGTTCAGTTCTTAACTAGGATTCGTGTTTAGGTTTTGTTTTGTTGTCTTTCAGTTGTGTATTCGTAGAAATGCAAGAGGCATTTTATCTTTTTTGAATTTTTTAAACATATTTTTGAGAGCCTTGTTGTTATGAAATGTGTAAACTATAATTGCTTACTTGGTGAGGTATGTGTGGATTTTATTTGTATTTAGTTCTTTTTGCTAGTGACGAATTTGTATGTTTGGTTGCTTGGATTTGTGCTAATCAGTTTCAGTATTTGTTAATCTATGTTAATCATACACCTGATCAGGTTACTATCGTCTGGGTTTCACAGAAAATGGGTTGGAGAATTGAGGTGGTTGTGGAGGTTTACCAGACATGTACAATAACAGTGTTGTTTTAGATGATCAACAAGTTACGTCTTCTGGACATTGTCAAAGGATAAGGAGTCAATATCTCTTGCAGCTCGTGCTGAAAAAAGAGTATTTTCTTGCTATAGGGTTTGGCCCTAGCATGGTGAATAGCTATGCTTATGTGGGTTGGATTGACAGTGTTGGGAAAGGCCATGTTAATACGTATTGGATTGATGGAATGGATGCTTCGAGTGTGCATCCACAAATGAGAATTTGACTTATGTTAGGTGCAAGTCAGAAAGGCATATTACATTTGAGTTTACTCGTCCCTTAAACCCACCATGCCCTCACAAACATAAGCCAGAGTGTAAAAATATCATCGACCCAACACCTCCCCTCAAGTTATTTGGGCAATGGGTTCGAGCTGGACGGATGAACATCTTACTGAGAAAAATATGCATTTTGTTAAGAGTCAAAGGCCGTCCGTGTGCTGCTTTTGCATGGCTCTGCAAGGCAGAGCAGATTTACGTCCAGTTTTAGCTGTGCATGGCTTCTGATTTTCCTTGCCTGGGGTATTGTGCTTCCAGGTGGAATATTGGCTGCTAATACTTAAAACATGTGAAGGTGATGGATGGTATCAGATTCTTTTTACTTGCAGTACTCAGGATTGGCATTGTCCTTCTGCCCTTCTTTTTGCAGTGGCTGAACTTCGGGGTTTCTATGTCAGCTCATTACATGTTAAGTTTGGGATTACTGCTATGTTTTTTGCTTGTGCACCAGTCAATGCATGTATAAGCCTAAGAACCTGATAATTCGGATGTGTTTCCCCAAAAAGGCTGATTGGGAGTACTTCCATGTCATTGTTGGCAATCTGCCATTGTTGTAGGAATTGGCGCACTTTCCAGTGGTATGAAGCATTTAGGAGACAGAATGGAGGCGAAAATGTTCATGGACTTATTTGGGCTCTAGTTATAGGGTTCCTGATTTGTGGTTCGGTAGTGGTGTATTTGGAACTCTGTCAAAAACAGCGCAGGAGGAAAGAGTTTTGAAAGAAGCAATTGGGTTTTGGGTAACTTTGAGGAAGATGATTCTGCTGACCTCTTAAGCCCAACTAGGGATTATGTAGAAAGGGTCCGCAACAGTCTGAAGACTGGAAGTTCAGTTAGAGCCTTTGAACAGTAGATGTTTGATAATTATTATTATTCTTTCATATGAACTAGCCATCAGTTTTTGAAATTTTTCTACCCGTAATGGGGATAGAATTTGCTTTACAGCCAGGTTCTAGATATGTCTTTTTGCTGATCTGTCCACGTGTTTTAAGAAGTGCTTCTGCTCTTTTTCAAAGCTGGCTGTTAATATTATCTTGTTGACTGATATCTTTCTCTTGGTTGCATATTTACCAATTTTTTTGACGATGGGCAGAAAAGGTATTTAAGTCCAGAAGCAAGGCGTTGAAGATTTGACCTTAATATTGTATACTGTTGCTTACATTCTACAAGTTTCCCGTGACCTCGAACAGCTCAAATTGGCAATTGCTATAAATACAAAAATCTTAAAATAAAATTAAAAAATTCATTTAACTTATGATCTGACGCCCGAAATTCCACTGCGGAAAATCTCTTTGGTTGCAAGCAAGCAACAAGGGCTAAAGTTGACAGTTGTCTGGTGAAGAAAATCATAAAGACCCACAAGGAGACAATGCCTCAAGGCCCTCAACCACTAGATGGTCAATGGTTGGGCAGTACGTTTAGTAAATCATACTATGCATAATCACAAACCCCTCTCCTTCCCAATTGATTTATACTTAATGCTAAGTTACATCATTTTCAGCATTACCTAACTTTTATTTGAATTATTTTGGAGTAATGTTTTTCTTTAGTTCATATTGAATTGTATTAAAATATATTTTAATTTAGAGTTTCTAATAATAAATACTTTCTCAACCTGAAAAAAAGATATCTAAGTACGTGGCCGGCTCCACAGGTTTCACTGTCCGATAATCTACGGATTGTAGTTTAAAACACCGTCCCGATTAATGTTTGGACATGTTTATCTGTACAATCACGAAATTGCCACTCTCCTTCTCTCATTTGCCATTTCCCCCACCCACAAACTAGCTTGAAAACAGTTTGAAACTTCACAAAGACAAACTCACTCTCCGCTTAATTGCCGAGTTCGCGACTCGCTCCCCCACCGAGTTAACCCAGCCATTCATCATCAACTAGCAGCAACAGGTCAGTCGTTTTTTTTCCTTAACGGATCTCTCGTTTATTATTCTGTTTGGATCCAAATCAGATCCGCATCTCGTTCGCCATGCTCGTCCACTTTAAACCTCCTCTTCTAGGGTTAGTCTTATTTTTTTTAATCATATTTTGCTTCGCGGATCGGGATAAAGAATGTCCGAAATCGACCCCTTTAGTCGGACTGGAGTACGAGTTTACCATGGTCCAACACCAATTGAGAGGAGTTTTCTCCTTGATCGACGATTGTTCGTTTAAGGTTAAGGAATTCGATATGTTAGCCGGGACGGATGTCTACTGGTGGAGCACGATGGCACCCAATTTCGGTAACTTAACGAAAGGCTTCATAGTCTCCGATCAAAAACTCAACCAAACCTACAAAAACGCGAGTTTCACTGTTCGTTTGTTTGATAATCTTACCTGGGACCAAATCCCCGTGCTCGCCATTTGGGACGTGCACACCGCGTCCAGTTTCGGACACGTCGTGTTAAACGCGTCGGATTTGGAGCCCACATGGGGCCTTGACATGCCGCCGTTACCGGAACAGAACCGCATTCAGATGATGCCAACAATGTTTGATAACTGCAAGGAGTTGGCAAAAAATTACAGGATTAGGTGGTCGTTGGATGTGGATCAACAATTTATTGATATTGGTTTAGAGGCTGCAATCGGGATCCAGAAATATATGGCTTTCGGGTGGGCTGACCCGAGTAAGGGTACGGGGCTTATGCTGGGTTCTGATGTGGTGGTTACCGGTTTTACCGAGGAAGGAAGACCTTTTGCGGATGATTTTTTTATCTCCGACTATAGCGAATGTTCTTTTAAAAAAGATGGTTCTGTTTCTGGAGTTTGTCCTGATTCAGTTTACCAACGAAATGGCCCGGTTGGGCTCACGAATAATAGCAAGGCATTTTATGGGCTTAGAAAAGATGGGGTGTCGTTTATCAGATATAGGAGGCCGTTAATATCTGATGATAAGAAGTATGATATTTCGGTGAATTATACTGACAACATGACAGTTATTTGGGCGATGGGGTTGATGAGACCACCTGATGCTCTTAGACCTTTCTATCTTCCTCAAAATCATGGGGGACCGAAAGGGTTGACTTATGGACATTTGGTGCTCAATCTTTCAGAGCATGAGAATAATTGTTTAGGCCCTTTGGATGCAGATGACAAGGAAGATCAAGATTTGGTTATAGCAGATGCAAAAGCTCCTCTTGTTGTTGTGACCGGTGACGCATTGCATTACCCAAATCCTCCAAATCCCCCTAAAGTGTTTTATATCAATAAGAAGGAGGCTCCAGTGTTAAGAGTGGAACGAGGGGTGCCTGTGAAGTTCTCAATACAGGCCGGGCATGATGTTGCTTTGTACATCACTTCAGATTTGCTTGGTGGGAATGCAACATTGAGGAACAGGACTGAGACTATCTATGCAGGAGGGCCAGAAGCTGAAGGAGTTCCATCTAGTCCGAAGGAATTGGTTTGGGCTCCGGATAGGAATACACCTGATCAGGTGTACTATCAGTCTGTGTTTCAACAGAAAATGGGTTGGAGAATTGAGGTGGTTGATGGAGGTTTACCAGACATGTACAATAACAGTGTTGTTTTAGATGATCAACAAGTTACGTTCTTCTGGACATTGTCAAAGGATAAGGAGTCAATATCTCTTGCAGCTCGTGCTGAGAAAAAGAGTAATTATCTTGCTATAGGGTTTGGCACTAGCATGGTGAATAGCTATGCTTATGTGGGTTGGATTGACAGTGTTGGGAAAGGCCATGTTAATACGTATTGGATTGATGGAATGGATGCTTCGAGTGTGCATCCCACAAATGAGAATTTGACTTATGTTAGGTGCAAGTCAGAAAATGGCATTATTACATTTGAGTTTACTCGTCCCTTAAAACCACCATGCCCTCACAAACATAAGCCAGAGTGTAAAAATATCATCGACCCAACAACTCCCCTCAAAGTTATTTGGGCAATGGGTTCGAGCTGGACGGATGAACATCTTACTGAGAAAAATATGCATTTTGTTAAGAGTCAAAGGCCTGTCCGTGTGCTGCTTTTGCATGGCTCTGCAGAGGCAGAGCAGGATTTACGTCCAGTTTTAGCTGTGCATGGCTTCATGATGTTCCTTGCCTGGGGTATTGTGCTTCCAGGTGGAATATTGGCTGCTAGATACTTAAAACATGTGAAGGGTGATGGATGGTATCAGATTCATGTTTACTTGCAGTACTCAGGATTGGCAATTGTCCTTCTCGCCCTTCTTTTTGCAGTGGCTGAACTTCGGGGTTTCTATGTCAGCTCATTACATGTTAAGTTTGGGATTACTGCTATAGTTTTTGCTTGTGTGCAGCCAGTCAATGCATGTATAAGGCCTAAGAAACCTGATAATTCGGATGTCGTTTCCCCAAAAAGGCTGATGTGGGAGTACTTCCATGTCATTGTTGGCAGATCTGCCATTGTTGTAGGAATTGCGGCACTTTTCAGTGGTATGAAGCATTTAGGAGACAGATATGGAGGCGAAAATGTTCATGGACTTATTTGGGCTCTAGTTATATGGTTCCTGATTTGTGGTTCGGTAGTGGTGTATTTGGAACTCTGTCAAAAACAGCGCAGGAGGGAAAGAGTTTTTGAAAGAAGCAATTGGGTTTTGGGTAACGTTGAGGAAGATGATTCTGCTGACCTCTTAAGCCCAACTAGGGATTATGTAGAAAAGGGTCCGCAACAGTCTGGAAGACTGGAAGTTCAGTTAGAGCCTTTGAACAGGTAGATAAGTTTGATAATTATTATTATTCTTTCATATGAACTAGCCTCAGTTTTTGAAAATTTTCTACCCGTAATGGGGATAGCAGTGAGTTTATTTTCTTATACAAGTTTTTCTTTTGGTGTAAGAGGGGCGTACTGATAATTGTCCTTGCCTCCAACCATAATCGGAGTAATTAGACTACAATATGTATTTTGTACACTTTACATCGTTTAATTTTAACATAGTGAAAAGTGATATCACTGTCTTCATTTCTTTAATTTTGATTAAAGGGAGGCTTCTCTTTGCATTATAAACTAGTTTAGTGTCTACTTCTGTTTGCATAGTTGACTAGCTTGGCCTAGATACCGGTGGTGGTTTAAGGCACTACATTCTACTTGCGGAGGCTTAAAATGTAAGGCGCGAACAGATTATTAACTCCTTGATGCGTCATTTGATTTGCACTGTTAAGTGCCCATTCACTTGTTTGCTAACAATCAGAATTTGAACTGGTGTAGCAGTGCGATCTGTGCTATTCTTTTGTTCTGCTTCCAACCTTCGCCACTTTGAAATTTCTCCTTCAGACCAGGGAGAATTATCAACTATTTCTGTCTTCCTTCACAAACCTATCGAGGCAGATATCATGGTTTACTTTTCCCTCTGCTAGAAACAGAGTTGATTCATTTACAGATTTAATACTTGTCGTTTACATTCCCCTTTGATGGAGGAAATGTCGTTCATTCATTCACATGTTGAATAAACGCACGTCAGTGATTAATTGATAATTCGTACATTAAATGACAAGTAATGCTATATTTACACTAACTTTTATGTCATTTTCGATGTGTCATATGTTATGTTTATACAAATTTTTAATTATTTTTAATTTTTAATATTATAATAGAATTATTATTAATGAAATGGTCATGATGTAAATGGTACTGTAAATGTAGCATTATTTTTCAAAGAAATTTTTAATTATTATAAATTTTTGATATTATAATAGAATTAATATTACTTATTAGTAAAATGGCCATATGTAAGAAAATGATGTAAAAAAGTGGTGTAAAAGTAACATTACTCTTAAATGTTGTTTTATCTACAAAGTGAACCATTAAAGGAGTGTTTGTCTGAGCTTATGAAAATTAGCTTATAAGCAATAAGTGTTTATAAGCTAATTTTTGTTTATAAGTATTTGAAATTTTAAGCAATTACGTGTTTGGTTAAAGTATTTATAAGTGACTAACAAGTAGTTGACATGTTTGGTAAAATGTGGCTTATAAGTACATTTTATTATAAAATGACTAAAAATGGTACTATATTAAACAAAGGTATACTATAAAATTTTAAAATTAAACAAGGATAATATAGTAATATACTTGGTCAAACTAGCTTATAAGCAGAGTGCTTATAAGCCCAAAAAAAAAAAGTACCTCCCCCCTAGCTTAATTTTTTGTTTTTGCTTATAAGCTCAACTTATAAGGTAAAAAAAGTTATAAACAAATAGGTCAACTTAATTTTAAAGCTTATAAGCTAGTTTGATCAGCTTATAAGCTTAGACAAACACCCCTTTAGTCATGGCTCAGCTCCAGATGAAAGTTGGCAAAAAGTCAGGCCTGTCCGGCTCGTTCCAGGGGTATGTCTGGGCCAGGCTTGAGTTCAGAACTCTAGGCCGGGCCTTGGAAAAAAGAAGGCCAGCCGAGGCCTGGGTTATCACATTATTATGAAATGATATTTTTACTTTATAATTAACATTGAATAACTAATAAATATAGGTATTAATCTATACTTTGATTAAAAACGTACACAACTCCTACATCACGTTGATTTCATCAAAATCAATTACCCAAAATGGCTACGACTTGTAAATCTAAATAAACAAGTTAACATCATAATTGCCTGCATCTATATAAGTATTGTTGTCATTGTTGAGTTGTATATATTACCATTTATGAACAATATTTAATTTTTTCCTTAGAATAAAAATACACCAATGATTTTCAACACCTCCACTTGCACTCACTCAAATACCATTAGTCCTTTTTTTCATAAAACATAAATGCATGAACATTTAGGGTAAATTAGCAAAAATAATATAATTTAACACAATTGCGTTGTGGGAATGTGTTGTAACCTAAAATCCCACATCGCTATCATCTGAGGATTACTAAGTGTTTAAATACAAATAATAGGCCTATATGCAACAAACGTGTTTTGTGGTCGAAGCCCGAGAACAAAATTATGAAGTCCGTTACACTTTTCCAGATTAGTATTTTTCTACTCGTAACGAGTTGCATATATTAATAATTATGAACAACATTGAATTAATTACTTATAATAAAAATATAACCATAGTTTTTCACGAATTCCACCTATACTGTTGTGAAAATACCACAATACCCTCTAAAATCCCTACCCTTCTTTTTTCATAATATACAAATTAAGAAGTATTTAGGCTTAATTAGTAAAAATTCAAAATTTAAAAGACCGTTATACCCTTTTCCAGTGCGCTGGAGGGTAATGACATCATCTCCAGTCTGCTATATATAGCCGTCGCCGTTAAAATCGTGCACTGTGTCTGTCTGGGTGAGATTATCAGTACTCTCATTCTCTCTGTTCTTCTCGCCCAAATTTCGGTTTCAGGTTCTACAGCAACTTTACCTTACTTGGCTGCTCTGGATCCCGATATCTCTTGGTAAATTCATTATGTCTTCGAGAATTTTCATTTTATTCTCGCATTTCCAGTTCAGGAACTAACTAGCGTTTGTTTAATGGAAATGGTAGCTTAATTTTGTTTGTTGAATGTGTGTTTGGATTCTAATTATGATTGTTTTTGCGTGTTGTTCTTTACCACAGCGTTAGATAGCTTTATGTAGTTGTATTTTAGGTTCAGTTCTTAACTAAGATTCGTGTTTAGGTTTTGTTTTGTTGTCTTTCAGTTGTGTATTCGTAGAAATGCAAGAGGCGATTTATCTTTTTTGAATTTTTTAAACATATTTTTCAGAGCCTTGTTGTTATGAAATGCGTAAACTATAATTGCTTACTTGGTGAGGTATGTGTGGATTTTATTTGTATTTAGTTGTTTTTGCTAGTGATGAATTTGTATGTTTGGTTGCTTGGATTTGTGCTAATCAGTTTCAGTATTTGTTAATCTATGTTAATCATTTCACTATTCTGTATTATAGTTTTTTCGCGCGCTCCACCGTTGGTAAGTAGTTTTTTCTTTTTAATTTAGTCCCACCTATGTAATCTGTTCACTGTTTTGAATTATAGTTTTTTCGCGCGCTCCATCGTTGGTAAGTAGTTTATTTTTAATTTAGTCCCAGCCATGTAATCTGTTCACTGTTTTGAATTGTAGTTTTTTCACGCGCTCCACCGTTGGTAAGTAGTTATTTTTTCACTCGGATCTCACATTAAATTTTCTACGTGGCCTCCTCACTTGCCAAAACAAAATTATTGTGGTGCATTTTACTTGATTTGGAGTTATATTTCTAATTTGTCGTTTTCTTTTCCTTTTGTGTATTTAATGAAATAAGCTCTACCAAACTAAATATAATAATCGAGTTCTCGCGATTGCTTCAGATAACTACATCGGGATAAACATATTCAATTATTGTTTATGTGGATACCTTACCTTTTGATTTGAGACTTTAAATTTATTCCATCGACCTTCTGTCTATTTTACTTTTTGAATTATTCCCTGGGGATTTTTTAAACTAGAAGATGTAACTGAGGCAACTTCCATGCCAGTTTATATTCCGTGGCAGTCTTTTTGTTCTGGTTTTAAATTGTCTTTGTACTTTTGTTTATTTCTTGTCTTATTCATGCAATTTGTTTCATACCTGATTGAACTTGCCTCCAAATTTACTTCTTTTCCTGTTTTTCCTTTCCTCTGATTAGTGGTTTATAGAATTGCATAGCATTTCTTTATCTCTTTGGAAATATGTAACAGTACGTAAAGCCTCGTGGGGTTTTTGGCTCCCTTTATTGCACTTTGCATATTGACCCATTGTACTTCTGTCCTCTTCAACGCAAATGAATGAAGTCATAGCAATCCTCGTACATTTTGAAAAATCTGTCATATGAAATACGCTGCATTTCCTCTGGCCAAAGTCCAACTGTTTCTTCATTACCTTTCCATTAATGTGCTGTTGTGTGAAGAAGATTGTTGCCTTTGGTGACAGTTGATCAAAAGTGCATTTGGATATGCTATTGAAGTCTTCAATTTAATTTGTAGAAATAGTTTTTTGATCATTGTGTGTAGTGTCTTTAATTACTGCATTGATTGCTTCGCTTCATAAAAATGGCAGAGAATTCAGAATCAATTAAAATGTTTTGCCAAAGTGCTTTACATAGTGTATTGTATGATGAAGTTTGCATTTTCACAACCAGATTGACTGCCCTGAGGTCTCAGGATTCAGAAGGAAAAATAGAGTGCATTTATGTTAGGTAAAAATTATCAAGGTATTAAGACACGTATCTCGGAAGTTGTTGCAGTAGAAAATTGGTTATATTCTTTATACTGCATCGTTCAACTTAGGAACTGAATTTTATCGGCTAATTGATTGCCATGCCAAATCACAGACCAGTATAAAGTTTTAATCTGTTTTATTTAACTAAGTTGCTATTGAAGTAACCATTGGTATAATTTCTGTTTTGTTGGATTTTATAATGATTTTTATCATAAAAATGATTACAATAATTTGACCTGATTGTTTGTGTGGATAACCACAATGAAGTGTCTAATATGGTTTCTGTAGTGCGTAATTATCTGTATAGCTGCATTTCCTGATTTAGTTGTAAAATTTTGTGTTTAAGTTTATCATGAATTTTTTTCTCCAATCTTTATGTTTTTGGTATATGTATTTTCTTAAGTCCAAAAATTGATATTTTGATGCTTCAATGTGTTCAATTTGTTCTTTTAAGTACTTTTTAATGGTATATAACCTTTTAATTTCTTGTCCCCAAAAAAGAGATGAACTTGTTTGGAATTATACTGCATGCTGAGTTTATTTCGATAACTACCTCCAATATTCTAAATCACGTTTTTCCCCAGGTAGCCGCTCTACCACATATGTAAAGGTATTGATGTTGGAAGTTCAATCCTTTAATTGTCTTCATTAAGGAAGTTGCCAGTGTCACATTTAATCTCATAATTAGATCTTGGTAATATACTAAATATTCTGGTTTAGTTTCTAATTACACAATATTTTGTTTTTTATCAGCTGCAGTCTTATCAAAATCTGTTCAATTTTCTCAAGGAAATAATTCGTCCACTTGTTATCTGGTCAATTGTATGTCCTTGAAGTTAGTATTACTGTATTGAAATCTGTTTATACTCATCTTTTATAGTTCTATAGCATGAATAGTTGTCCTCTCTGATGTGAGATTTGAGTTCAGAATTTTGATTGTCCATGATATATGAAATAATTTTAAAAGGAACTTTTGTATGTTTCTTTGTAAATTGATTTTCCATTTCCTATGTTGGGATTTTTCTTTGATAAATCAAAGAGAGTGCATAAATAATATTGAGAGGTTTCTTATGTTTTCCAGTTGCAGAAATCCTAGTCTCAGATCATTGTAGAAACTATGCTTTTATTGATATTTGGTTCATGATGGAATTAAAACTTCTTACGCAAGAAGAAAAAACTGAAAACAAACCTGTGGAAATGATGTCCATGTATTATTTCCCAGGAGTCGTTTATCTACATTTCATGATTTAAATGATGTTGTGCTGTGGTAACATGCATACTGTTATTGTTAATTTCTTTCTTGGGGTGGAATATCATAGCTTTGGAAATAGAAACTGCTAATACGTGCTAAATTTTGTAACAGGGAAAAGATCTTGTCCTATGCATTTTTGACATTTCCCATCTAAGTAAAAATTGCAGCCAAGAGTGTGTTGTTTAAGTGGTTTAGAGAATTAAGCTTGCTACCTAGTTTAGTTAAAGAGTTTCTGCATTTTCATGCTTTTCATATATAACATTTCTAGAGTTGTTTAAAGCTTGAATTATGTTTTGAATTTCTCTATCCTTAGGAGTGGGGTGGAAGTTGAGGGTCATAGGTTCAATATTGCTTAGATTTCTATTTTTATTTGTCAAATAAGAAGTTTACAATTCAAAACATAACAAAAGCAGTAATGGTTTAAGAGACTGTAATTGTTTGTAGGCAGTGCTATGGGAAAAGTGAGAGTTCACATCAGTGGAAAGAAAAAAATAAAGGGGAGCTAGACTTTTGATTTTGAGGCTATTAATAGATAATATAGCAGTAACAAGTAATTATTAAGTTTTTAAATTATGCAGTTATATCTACCACGCATTCTTATATCTTTTTATTGAAGAAATACTGCATTTAATGTAGTTTAATTCTGAATTCACAAAATATTGTCAAAAACTATAAATATCATTTGGTTTCTAAAGTTATCTGATAGTTGGGATGCTAGCTCATAAAGTAATTACAAGGGCTTGGCTCTCTACTCAATTATCCTTGAATTATGAGGAGCTGATGTTTTAAGTTTGAAGAATATGCTCAGTTAGTGGCTTTACTACACTTATTGTGTGCATATATATGTTATGATAAAAATTCGTTAATAGTATTATTGACACAATAATAATGCAAGGGAAGGGGGCTGAAATCAAGTTATGAGATTGAATGTTTTGCCCAACTTGCAGTTTTTAATGCATGGTGGTTAGGTATTTCAGGTTTCATAAATAATTCAATGTTTTGTCCAACTTGCAGAATATGAGTAGCTTGGTCGAGAGGCTCCGTGTTAGATCAGATCGAAGGCCTGTTTATCATTTAGATGAATCAGACGATGACGCTGATTTTGTGCAAGGGAAACCTAGGGCCACTCAGGAAAAGTTTGAAAGAATAGTTAGGGATGATGCGGTATGTTTATTGATTCTTTTGCTTAATATGTTTGTACTTCTTGGATCTTTTTTCTTCTTCTTCGTTCATTTATTAAAGTTTTTCTAGGTGTCCAGTGATGCTGAGTGTTCGATTTCAAATAATAAATAATGTTTTGAAAATTATCACTTGTCTTGTTTCTGTGGATGGTTTGCATATGGGATTGGAGCTACTTGTACTTTTCATAAATTTAATCTGTTGTATATGTGTGCGATTTGCTTTGGTCTTTCAGTAGGTATTCTCTAGAGGTCCTTGGAGCCATAATTATTATTTGAGAGTCTTGTTCTTGAAATTTAATAATTTTTATGTGGATTTTTTGTTCCAGTTGATCTTAGTTATGTAGGCTTTATTTATATGTTTATTTTTCAATTCAGTGTAAACCACTAGTTTTTATTGGGACTAAGACATCATTGTTTTATTTGTTCTAGTCTAGTCACTTAGAACTTTTTAATCTAAGGCTGGTAGCAAGGTTGGTCTCTGCATTTGGATTGCTGTAGTTGATTTTCAACTTGAAGTGGGAGCATGCAGAAGGCAGTTATATATGATTTGAATTTTCTTGAAATTCATGGCTTTCACCATTGCTTGGAGCATTTGAAAGTTATAATAGACAATGAACTGCAGGCATAATTTGGATGCTTGAAAATGTCTGATTGGAAACACTTCTCATGTCTTCACTGTTCCTATATCTCTGGAGAATTATTTATATTGTTCTGAAGTTGTGTATGTACTTGTACTGAGACTATAAATTATATTTCTTTTCTACACTTTTAAGACGTTTTTGCTTTAATATTAACAGAAAGATGATTCATGTCAAGCCTGTGGAGAAAGTGAGAATCTTATGAGCTGTGATACATGTACTTATGTATACCATCCTAAATGTTTACTTCCACCCCTAAAAGCTCCTCCTCCTGGCAGCTGGAGGTGCCCAGAATGTGTATGATTTCATCTTGTGCTAAGAGTCGTGCTTATTCTCATCCAATTAGTTGTTATTATTTTTGGCAAGAGCTGAGAATCAATATTTGTGTGTGCAGGTTAGCCCACTGAATGATATTGACAAAATATTGGACTGTGAGATGCGTCCTACGGTAGCTGATGATAGTGATGCCTCTAAGCTAGGCTCAAAGCAAATTTTTGTGAAACAGTATCTTGTGAAGTGGAAGGGACTATCTTATCTGCACTGCACTTGGTAATTTTATGGTTTATTATGTTCATTGAATTGAAGAGATTTACAAAGCAGGGAACAGTTGTCCACAGCTTATCACCTAAAAAAAAAAAAAGTTCATTGTATAAATTAGCTTTCTACAGAACCTTCTGTGGTTTGACTACTTGTTTTTTCACAAAGGAAGGTAGCTTTCGGTGAAGTTTGCCCTGAGGTGCTATTTACTTTGTGCTTCTTTTAAAATTATGATTTTCTTGTTGCTATTATAGTTCATCTGGGTCTTTAGTGTTTCTCTCCTTGTTTGTCAGCATTATCTGTGTTTGTCTTTTTATTTTCTGTGCAGTGTTCAGTTACCTGCTAGTTGTGTTTTCTTTCATCAGGGTACCTGAAAAAGAGTTCTTAAAAGCTTTCAAGTCACATCCTCGTCTGAAGACTAAAGTAAACAACTTCAACCGCCAATCAAACAGTAATACCGAGGAAGACTTTGTTGCCATTCGACCTGAGTGGACTACTGTTGATCGGATTCTTGCCTGCAGGTTTACTAGTTTGAAACTTTCATATACACATATGCATGGACATGCAAAGTTTGTGTTTCTGCTTTGTCTCTTTGATCTCTCTCAATAGGAGTCAAAATTTTAGGTTGCCTCAGAATTTGATTTAGTTCGTTAAGGTTCAAAAGCACATCTCAATTACTAAAGAATTCATTTTTAGGAGTGGCATTGGGTTCAACGCTGGTGAATTATGAAGTGGAATCTGTTCTTGCTAAGTCAAGTAAAAATCATGCATGGTTCTCTCTTGTATAATTTAGAATTTCCATAAATGAATTAAAAATTTTAGTGAGAAAAAATTTATAAATTATAAAATATGGTACTTATTATTTCTTGTTAGGTTAATATATTTTGTTATGGTGTGTTTTTTTACTATAGCTTTGTTTTATTTTCATCTAGACTGAAATCTTGATTTCTGTCTTAAGATAGTATGATTAAAATTTTGAAATGTTGCAGGGGCGACGATGATGGGAAGGAATACCTTGTGAAATATAAAGAACTTTCTTATGATGAGTGTTATTGGGAATTTGAATCAGATATATCCGCATTTCAACCTGAAATTGAAAAATTTAATAAAATTCAATCAAGGTCTTCCAAAATTTCTTCCAATAAACAGAAGAACACCCCTCGAGATGGTGCCGAGTCCATGAAGAAATCAAAAGAATTTCAACATTATGAACACAGCCCTGAATTTCTTTCTGGAGGTATATTATTTTGTTTGATGTGTTTTTCAAACTGATAGCATTATATGATATTTATGTTTTGTTTGCCTTGATCTTCATGGAATTTTAAGGTTTACTCTGTTGTAATTGAAGGCTCACTACATCCTTATCAGCTTGAAGGGCTGAACTTCTTGCGTTTCTCTTGGTCCAAACAAACGCATGTGATACTTGCTGATGAGATGGGTCTTGGTAGGTCTTATTTTGTTCTTTTCCGTTCTATTTCTTCATTTTTACTCTCAGCTTATTGAAGAGGGAATTCATATTTTCATCTTCGTGACTGGACTTTGCCAATACATTGTTTCTGTTTCATTGCAGGCAAAACTATACAGAGTATTGCTTTTTTGGGTTCTCTTTTTGAGGAGGGAATCTCGCCACATTTAGTCATAGCTCCACTTTCAACACTTCGAAACTGGGAACGTGAATTTGCAACTTGGGCTCCACAATTGAATGTCGTATGTACCTCGGTGCTTTTTAACTTATTATGATCTTTTGGCTTTAAAGTTTCCTGAATTAAAGTTAACATGTTTCAGGTCATGTATGTTGGTTCTGCCCAAGCTCGTGCTGTTATAAGGGAGTATGAATTTTACTTTCCCAAAAACCATAAGAAGATCAAGAAAAAGAAATCTGGTCAAATTGTTAGTGAAAGCAAGCAGGATCGAATAAAGTTTGATGTCCTCTTAACATCATATGAGATGGTTAACTTGGACACTGCATCTTTGAGACCAATCAAGTGGGAATGCATGGTAATTTTTTTTCTGGCTTATTGAGTTCCTTGGTGTTCTCCAACATATGATTTCAGTTAACTCTGACATTCAAATGTAGATTGTTGATGAAGGTCATCGTCTGAAAAATAAGGATTCAAAATTGTTTTCTTCATTGAAACAATATTCAAGTAGACATCGCACCCTCTTAACTGGAACTCCTCTTCAGGTGGGTTGTTAATTATTATGGTATGTTTTTACCAAAGGTTATTGCTGATATGTTTGCTATTTTTCTTCAATGAAAGTCTAATAATCACGCATATGTTCTAAGTTATCATAAGAATGAATTTAAAATGAGATATAAAATTGCATAAATTTGTAAATGGATAATATATTTCACAATTGTACATCATGTCATCTTCATTTGTGTTAGTTTTGAAAGCTCTGGAGGTGGAGGTGACTGTAATGATTTGGTTATATGTTGAGATGAATGGAGGTTAACGATCAAAGTTTCATATTAATGGTCTCAATTACTGATTTAATCATTAACTTGTTTCTCATATTGCATGATGTTAGTATCAGGTTAACTGGTGTTTAGGATTGTCATGATCAAATGTGCTTTCTAAAATGTGAATTTTCTGGCAACTCATTCACAGGTTTTTTTGATAAGACACTAAAGTTTATTGAAATTGAAGAAGGGAACCCAAGGTCCGCAATTAAAAGACAACCTATTTTTAAGTTTTAGGCTATCTCTTCACACTCAAGACCTAATGAAGCCTTTTTTAATCTATATCCAAATTCTGAACTTAAAAAGGAAAAAATGCGTGTTGTTTTCATTTATATATCTTGGGCTTATAAATTTTTAACAGTTCTGTGCAATTTCAGTTCGGTTCATCTTTTTTGTTTGCTTCCATATACGTATAAGTAACTATGTTTTATTGTTTAATGTGTCTAAGTTATTGCTTTTGAACTTATGTGCACTCTTCCACATTTTCAGAACAATTTGGATGAACTTTTTATGCTCATGCACTTCCTTGATGCTGGAAAGGTTAGTATGATGGTTGATTTGTTGAGACAGATTTAATTAAGTCAAGATAGGTTGTGGGAATAAGTACACAAGTTTGAAGACAAGTTTGTTGTATTTGATGTTTAAATATTTGCAGTTTGGAAGTCTGGAGGAGTTTCAGGAAGAGTTTAAGGATATCAATCAAGAGGAACAGATTTCAAGACTTCATAAAATGCTGGCTCCCCATCTTCTTAGGAGTATAAATCTAAAACTTCCCCTTGTTATACAATTGTGCTTTATCTGTCCCCTTTAATTGCCAGTGCTAATAATTTTATTCTTTTGTCACGGGTTGATCATGGTCATCGTTTATGATAGCTTGCCAATAGATCACCATGTTGCCTATGTTTGATCGTTAAATTACTACGATGTTTAAATTGTTGAATTTAGGTAAAAGTTTTGGAAAAGAGAATCTCTAAGATGAACTTTGATACCTTTTTTTTTCCCTTTTCTTCCGGAAAAGAGAAGACGCTAGATCTTATCAAATTAATGCTTATTGTGACTAATTGTGATGTATTGCTTTCTGTGATATTGTTTTGCTATCATCATTTTTGTGGGTTCTCACTTCCTCAACCAGCATCCATTTGAGTTCCCTACTTGTACCAATGTCTCTTTAGTCTGAACCAAGCCGCTCATAGGTATGGTTATTTGCATATCTTGCAGATGGAAAACCAAGTAAATTGGCATTTGTCAGTGGTAGTTGTATGTAACAACTCTAGTTGTAATTTCACCTTGAATCTTGGTACTTTTTCAAGAGCAGTGCAGTTCTATCTTCTTATTTATGCAAAGGGCTTAGTTTGATTTCATTCAAAAGTAAAATCTGCATGTTGTTGGATGGCTATAGATCTTCTAGACCAATAAGATTTTGAACTTCTTTGTACATTCTTGTTGTCCTTAAATCTTAATCTTGTTGCTGAGGATATGATTGAAAGTGCTTTAAATGCTAATGCAGGAGTGAAGAAAGATGTCATGAAGGATTTGCCTCCTAAGAAGGAACTTATTTTACGTATTGAATTAAGTAGCAAGCAGAAGGAATATTACAAGGCCATTCTGACTCGTAACTATCAAATACTAACCCGACGTGGTGGTGCACAGGTAAGGTTGCATGTTTTAGTGAAATAAGCTTGTTTTATTGGGTTTTGACTTAACAACTGATATCTTTAAATGTTTCTTGTATCAGATTTCTCTTATCAACGTTGTTATGGAGTTGCGCAAGCTCTGTTGTCATCCTTATATGTTGGAAGGAGTTGAACCAGATATAGAAGATACAAATGAATCTTTTAGGTATAATGCTGGAGTTAGAATTCTATTTAATTAATTCTGATGATTTATAGTAAATTTGGGGACAATTTTTCTTTTTTGGCTTTTGAGTAGGCTAAAGATAAGTGCTGAATTTGAATCACCCTGTTTTCTGTTTCTATATTCTCTTTACTATTTGACAGACAGCTTTTGGAATCTTCTGGGAAATTGCAACTCTTGGACAAAATGATGGTGAGACTGAAAGAGCAGGGACATAGAGTTCTCATATACTCACAGTTTCAGCACATGTTGGACTTACTAGAAGATTACTTAACTTATAAGGTACAACTGTAATATCCTTCATTGTTCATGAATAGTTTGAATACTAGAACATATGGTGCAAATAAATAAGTAGCTTCAAATATATATATATTTTTTATTTTCCAGAAATGGCAGTATGAGCGGATAGATGGCAAAGTTGGCGGAGCTGAGAGACAGATACGCATAGATCGATTTAATGCCAAAAATTCATCCAGATTTTGTTTTCTGCTATCTACTAGAGCTGGGGGCTTGGGAATTAATCTTGCTACTGCTGACACAGTTATTATATATGACAGGTGATATGTTTTCACTTTAGTATTTACTGTTTTTCTTCTCTTTATATAAGCAGTAAACATGCTGGTTGATTGTGAGACAGTCAAAGATTGATGAGGCATGGGTTTAGATCTTGTGAGACCTTTGTGAATTCATCCTTTGGGAACACTTATTTAATATTAATAGTAAACTGAGCATGTGGTTCATTGCATTGGAATTTGTGTTGGTAATGGTAACAGAAGGCCTAGGAAGTCCACCATCTGTCAGTTTGGTGAGATTTTATGTCATTTTCATGAGGCTTTCCCTAGTATTGCATACGTGTTCAATGTTTTTGTTGTTTTGCCATTATTAATTTGATAATTCTGACAGCCCTAAGGGCTTTGAAAGATTAATTTCTCTATTTTGTGCTAACTTGACTGTTGGGTTTTTTTTTTTTTTGGTTAACTCGCATAGTGACTGGAATCCTCATGCTGATCTACAAGCAATGGCTAGAGCTCATCGACTTGGGCAGACCAACAAGGTTGAAGCTTAAGTTCTCTTTAGAGATGCCACAGATTGTTACTGTTGCTTATTATATTATGAGAAATATTGTTTTGGTATCACAGGTAATGATTTTTAGGCTCATAACTCGAGGAACCATTGAAGAAAGGATGATGCAGATGACTAAGAAGAAAATGGTTTTAGAACATCTCGTTGTTGGGAGGCTTAAGGCTCAAAACATTAATCAGGTAACAATCTTCTTTTAATTGATGTTGATGCTTTTTATTTGAATAATGCAATATAAAAATGGTTCACATTTTTAATCTTATTGTTGGATACAAGTTGGAAAAATAATAATTTTAGTGTTTGTGATGGTTACTAAAGGATTTGGAGCATGTACTTTGGCTATAGTTTAATATTGGTGACAAAATTGGTTTATAGGATTTTTCTGGATGGCTACATAATAAGGTTTAGGGTCAGTATTATCAGCCTTCTCTATATTTCTTTAAAATTTCAGATGGGGCTAGGTGGTTCTCTAATTCGTCAGAGATCTCCCCAGTTCCTAACGAGTTTTGGGGAAACTTATGATTAATTTTAGAGGAAGTCCTTTTGACGGATGTAGAATTGCTGGAGGAGATGTTATTCAAAGAAGTCCTTTTGTTTGGACCATCTCTCTTGGTAAAATCAATACAGTTGATGTTATTCAAAGAAAGTTTCCAGCCGGTTTCTATCCCCTTCTTGTCGTGTCTTGTACAAAAGTAATATGGAAACTACAAATCATCTCTTCTTGAATTGTAGTTTCTCTTTAAAATTATGGCACAAACTTCTCCAAGCAGCAAAGATACGTGGGTTATTCTAGCCTCTTATGGTCTGTTCCTTTCAGAATGCAATTTTGGTTTCGGTAGAGGAAATAGGGACAAAGTCTTGTGGAGTTGTGCTATTCTAGCGACCTTTTGGGTGATTTGGCAGGAAAGAAAGAAAAGAATTTTAGAGATAGATGTGAGGAAGGTATTCTTATTTTATGGAATAGAGTTTGTTTGCTTGCTTCTCTTTGGGCTTTGGTCTCTAAAGCATTTCAAGATACATCCTTTTTCTTTATTCACTTAGATTGAGGATAGTTATTGGGTTAATTTGTTGTTATTGGCATTGATTTTTGAGTCTTCTATAGCTTTTGTTTGAGTTGATCAGCTTATACTGTATGGATCTTTTGTGATCCATTAGATGTATCTTAACTTTTGCGGACAATTTGTTCACTCTAGTAAAATTTTCAAGATTTCTGAATCGGCCAGGTCCACATGTTTTTTAAAAGGTAGTCAATGTATTCACCCTTAGGTTTAAGGTTGAACTTGGGCGTACTTGTGCTATGTGATCTCTGTAAACCCTTTCTTTCATAATATGGGTTGGTTCTGGAAAACTATGAATTGCAATAATTGTTTTCTGAGATTTAATGATAATCTTTGAGCAATGCTGGTTCTTGCATTTGCTGTTGTTTTCTTCCCTATCTACCCTACATGTGTGAGTGTGTATAAACAACAATGACATGTTGCGCATTTTGGAGAAGGTCATAATCTGATAACCAGTAGCTTTTATGAAATTTTGAAGAATAATAAAAAACTTTAGGATACTTCCTTTTTTCTGTATTCATTGAGATTGGGATTCTGTGTAGATTAAAATTTATGTTTTTTTGTTTAACCTTCTGGTTTGTTTTATTATTTTGTGGAGGACTACTGGTTCACCATTTTTTTTTTCCTCATGATTAAAATATATTGTTATATGTTTTTTCTTTTTGAACAAGGGAAAGAAAAAAATTCTAAATGGTTTTAGTTCGTTTTAGGAAGAGTTAGACGACATCATCAGGTATGGCTCAAAGGAACTATTTGCTGATGAGAATGATGAAGCAGGAAAATCCCGCCAAATTCATTATGATGATGCTGCTATAGAAAGGTAAGTTTGGAAAATGCTCCAAATCCATAGGTTGTGGAACTTAAATATGAAAGCTTAAAAAAAATTCTTTATTTTTTTTGTTTCTTTGATAGGTTACTTGACCGTGAACAAGTTGGAGATGAAGAGGCTCTGGTGGACGATGAAGAGGAAGATGGATTTTTGAAGGCTTTCAAGGTTTTGTCTTCATTTCAATTTTATGTACATTAGCATGCATGTGTCCATCTATATTTGATGTTAGTTATGGTTCTTAATGCTATTGAGAAGCTTAATCAATTTAGACTTTCAATGGAAGTTCTTGATTTCTATTTCCAGAGATATAGTGTATACTGGATTCGTTAACCTTAATAACTGTGCTCCCTGGGGCCTTTTGTCTTTACAAGGAAGTGGGTCACCCTCATGCCAGGTTTCTGGTGTGAAAATAAACCAGATTTCACTTTGGTGAAGAGGACTTATGGCTTTTCGTTTTGACTTTGTCTTTGCTTCTTTTATTTTGAACAAAGGCTTGCCTAAGACACCCAAATGTCTAGACACCCTTGTACTGATCATGTGTAGGTGCCAGTCTTGACATTGCCATTCATGCATCTTTTAAAATCTAGAAGAATAGATTAAGGATAGGGTTGACTGCATCTTTGAGAACTAGATATAGTAAACCTTCCAAGGAGACGTATGATACTTACCACCTACCATGTTCCCTCTACGGAAAGGAAAAAAAATGCTACTTTTTCTTTAAATCCAAGGACCACAATGTGTAAGAATAGAAGTATTTTGCATAAATCTCTACTTTTGTTTACTAAATTAAAAGGATTTTTAGAATCCAAATCATTAAGATTCAAATCTGGGTTATATTCTTCATTTAATTTATGGCCTATTTTATCCTTCTACATGCACTAAAGAAGAGAATATGGAGGAAAAATTTATGAGAATGAACCACGTGCTGTTCTTGCTGTCTTCCGTTTTTCCTTATTAGGATTTTACCATTTTAATTTTGTTTGTAATAGGTTATAGTTAGGTGTAATTGGGGTTTTTTATGTAATAAATTTACTATGTTGTAGGATTACCAAATTTTATTGCAGAATTCACTGTTTGCATCGCTTTAAAGTAGACTAAAGTATTTTTAGCATAATCCTTCCAAATCATAACTATTCTTTCAAATTTGTTTTGGAGGAAAAGTATTTTGAAAATGAAATCAGAAAACTGTTGCTGTTCTGTGCCTTTCCATACTTGACTGAAAATTAATTAGTTGATTCTTGGTGAGCAATTTTGGTGGCGCCAGATGTAAGTCTCTCCTGGGTACTTATTATGGTTCTGTTTGGAGCCACAGTTATGTTGATTATTGGTGGAGCCTTTTGTTTAAATTTGCTCCTTAAACAAAGTGAACTGTGCTTCTTCTGTGCCTTTCCATACTGGATTGAAAATTAATTAGTTGATTCTTGGTGAGGATACGGTGGCTGCCAGTTGTAAGTCTTTAGTTTGTGTACTTCATACAGTTCTAGTTGGAGCCATAATTACATTGATTACTGGTAGACCTTTTTGTTTGAATCTGCTGCTTAAACATATTGAACTGTGCCTGTTCTGTTTCTTTCCATACTTGGTTCTTTCTTTATGATTTCTTAATAAGGTAAAATATATATTTTCTTAGGTGGCAAATTTTGAATATATTGAGGAAGCGGAGGCTGTAGCAGAGGAGGAGGCTCAAAAGTCAGCCATGGAAAATAAATCTACCCCAAGCAATTCTGAAAGATCAAATTACTGGGAAGAGTTGTTGAGAGACCGATACGAAGTGCATAAAGTGGAAGAGTTCAATGCTCTGGGCAAAGGAAAGAGAAGTCGTAAGCAGGTTTGTTGAGTTTTGGGAATTTTATTACTTGATGGAAAGGGAAGATTATGACTATTAATATATGTTATGCTTTCTTGTTGAATAATTTTTTTTTTTCCTTCCATTTTTTTCTTTTGGTGCATATATTCTTTTTCTGTTCTATTATAGCAATCTTTAGGGGCAAGGCTTATTATGTCCTCTCCTAACTATATGTTATTTTGTTTCCTTTATGAATACATCTCCTCGTCCCATTGATGTTTAACTGCAAAAAGAATTTATACTATGTTTCCATATGTTAATTGACATATTGAATCCATTAATCACTTGTGAAGTGGGCTTAACTTGTGTTCTTGGATCTTGTTCAGATGGTATCTGTAGAAGACGACGACCTAGCTGGTCTGGAAGATGTAAGCTCTGATGGTGAGGATGATAACTATGAAGCTGACTTAACTGATGGTGATGCAACATCCACTGGAGCTCAACCTGGCAGAAGGCCAAACAGAAAGAAATCTCGTGGTATTTTTTTTTTTTTTTCTTTTTACCAGTTCAACATTAATGACAATTTTTTATGACTTTTTTTTTGCTTATTGTGCTCATTGTGACAATATTTTGCAGTCGATAGTATGGAACCGATTCCTTTGATGGAAGGTGAAGGAAGGTCGTTTAGGGTGTTGGGTTTCAGTCAAAACCAGAGGGCTGCTTTTGTACAAATTTTGATGAGGTTATCTCCATTGCCTTCTCAAGTATCGGTTCTTTTATCCTATGTTACATTATTCCTTCATTGTGTTTGTCTATTGCCTCCATCTTCAGCTCTTTCTCTTTCCTTGTTTCTGTTTATATATGTATGCTTGTCTGTATCTTTATCTTTATCTTTTAGTATCTGGAGTTTGTCTTATTTTAGGTTGTTGATTGCAGATTTGGAGTTGGGGATTTTGATTGGAAGGAATTTGCAGCTCGCTTAAAACAGAAGAGCTATGAAGAAATAAGAGAGTATTCAATATGACCTTTGCTTTTTATATTTTTCACTCATGGGCTAGAGTTATCGTGTCATTTATGCTCAGAATTTTGCCTCTATTTTTAAATTTTATTTATTTATTTATTTTTATCTTATGATAGTAGAAGTGCATACTTTTCACACCAGAATAAACGCAAGAACATGGTTGTACATGTAATAGAACCTTTTTTTTTTTTTTTTTTTTTTTTGGTTGTCTGAAACAGAAATCCCTCAACTTTTCTCACATGTTCACTGAATTCTAAATTGGAGGTTCCTTCTAGACCCTCCAACCTTGTACCTAGGAAACTTGTGTGATATAATATCTGAAGTAGGTCGGATTTGAACCTTACCCTCTTAGTTGAAATTAAGGGCTTTTACTACTAAACCAACTGTAGTATACCAGGAATCATCGCTCAAAGTTTATTCCAACTCCATTTTTTTTTCTAACCTTTTTTTTCGTGGTTGGGAATGCAATCTTTTAAATCTTACTTTTATTATTATTGTGTTTTGCTTGAGATTATTTAACTTTCTTTCATTCTTTTTAGTCTGACCATTTGGCATATTACTAACTGAAATTCTTCTTTTTTTTTTTTTTTTTCTTTTTGGTTGATTCAGCTATGGGGTTCTTTTCTTGACCCACATTGCTGAAGATATAACCGACTCTCCGACCTTCTCAGGTTTTTTTTTTGGCTCTTTTTTTTTGGTTCTTGATGTTTGTTTTCCTCATTTGGCATGCAACTAACAATTCACTGATATTAATGTTCTTGTTTTTAGATGGTGTTCCAAAAGAAGGACTTAGAATTCAAGATGTACTTGTCAGGATAGCGGTCTTGCTTTTGATTAGGGATAAGGTAAGTTTTTGAATGGACATTTAACAATCATTTTTATTACATTTGCAAGAGGGAAATAACTGAATATTTAAAGGGAAAAAAGAGAGAAATAGTGGCATTTTAATTGGGGAGCTTTTTGGGGTAGTTTTTGTAAATATGTTTTGTTTTTGATTAAAGAGGTCATACTAGATATTCTAGTCTTAGGCTTTTGAACTCTTTGGCATTAGGTGGATAACCCTCCTTAGGGTTTCGTCTCAACTGTGCTAGACCGTCCATAATTGTATCTCCTTTGAGTCATGGTCAATATATTTTCCTTGTTTCTTATGCATATTTAAAGGAAACTAATATTTTACCTCCATTTTGGGACTTCTTTTATCATTATTATTATTATTATTTTTTTATGTTCTAACACTGACATCGCCATTTATAGAGTTCAGGGTTGATTCACTCAATACATTATGGTATCTTTTTCTCTCACTATTTTTATTTTGTATATGGGAATGATAGGTTAAACTTTCGTCGGAAAAGCCAGGCACTCCTCTTTTTGCAGATGACATTGTCTTGCGCTACCCAGGACTGAAGGGTGGAAAATTTTGGAAAGAGGAACATGATTCATTATTACTGGGTGCCGTACTGAAGTATGTCTCCTTCATTGTATAATTTCTGGAATGTCCATCTGAATTATAATTGCTGTTACTAAGTATTTTGTTGGAAGGCATTGGTTGGAAATAAATTCTTTTTATGGTATTATAATCTGTATCAGTTGCAACTTAATTTTCTTATTGTTTTTTTCATGCTGGAAGCAGTCTACATTTTATTTCTTGGCCTCCTCCTGTGTTCACCCTCCTATCAGAATGTCAAGCTATATCAGTGTTTGGTGATGTCACCATCCATACAATGCTCAAAATTAGTATTTTATTTCTGTAAAATGTGAATAACTTTGATCTGATATTTACTGAAGCATATCAATATTATATTTGGGTAGATGACTGGAAAGGGTAGGATATTTAATCTAACATTGGGTTTTGCTGAAAATATCACACAAGTACAGTTTTAGGAGTCTGATTGTGGCTTTTGTATCTATGAGGATATGTATATAATTGTGCATGTGAACGAAGTGTTCAATACTTTTTTTATCAGTAAATTTGATAGTTTATTTCTTTTAAATATTTGGATCCTGAATATCTTTGCTTTTGTACTTGTTAATGACTTTAATGTATTTCAAGGCATGGGTATGGAAGATGGCAAGCTATTGTGGATGACAAGGACCTGAGGGTTCAGGAGGTCATCTGTCAAGAGTTGAATCTCCCTTTCATAAATCTACCCGTCCCTGGACAATCAAGTTCTCAATCACAAAATGGTGCTAATACATCCAACACAGAAACACTCGGTAACCAAACTCAGGGAAATGGCACTGGGAATGATTCAGCAGCTGATGGTGTCCAAGGAACGACTGATGCTGCAAACCAATCACAACAATATCAAGATTCTTCCATACTATATCATTTTAGAGATATGCAGAGAAGACAGGTTGAGTTTATCAAGAAAAGGGTGCTGCTTTTGGAGAAAGGCCTTAATGCAGAGTACCAGAAAGAATACTATGTGAGTCCATTACATTTGACATACATGCATATTGCTAAATGTTTGTTTTCCTAATGCACTATATATATATATAAACATGTGTGTGTGTGTGTGGAGATGTGGGTTATAACCTAAATTACTATTAAAACTTCAAGAATGCATTGTGATCTTCAATGTAGATAAAGTTAATTAGAGAAGTTTAAAATTGTGTTTCATGAGAAGTTTCACTTAAGAAATTAATTTTGGCTTGTTTGGTGTGGGACATTGTGGCTGCACCTCAGTGTTTAATAGACCAAAATTCATCAAACAATTTCCAATATCCCAATAAGCAATTCTAAATCCCTAACTTGCAAAACACTCATCTTATTGAAAAAGCAATTGGCCAAATCTCAATTCACAGGAAAAAAAAAAAAAATACCTGCTTGTTTTGAGTGATCATTTTCTAGTTTATTTTTCTATATAAACATGCATTTTGATGTTTTAAGATTCTTTGTTCCTTTGACTAGATACGTCTTTCCTTTTGGCCTCACTTAGATCTCCTATTCTTAAAAGTCTGATGGAGCTATTCCCAGACAGCTGAGAGAGTCATTCTTGGCTATGCCTCTGGTCCAATGAGTCATTTAGCATTCTTGCATATACTTGCTATGTGGTAGACATGTCATTTTTCCAGTCCATAGGTTTTTTACTCTGCAAAGGCTAATCTTAAATATTTCTATGTTTCTAATTATGTAATTATTGGCATCAATTGCCGTATGGTTATGATAAACCTATCAATTACATCTGGTTTCCTTACCTGTTTTTATGTTCACAGGGTGATATAAAATCAAATGAGATCCCAAGTGAAGAGCCCGAGAGCGAACAAAAGACTACAGACAAACCAAGTCCAAGCTCTGTTGAGATTGATGCCCAGATTGCTGATCANTTGAGTGATCATTTTTTAGTTTATCTTTCTATATAAACATGCATTTTGATGTTTTAAGATTCTTTGTTCCTTTGACTAGACACGTCTTTCCTTGTGGCCTCACTTAGATCTCCTATTCTTAAAAGTCTGATGGAGCTATTTCCAGACAGCTGAGAGAGTCATTCTAGGCTATGCCTCTGGTCCAATGAGTCATTTAGCATTCTTGCATATACTTGCTATGTGGTAGACATGTCATTTTTCCAGTCCATAGGTTTTTTACTCTGCAAAGGCTAATCTTAAATATTTCTATGTTTCTAATTATGTAATTATTGGCATCAATTGCCGTATGGTTATGATAAACCTATCAATTACATCTGGTTTCTTTACCTGTTTTTATGTTCACAGGGTGATATAAAATCAAATGAGATCCCAAGTGAAGAGCCCGAGAGCGAACAAAAGACTACAGACAAACCAAGTCCAAGCTCTGTTGAGATTGATGCCCAGATTGCTGATCAATTACCTCAAATAGAGGCAATTAGTAAGTTTTGTTTTATATTAAACCTTGCTCATTATGAACAATGGTAGTCTTTATACGTTCGTAAGTTTTTTCTTGTACTTCTAACTTTCTTTATTATAATTTATGTCCTTGCAGATTTCATTATTGACTTGGGTTTAGTGAACTTTTTACTGACTGGTATTCACTGTGTGCAGCACCTGAAGAAATATCAGCAGCTGTCTGTGATGGAGATCCAGATCGATTGGAATTGGCTCGGCTATATAATGAGGTAAAACATTTTTAACGACATTGAAATTATAGCATAATTCATAAACTACTTCCTTGCCTAGAGGCAGAATTAGTAAGGGGAAAAATGCTATCCTTATAAAGACTAGGGTTACAAAATGATATCATCCAGAAAAAAAAGAAAAAAACAAATAAAAAACGGAAAAAGAGAAAGAGAGAGAAATCATGAAAATATAGAGATTATTTTTATATGTTTCCTTTATACGTGTCTTTGTAAAACTAATATTGCTGATAAATGGGTCTTGGGTTCATCGTTAATAATGTGGAGAAAGAAGAAAGGGAAGGGCGTATTGCATAATTTGATGGTAGCTGGTGCTGCTTGTTTCTTTCTATGTGGGAAGGGAAATGTGCTAGTCTCTGTGTATTTCTTTTTTCCTACATACTAATAGATGACGAATTGCCTTTGTCGTTTTAATGATGGGCAGATGTGCAAGGTACTAGATGAAAATGTTGATGTAGTCAAGACATCCGCTACAAATGAGTCAGCAAGTCTCAAATTGAAGACAGGCCTTCAACCGCTTGAAACCATTTGTGAAGATGTTAGTCGGCTTCTCTCCTCTGCAGAGCAGAAGCCTCCTTTGGACCAGCAAATGCCAAACTCAGCTGAAAAGTCGCAGGCTGAAACTCATAGCACTGTTGCAGATCCGAGTTCAGTACCCATGCAAAAAGATAAGGAGGCTGATACCGTGGTGGAAATTGAGATGAAGACTGCAACAGAAACCAGCCCGACAAAGGTTAACGATAAACTGATGGAGTCTCACCCAGACCCAGCAATAGAAAGTAATAAATCATTTAACAATCCTACTCCTGCAGACGTAGATTCATCTCCGGCAGATGCTACAAATTCGTCGGGGATAATTGGAACTGACATCGAAATGGAAGAAGCTAAGAATCATGGTGATGGTGACACCAAAACTGATGATGGGAACACAGAGAAACCGGAGCCAGGGGTCATCGTTTTGGATGATTAAATTTATACAAACATCGTTTCTTACTTAGGCATACAGTTTAGTTGCTTAGTTACAGGACTTTTTTCTTGTAGCAGACGAGTTACAAGAATCAAGAAAAGGTAAACTCAGTGAACAGTAATTTCTTGGGACGTTGTTGATCAAGTTTAAGATCTCATTTCATTTAAAGAACCATCAGCAGTCGTAATGATTGCTAGGCTATTTTCATTAAATTTTATGGATAAGAAAGAAAATTTGAAGAAACTGTCGCATCAAATTGCCGTATTTTTTGGACTAACAATTTTGCAGTTGAAAGGTGCTGCTACCCATGTGACACTGACAGCAGGTATTTTTTTCAACGGTCTACTACTACTTTTTTCTTTTTAAATAACTCAGACTAAACCTCAGGTTACATAACACCTACAAGTTTAATGGATAAATATAATTTCACAAATGTGATATGTTTTTTTCTCACCGCTTGAACAGAAGACTCCTGGATATAAGGGTTCCAATGGTTAAAGGGTCGGCTATAAGAGGAGAGGTGGTCTACTACTTTACAACGCCTTGAGTTTTTACTTTGAAACCACTTGAACTCCAAGCACAAGCTGAATAAGAGTTGAAAGAAATCATTGATGTGATGATAAAAAGGTTCTGAGGTCATGAAATAACAAAATATTTTAGTTTATTAGTGGATGGGTAATGAACAACTAGGAAATTAGAAAATATATTATTATAAAGTTTTTAAATATTTACGGAATTAATTTTTAATTTTTTTTTTCAATATATAAAATTAAACGTAAAAGGAATTTTGTTATTTAATTAAACTTTATGGATTAATGCGTTTACTGGCGGAATAAACACTGCAAAATTATTTTGTAATTGGATAAGTTGTGATTGGCTACGAAGTGACGCTGGTCAGCAATTTGGGCAGAAGTGATGGTGATGAGAACTTAGAAAGACGGGGAATATTTTATCAACAAAATGCATGCATTATGGAGTTACTGTATATGACTAAGTAGTGATTTCCATGATTCTTAACCACAGAAATAAAATAAAAACAACCTATTCAATATGACTTTATTCACCATTGAAGCAAAAGCTACAAGACAACTCTATCTTAACTTCAATCAAACTTTAACTTCCTATTGAAAGATTAGTGTTGACTGTTGAGGTTTAGGTCATTTAGTGGCCCCTCTATATAGCCTGCCCTATCCTATCCTCAGCCTACCAAATGATCATGTTGGCCAATTTACGCATCCCCTTTAAAGCCAGCCTCCACATAGCACCAAATGGCAATTAAATTATGCAGGATATGGTGATTGATGGTTCCACCACCAACTTAAATTTAAGTAATTATTATTTGTTTGTTCCTTTTGAGATAGCTTAAAGAGATCGGAAAATGGAGACCTCAGCTACCTATAGCTAATTTAAATCAATTAACCCTTAATGATTCCTGTTGTCTCTCTCATCCCCCCTTTGACATTCCTTGAGATCATTGGTTATTGTATCATTAATTATCAGTTTTGTTAATTTCTTCATTTGATCTTTGAAGCCACCCAAACAACAGTTCTCTTGATCCCTTTTCTCTCTTGCTCAAACTATCTTCATCCATGCATGAACATTTGTAGTGTGATTCACGAGCAATATTGTGAAAAACAAAAAAACTCGAGAAAATTAATGTTTGGTGGGTGAGAAAAAGCTTTTCTTAAGTCCATATGCAGTGGTGCGCACAGAGATATGTTTCAATAGTTCCAACTCCAGGCGTAATGAACAAGCATACATAATGCCATGCGAGAGAGATTCGTGAATGTAATTAATTAAAATTTCCTTGACTACCATTAGTGGTTATTGAAAGGAAATTTTAGGAATAGAATAAACGAATCTCTACTGACACCCCTCCAACTTAAAGCAAAATAAATGCCCATCAATCCTGCTATGTGTTTGCATTAGGGTTTCTTTTCTTCTATATACGGTACAAGAATCATTCTTTTTTTTTTTTTCATTAAAAAGAAAAAGGCAGGCATGTTTTGGTCTTGTCATAAACTCAAATATAATCCTATACAATTCACACATAATATGGAACTTCTGTAGCATGTATGAACATATATTCTTTCATTTTTCTGGTTTGAGTTCTGTCATTGTTCCATATAGACACTCATGCATGCAAATTTGCATGTTAAATATTAACATAGAGATGATCAATAATCAGTGTAAATGAATATATTATGTGTTAATGTAGAAAGCTGCAAGCACAGAGAACGAAATTCATTAAATTAACGAAATAATTCATTCCCCTTTCAGAGTCATCAATAAGAATAGGTATGTATTAGTAGATATGGAGAAGCAGACACAGGCAGAGCAAAAAGAAGGATTGGTTTTGTTATAACTTAAACAATGTGAAGAAGAAAAAGGGTGGATGAGAGAGATGAAGGAAAATTAAACGAAAAGAAAAGAGAAAGAGAAAAAGGAGTGAAAAGAACAGACCTGGAAATCGGGCAAATGCTGGAAAAGTAGAGACAATAAAGAGACAAGTCTGGACTTCAACTGCACGCATGCTTTGCTACATACAGCAATTCCATTAGCCTTCTTCTCTCTCTCTGTCATCTGAGACTCTTCTTGAAACATGCCAACCTGTTATTCCAACAAGCTTCAGCCCACAACTCTTTGTTTTTCCAATCAACCACCCTTACTTTTCTCTTTTGTTTCCTTCTTTCTCATTGTTTTTTCTCCAATTATTTGTATTCGCAAGTGTATATATAACTATAGAATATAGTCTCCTTCAACTTTCAAACCAACAAACTAAAGCTTATTGAACCAATGTGGGCCTTTCTGCAATTTAATTTGGTTGCCCTAGATCTACATGAGAATGGTAAGCGATCATTTGTAAATGTATACAACTTAATTAGTTTATTAGTTCGCTCCGCTCTTGAAACTTCAAACTAGCTGTTGGAAGTATGGACAAGATTCAGAGTCAAAAAATAGTTAATTAATATGTAATAGGCTCCACAGTAATAACTTTGTCCGTTATCAATGTGCCATAACAAGACAGAATTTCTCGTGATACAAGTATAGTATGGGGCTACCGGGCAAAGAAGAGGTCGTTTCTTCGTACAATTTTATACATATTTTGCCCCATTCTTTTCTTACAATGAATGAATTGTCACCGTTTAAAGACATTATTGTACGGATGTTCTTGGCATTTCCAACAAACGGTGGCACTAGATATCATGAAAAGATTTGAGTTATGCTATTCTTTATAAACTGTCACACCCATTTCTTACTTTGATTTCGTTACTTATGTAACTATTTAGACGTCATAAACACTGTAGTATTACTCACTGAAATCATCAGCCTTAGCTTATAACAGTGGAAAAGTTCGATCAACTTATTGAGGTAGCTAATAATTGAGTTGAAATGAGATTTGGGATTCACGTTCTACTGTCACGAAGAAAAATTGAATGTTAGACCGGAAACTCAGACTGGTTGATTTGATTTTTTACAGGTCCCACCAAATTGATATTTGGGTCCATCAATTGATGTTTGATCCTTGGAGTTTAGGGCACAGAGACAGGTAGTAGGTCATTGTCACTCCCTCCAGTGCGAGCCAGATAATACAATCGGCGACTCAACTGAATTCTTTTCATACAGAGAACAGTAGCATGCAAAGCATTAAGTAATAAAATGAGAGAAAAAAAAAAAAAAAGAATCATTAATTACCATGTCACAAAATCTTAAATTAATTCATAGGTTAGCTACTGGGAATCTAAGCTCTCATGTCTTTATATATACCACCACTTCTGCTCCCGGCTTCTTCACAAAGGCCAGTACTTACAATAGAGCAATATTGAGCTAGCTTGCTTAATTCCTCATGGCCACCCAAAAAAATGGAAATTTTCCAACAGTTTGTGTTACAAAGTCCCTGTCTGTTCACCCAAAATCTTTGCAACCACAACAAATTCTCAGTCTGTCCAATTTGGATAGGCAGTGTCCACTGCTTATGTACTTAGTTTTCTTTTACAAACCAACAAGTGTTTATCAAAATTTATCTCTTGATTTGGTTTTTAGTAAGTTAAAATCAGGCTTGGAGGAGACCTTGTCAGTTTGGTACCCGGCTGCAGGTCGTTTGAGCTTGAATCCAAATGATGGGAAGCTCAATATTTGGTGCAACAACAAAGGTGCAATTCTGGTTGAGGCGGTGACTCAAGTCAAGATTTCTGAGCTGGGTGACCTCTCTCAGTATAATGAATTCCTGGAGAAATTGGTTTACAAGCCTGTTTTTAATGGAAATTTCGCTGAGATGCCTCTAGTTGTTGCTCAGGTGAGGATATATATTTTCTTGAANCTTGATTTGGTTTTTAGTAAGTTAAAATCAGGCTTGGAGGAGACCTTGTCAGTTTGGTACCCGGCTGCAGGTCGTTTGAGCTTGAATCCAAATGATGGGAAGCTCAATATTTGGTGCAACAACAAAGGTGCAATTCTGGTTGAGGCGGTGACTCAAGTCAAGATTTCTGAGCTGGGTGACCTCTCTCAGTATAATGAATTCCTGGAGAAATTGGTTTACAAGCCTGTTTTTAATGGAAATTTCGCTGAGATGCCTCTAGTTGTTGCTCAGGTGAGGATATATATTTTCTTGAACCTTGAAAAAGCCAGATATATATATATATATATATAATAAAACTAAAGGAACGATCTTCTCGCTAGAACAAATCCTGCATGTTTTCAGTTCTGCCTCCCTTTAACTAACAGGAGAACCTCTTATAAATTTCATGGTGACCCACCTTATATATTATTTCATTACCTGTGACACGAGCCCTCGTAATTAGGGTTTTGTTTGTTTCTGTACAAATTAATCCTTTCAAATCATATCAGTAATATTTTAGGTTTTCCTCCACATCCACGCCATGGATACAATAAAAATTTCCCTAAACATGCAACCCAAATCATCTTCTAAACACGAAATTGATTTCCTATAAACAACATACAAACAACAAAACCTAGAATATTGATTTCATGTATTTATTCTCCCTTTTTTACATTTAACATGTTTAGACAACGATCGGAAAATGGAAAGAGCACTTCTTTTACAGTTATAAAAGTGTCCTACAAAATGATCACAAACCTAGAGACATAATTCGTACATCTACACTCTAACAACGAAGGTTGCTTTGAGTGGGAAGATCCTGAAAGCAAATTTTTATGTTGTTTATGAAGTATTTTTCTGATTTTGAGCAAAATTTTATGACGTAGGTGACGAGGTTCGGTTGTGGGGGCTATTCGGTCGGAATTGGTACGAGCCACTCGTTGTTCGATGGACCGGGTAGCTATGATTTTCTTCGTGCATGGGCTTCTAATTCTGCTATTATGAAAGACAAGGGAGGAATTGAGGTGCATAAACCAGTGCATGAGAGAGGTAGGATGAGAATGACAAATTCTCATGTTGCAAAATCAGCTATGGCGCCTAGGGCTGCAGCCATAGATCATCTATATATGTTGATAAAAAATGCTCTTGGAGCTGGACAAAACCTTTCTGAGATGGGAAATATGAATTATGTTACCAAAACTTTCCATCTTTCTGGTGCAATGATCGAGAGTTTCAAGAGGAAAATCTTTGGCCAAGGGAGAGGTAACTTTTCATGTTCATCCTTTGAATTGGTTGCAGCTCACCTCTGGAAGGTAAGTTTCTCATCTCTTCTCGATCAATCGGTTCGTTTTTCTTCCTTTAGTTTCTAGTCAATGTTATCTTTGAATTCCCAATAAAATATATATATAAATAACTAAGGTGGATAAATTTCAAGCAATTAATATATATTTTATATTTATAAGAAATCTCCAATAATGATATGATCAGACAAAAGTGTTCAATCACTTTNTGGCCAAGGGAGAGGTAACTTTTCATGTTCATCCTTTGAATTGGTTGCAGCTCACCTCTGGAAGGTAAGTTTCTCATCTCTTCTCGATCAATCGGTTCGTTTTTCGTCATTTAGTTTCTAGTCAATGTTATCTTTGAATTCCCAATAAAAAAAAATATATATATATATAACACTAAGGTAGATATATTTCAAGCAATTAATATATATTTTATATTTATGAGAAATCTCCAATAATGATATGATCAGACAAAAGTGTTCAATCACGTTCAGTATATGGGAATTTTACACCACAGATCTTTGATACTTTCTCCTTTCAAGATGATCATTATTATGGGTTCAGTTCGATGTGATAATTAAAAATTTGATTGATGATTAGTTATATATAAATATATATATGTAAAACTTCTTCGTTATAGCTGACAAAATTTTGCATGTTAGTATTGTCTGAAACACGACTTTCAAAGAACTTTCTCTGTTAACTTTATATCTAATATAAGATTTCATAACTTATATTAAGGTAAAATAGAAGGAGAAATATGATGAGGAGGAGGAGGATTCCATAGTATACTTACAGATGGAAAGAAAAGAAGATGACAACTAGAGTACGAAACTATCAAAAAAAGCCATCTCAGCTGTAGCTAATTACTACGATACACTCAATTCCCTCGAACTGCTAAAGCTTTAATTTATAATTAGGATTATGATATTTGGTGCTTATTATTTCAGGGCATATATGTATGGGACATCAATCACATTAATTACATCCATATATTTCATGCATGCTGACAAAGCTAGATGCTCAACATAACCCTTCAAACAAAATATGATTGCTAATTTGACTTGTTCTGATATTAATAAGATATGGACAGTCTAGGTTTCAACACACCAAATTATCCATCTGGGTTGTTTCTTCTCTATCATGATAAGCTTTTGACTATCAATTTCATGTTAAAATTACTTGAGGGTTGAACGATAATTTGTGACTGATGATTACAGGCAAGGACTAAGGCCGTGGGGGTGAAGAAGGAAGCAATAGTTTGTTTGCAATTTGCTGTGGACACTAGGAACAAGATGGTGCCACCACTGCCAAAAGGTTTCAGTGGCAATGCTTTTGTGTTAGCCTCAGTTGCACTAACAGCTGGAGAACTGGAGCAAGGTAGCCATGAGGCCATTGTTGAGAAGATTAAAAAGGCCAAGAACTCTATCAATAATGACTATGTGAATGCATACAATGAGGCACTTGAAGGACCTCAGGGTACTCTCCCTCCCCTCAAGGAGCTCACTCTAGTTTCTGATTGGACAAGGATGCCATTTCACAAGGTTGATTTTGTCCATGGAGAAGCAGGTGCTGCTTCTCCACTGATTTCTCCAATCCCACAGGTGGCATATTTCATGCAGAATCCAACTGATGTTAAGGGCATTGATTTGAGGATTGGTCTTCTTCCACAAACTGTCAATGCTTTCTCTCACTACTTCCTCAACAATCTGCATTAATAATTAATAAGCTTCACAGCTCACTGATCTCTTTTGTTTCAAGTGGGGTGTAAACTGTAAAGCCAATATGGCTGAAATTTAATTAGGTTTTCGTGAAAAGATTATTAGAGATAAGATAAATGATTATTATTATCCTGATAAAGATGTCATATACTCAATTGTCATCAACAATTAGTTTTCTTATACATATATAATATTTGACGTGTCGTTTGCTTGTGGATTTTTTTCTATTGTCAACTCATTCGGTCATCATATATAATTGAACTTGCTTTTTAATCCGGGATCCTGTAATCTCAAGCTAGTCTTAATCATGCAACAATCTCATAACATGATGAAATCTACGCATGTAAGAGGGAACATCATGATTAACTCCATAATGCACAATTCTTAGTACAATAGACAGGCTACTATTAAATTGCCATTGCTTCTGTTCAATTAACTGGAAACATCAACTGTACTAAGAAAAAGAAGGGCAGAAGATTTATCAACTACAAGTAGCAACAGGACTCCTGAAATGGCAACAGATACATACATATTAAAGTGCAGTATGGATTACACAAGGCAAAATTAAATAAGAAAATGCTTTTGCAGCAGATCCTTCTTTGTTAGTAGCTATAGTCTACTTTCATATGCACGTTCGAAGGGAATAAGTATTATTGCAGCCAAAGTTGCCTTCTGGTAATGTGACCTTTTCTTGTTCCTGCATTACCCAACTCTGTCGTCAGATGCCCGAGGCTAGAATTATGACTACCACGTCAGAACTGTAAACCAAAATTCACACATCATAACTCAATTGCCAAATACAAAAACTTAATCAGAAAACATATAAAAAATTATCTGCTCTAAATGTAGTGAAATGGATATTAAGACCTTCCACAGCAGACAGAGTGCACACTCCCTTCAACTCGGGGGAAAAAAAGCACATGAACTTGGAAAGTTAGCTATTTATACAATGCAAAGTTTTTACACTTACATTGAAGCACACAATAATTTAAGAGCATCTTAGAACCAAGACCCTACACCAGATGTAATGTTTTTGGATTTATTTGAGGTCTGTCTCTTCAGTTAAATGGATAACCATGATGAACAGGCAGCTATAGATCTGCTTTTAAGTAGACTTGACTGTATTTTAAATAGTCATGGCGTGCTTTTCGAAGAAAGAGGGGCCTTACATGATTGAAGAAAGACTTCACCACAAATGACAGCTGTTCTTTTGACTAAACTAAGAGGGGAAAGTGAGACTATGTTTTCATGAAAAATATCTAACTAAATGCCAACTCTAAAGCAAGGAGAATCATATGAAGTTCAGGACAGAAATTCCAATTCCTTCAGAAGTTTAAGTATAGGGTTCTAATTTGATTAAACATCTACCTAAACAGTAATACTTCAAACTCGCAGGCCTGCAATAGAAATGCTAAAATATGGATGAGTGGCTCTGGGTTTCGTTTCTCCCTAGTTAAATCAGAAAGGAAAGATAGAATTGTTATACAGCATCACAAACTATCAATAAAACGTCTATGGATTCTACAATAGACTTAAAAATTGCAGTTTCAATTCAATCAAAGAGCTATTAACACAATAAATATCTGGACTTCAGACATTGATAAGTGCAATCATCCTTCATTATAGAAAACAAAGATTACTATAAAAATTTCCTTCACTCTTGAATTTTAACATGAAACCAGATAATATAATTTTCGCTACCATTTCCATCGAAAGCAAGATCCATAATCATGATAAAGTCCTTGTTACCAAGCAGCTCGAAGTTCTTCTATGAAAAATTATAAAAAAACATTTTATTTGACAGGTGAGAACATTTTTGCTTGTGAATCTCTTCTATAAGTCAAGATGAATTTACTTGCATTGAGATGGAAATAGTTTCGCTACTGGGACTCTAAAAAACATTACTTTATCTTCATTTAGTTGATAGCACAGAGACAGACTTCCCATCCCCTGAATGCTTACTAAACTATCCGTGATTCAGCTCACAGAACTAAATAATTTAACTAGTGGGCTGTTTCTTGGATGGGACCATTGAACAACCCAAGCATTTAGTTTTGTGTATTCCTAACTATGCTTTCGATTATATGCCACATGTGAGTTAGCACATACCAGCAATGGTATGCTGTGGCAAGACGCCTACATAAACATAACTCAACTATTAACATGTGATAGGATGATCAGGTTAAAATCCAAACAGAAAACCAAATAAAAGTAAAATATAGGACAAAGTTTCCAGGAGTTGCATGTTTTTGTATGCTGGTACACAAAATATACAACTATCCTACACCCAATTCTCCAACATTTGTGGTCAGGCTAATTTTGTTACACAATAGTGCAAGACCTCCCTCCAAAATTTAACTTATCGCCTCAAGTTTGATCATATTGCACTAGGATTCTTCTGACATAAAAGATAGATGCTGCAGCACTATAGACAAAAGAAAAAAAAAAATCATAAAAATCTCCTAGGGAGGAAGATATCCAAGTATGCCATGCATTTCTTTCATAGGAAGTTTTTCTTCACTAGACCAGGGTAGGCCATCACCTATAACTATGACAAAGAGCTAAACCCAATAAAATAGCAACACTCATCAAATAATTCCATGAAGGGTTATATTCCTCTCAAGTCATATTACATCTCACAACAATGTAACAAAACATAGTATGCACAATTCTAACTAAAATGAGCTTACACAATTTGCAGATTGACTATTCCATACTATTGTTAGCTCCACCAATGAGTTTGTCAACTATACTAGTACACCAATAATTAAAAGCAACCAGCATTGACTAGCTTGAGTGACTTCTTCAATTTAATTGTTGAAGCTCAGAAATGTTACACAAAGATCAATTTATAGACATGATATAAATTAAGCTAAGATAAAAAAGACATCACAAAAGTTAAAGCAAGATTATATTCTTACCTGTTTCACCATTGATCACTAAATCTTCCAATGAGTCAACTTATTAGAAATGTAACCACTTTTTGTCTTCTGTTGGACCATAGATACTCTTCCTTCGGATTTATGATGTCTGCATACCGACCTTTGAACCTCATTAATCTTCATGGGGAGGATCAACAAAATTTGATTGCCCAATTGAATCAAATTCTGTGCTTCTGTGGAAAAGAGTGTTTCTTGGGTCCAGCTTTGGTCCAAAGTCCCTGCATCACCATTATGGGATTGCAGAGTTAAACAGTTGCATCCATATTTGAGCGGTATGAAGCATCATGCTTATGGTTTTCCCATCCTTGTGAGACATTGCTAATCATTTGCCCTGCATTTTTGCTGATAGTACTCCTTCGAATGGTAAATCTGCTTTTGAATCCTGTAATCGATTGTCCAGTGGTGGCATAGAAGAAACTCACATGGATTATTTCCAATTTGCAAGGCCATTGTAGAAAGTTCGTCTCTCAATTACATGGATGCAGAGTTGACTGTTTAAAACAGTCACCTAAGAAAAGAATTTGCCGGATCCCAGATGACTGAACAGCAGTTGACCAATTGTCATTGCATCTACCATGATCTGGTATATGGGAAAGATCCTGAATTTAAGGGCATCAATGTACAGAAGATTGATTTCCAAATACTCTGTTACCTTGGGCCTCTTGAGGCTGTCCTTCTAACATCAAGGGGTTTGTTTGTAACACCAGATGAGATTATTCGATCGCAAAAGGTTAATCTTGCATCTGGAAACCCACTGTTAACAGGGAAAACTGCTGTATTATCATTAGTGATACTTTTGTTTGGTTGTAACTGGTCAGTTCCAGGACGTTGGCATCCCTTGAAGTATATTACCCCTGTGGCTTCCAGGAAGTATGCTTGGATGGATTTTTTGTCTGATCATTAATCATTCCTGAAGGGAGGCCACGCATACCGCCCAGCAGGAGTGTTCAATCTACCAAGCATCCCACCAGGGGAAAAGATCTAAAGTACTGTTCTGAAACTGCCCAGGTCCAGCTAAGGAATGGAAATTCCTAGCCCGTTAACAGAACCCATTCGCAATATAAGGATCTGTACTGCCCAAGGCTGCTACCATATTAGCTTGTTGGTTAGCCACGCAGCTGATCCTTTGAGGTAAGCCTATATTTCTGCAACCACAGGATAGCTAGTTAGCTTTCATGAACACAATAGTTTTCATCACATAGAACAGAGGCAGAATGAGTAAGAATTTATGCCTGGAGATGGCTTGCCACATTTTCTCTGGTCAGCTTTTCACATTCATCAAATCTGTATCTTTTCGGTACAGCCTCTGAAATCAAAACAAGAAAAGTTGAAAAAACTATGAGAATTAAGTGAAAAATCCATGGATGAATTTGCATAATAATACAAACCAAGAGCAAGAATTGATTTTTCGCCAGGCAAGAATACTTTGGTCTTGTAAATTGAGAGGTGAAAAATCAATCATGACTTAGAAAGAAAACACCAATAATTCAAGAATTTCACAATTCAGAAATGATCTCAGCATTGTGTTAGAAGTCTAAGTAGCCACCCTAATGTTATTTATAAATTGCAAGAGCACCTAACTCTCCTCAAACATTCAATGAGACTCCCGGACTATGGACTCACCTACAACTCCCAGACCAGACCCTTGGCAGAGCCTGAAAGGGCAACCTCATTGTCTGGATGGATCACTGGGGTTTGTTTTTGATTTTATATGTTAAGAGGGTCAGGGTATCTAATCCAAAGGTTAGTACATTAAGAAGAAGAACCTATCCTCCTATAACCCCAAATCCTCCACACATTCGAAGTAAGACCCTATGACTCAATACAAGGTATGTCATGCATAATTAATAAAAATTAGGAAAGGACACAATAAAATAGGCTACCTTGTCTAAAGAAAATCTTGAATTGCTTTAGCAAGAGTTTTCAAATATGGTAACTAAAATAGAGTTTGAACATACTGTCAATGCCCAACTGATTAACAGCTGCAACAAACTTGCGATGCAGATCAACTGACCAAACCACCCGAGGCTTCTTTTGGTGATTTGGTCCTCATTTTCATTTTCATTCTCATCACGCTCCTCATCCTCATCTTCATTTTGGTCTTTCCTTCTTTATTGAGCTTCCCATTCTGATCAGAGTTCCCAGATCCTGCACCTTCCCCACCACCATGATGGGGCTTGTCTTGATTGTCACAATTGTTGCGGTCCTTTGGATCATTTTCTTCCTCCTGCCTACATGTTGCCATATGTTTCTTCAGCTCCTCAATCCGAACAGGTTTCAGCAAATAATCGCAAGCTCCATGAGTAATTCCCTTCATCACAAGCTTCGGATCGCCGTTTCCCGACAACACTAATACATTTAACATTTAAAGTTCCAGTTGAATCTCTTCAAAATCAATTCTAAAAAAAGTCAAACTAACAAAAAGAATCAAAAAAATTTCCAACAGTTTTGTTCTGTTTCTGTATAATTCATCATAACAATGCAGGAAGATACCAAATCACCAAAAGCTTAAAATGGCACAAACTGAAAATATCCAACTTTTTATGGCAATCTAAAACCCGTATGTTGAATCTAACTAAATTTTTCATTCAAGTTATAGAATTTGAATCTGGATGGCAAATGACAATTAGCAGAAGGCAAAAGAAGGTGCAGTGTCTTTTACTTACTTATAACAGGTAGGTCCCATCTCAAGCCCCACAAGTTCAGTAACTTGAAACCATCCATGTCCGCCATATGCACATCGCTGATAACCAAGTCAAACTTGTTCCTGTTGTCTCTTAACATCTTCAGTGCCGAGACGGCCTGACTTGTTGTGG